AACTGCTGTTGGAGCATATTTTGTTTCCTACGGATAATTGTTTAGTAAAACGCAAAAAGGTGAAAAACGTCATGAACTTATTACCTCCGTATTATTTCAAGCACCTCATGAGCATATAGTTCAAGAAAAATAACGCCGTTGTCGGTTAAGTTTGTTTCGACGGTTCTCTATCATCGATCATCGGCCATATTGGATTTTTATGGAGGTTTCCGCTGACAACTCGTTCCCAGACTTCCGTTCCCCGTTCCCCGCTCCCCGCTCCCCGCTCCCCGTTCCCCGTTTTAGTAACATCCCTGCGAGCAGAGGCTACATTTTCGCGGTATGACCGTCGGGCTTCTGGCGTGCGAAAATTAAAGTAGCCTACTTTTAGCACGTCAGCTCAGACCGTTAAAAGTGTAGCCTCGGCTCGCAGGGTAGAGGCTATATCGCTAAGGAATCTCCAATTTTTCAAAACCTGGATTGAGAAGTAACCTGCTACTGAAAAGCTAGAATTAGAACAAATTAAAGGACACTGAATACAAAAGTTTTTTGCACAAGCACCATATATAGCAGATCCACTTTCTAGTGTGTAAATTCATATAACATGTTGATAGCATTCAGTTAATTTTTACCGCAAAGTTTTGTTTTTTCGGACAGGTGTTCCTGGTTTCAAAGTGACAAATCCAAAGAATTCATTTTCTTTAAGCCCAAATGAAAGAATAATACTTCCTTTGTCAGGTTAGACACATTTATATTAAACTAGCACTGAGAAACTTCAGAACTAGAAGCCTTTAATTTCAGTCGGACTATTGTCCCCTGACATTGAATTTAACTATTGTTCAAAAAATGAAAAACTACAAGATCCTATAACTTTTCCCCGAAATGTTTGCCAGGTTATATGTACCTTCTTATGAAACAGACAACACCCAAGAAGGGTTTAGTTCCTATACACTGTCCTGATGTGCAATATATACTCACCATTTTTAAAGATTAAGTGAATTGACTTTTACAAGCGAGAGCGTACTTCTCTGAATAGAAACCTGTTTTCAGGAGAAAAATACTTCTTTCTATTTTCGAATATACTCGATCGGGAATGTTTTATTCATCGGATTAGTAAAATTAAACATTAATGACACTCCTAACAACAAATGAATGGACTCCATCAAACAAAGAGAAACTCGAAGAAATTGTCGCATGGTAAATCACGGGGGTCAAATAATAATCGCCTTTTTAATGACGTTATTGTTCTTTACTCTGTTTACAAGAAGAATGTATGACTATTCGAAAACTCTAGAAACACCCATTTATTTATCTTTGCCTAAATCTTGTAGGTTTTGAAACTCTAATTTCATATATAGATAAATGGTAAAAAAATGTTACTCTTTGTCTCATACACAGATTTTTATGTAACAATTAAATGCAGATTCAGCAAAGACAATTCGACGTCAAATGAGAGCGGAAAGGGAGCGCTTGGGGAAAGGGGGATGAATCCGGTTTTAAATCTGCGCGCACAGTTCAGGGGCACCCAACGACTGTTTTCTGTAAAATATCTGTTCGGAGAAGCAAATATTGCCTAGAATTTTCCATTACTTGAGGAGGGCTAAAAACTGCTAGATGACCGTTCCATTCATGTACAATTTTCGAAGCATATCGTATAAATTCGCTACGATTTTCTGAAGCTTAATTTTCACATTTTACTTCTCAAGTTAGATTATTTTTTGTAGAAAAAAGGGCACCAAAAATTGTCGGATTCAAAAATGTGATGCGTTAAGAATCAGAAAATGTCTCACTTTCGTTATACGTCAAATTTGTTCTTAAATTTTCGGAAAAATAACACTCAAGCCCTTGTAATTTCGAAAAGACTCAAGTTCCCCTAGGATGACCGAACAGATACAAATTCTGTAGCGCCGCTTAGAATGCATTTCTAGATAACTTAAAGTACTCTGGATAGACTAAAAAGTGTTTTCAATGTAGGAGGAAACCATCGTTGAGTGCCCCTGACAGTTGTCAATGCCTTCACGTTTTCTTTGCCCAATCTGCCTATTTCTGCAGTAAGATTTTCTGTCAAATGCTATCCTTTGGAGGAGGGACTCTTGCCCCGGGGGGGATACTTGATATATTCTTGGGTGGGGAGGTGCGGCCCAGCCCCTCATACCCTGACCCTGTTTAACACAAAAATCGCTGATTTTCCTACCCTGTTTAAGACAGAATCTCGATTTTTGATACCCTGTTTAAGACATTTAACCCGAAACCAAAAAAAAGATTTTGCTGTAGTTTAGTTCGTAGAACATAGGCGCAGGCTGTTTATCGTCCGAGAAAAGATACCCTCTTTAAGACTAGACTGCGGCAGTCTCTTATTTTTCTTTGCAAAGTTACTGCACGTGAAACCTAAGCACGCGGGCGGCGAGGCCGCTTGTGGCGAGAAACGAGGGCGTAAGCCGGAGAAGAAAAAATAAAAGACATTTTTTTTTTTCTGAGGGATGGGGACGTCTGTACAAAGGCTTTCTTTTTACGTCTCGTCTGGACGGATTTTAAAAGAAAAGGCGGACTGTAAGCAGTCTAGTTTAAAACAAAAATTGATCAGCGATATTTGTCTTAAACAGGGTATGGGTATTAGGGGCCGCGCCGCACCTCCCCACCCAGGGATATATCGAGTACCCCCCCGGGAAGTCAAGACTGCTGTGTGTCGCGATCCCGAGTACGATGTGATGGATCGTTCGGGAGACGCCGTTACTACCTCAGTGCCACAGTTGTAGAATTAACTGAACTCTTTATACATAGATTCTTTACATTTACTTTATAGCACGTGCTGGAAAAACTACGACAACAAGATCAAAGACTACAATAAATATACGGCTCGAATTCGGAAACTAAAACGAATAAAACATGAAAGCACAATCACTTACGCTGTCCAACTCTTAGCGATGCGTAAAAGAAACGGTAAAATCAAAAGAAAAAGGCTACTCCAACAGATGAAAAGCTACTCCAACAAAGATTAACTCCGAATCGATCTCTTAACTCCACGTGCCTAATTTAAGCTATCCTATTACATTAACAGTCAGTGAATCAACAACAATTGACTAAAAAGGAAGCGAGCGTGACTCGCGTAACACTGTGTCACTTTTAAACCCAAAAACTCTAAATTTTGCTTTCTGCGCATGCCCGAACTTCGCAAGCTGATATTTTGGATCTGGATCAGAAGGCCGCGAAGTGTATAGCCTCCCACTCAGGCGTTTTTAGGGGAGCTCGTTTTTTTTTGGCGGGGAGGGATGAAAAACGAGCTCCCCTAAAAACGCCTGCGTGGGAGGCTACGAAGTGTACGACCTGTAAACCGGTTTGTGGTAAGTTTTAGCTCTTTATAGCACGACAGTGACCAGAAAACCACTCGACTAGCTTCAAAACGCGTTTTTCGGCAAAATCTCCAGGAGCGAATGGGTTAAGCAAAGTACCAAGCTTTTTGAAAAAAAATCCACTTTTCAGCATGAAACAACCAAATCTGTCTATTTCATGTAAAATCAGGTGAAAAAGTTGATAAAAGGCCATTTTAAGGTTTTTTGATTAAATAAATAATTCCAGATCTGCTTTTTCAAATTTTTGACGCCGAAGACAGTTATGTTGACTCACCCGAGGCTCTGCTGAATAGAATAGCGAACAGCAGTCATAACTAAAATCTATAATAAAGTAAACCTATAGTAATAAGTTAAATTAACTGAAAGAGCCATAAGTATTGTACTTCTTTTCAACTAACGGTTTGTATTACACATTATATGCAACAATTTCCTTTCATTTATATCACTACGAGCGAATGTTAATTGCTGTTTTTGTTTTTGACACTCCGCCTCGATTAGCTATGCTTTGTCAGTGTTTGTAATATTGTTCTTTTAAAACGGAATAAAGTGTTGCTGTTGTTGTTGTTGTTGTTGTTGTCACCGAAGTGAATTGACTGAGAGAGACTGTGAAAACCAGTCTGTGCCCAGTCTTTCGAAAGGTGGATAACGCTATCCTCTGGATAACGCAATTGATTTCCCTCTACGATACAAAGAGGTCTTTTTGGAGGAGAGAGGCCATCGGGAGGGCTGGAGAGGGACGATTTATCTGGTGGATGTCTGAAAAACTGGGCCCCTAGTAATGGCTCATGAGGTTGTACGGCGGAAAAATTCATAAATTGGCGCCAATTTTTTCACGATGGTCGGTTGCTAGGGCTTTTCCTCCCGCAACTTCGTAAATTCAATTTTTGGCTCACAGAGCAGTATTTTACACTCCAAATGAAGCAAGACATTAAAACATCTTAATTAGAGAAAAATTTTCTTTAAATTTTTACCATTGTAAAGGTATTTTTGACGTTTCTTGAAAGTATGACGTCATAAGTCACGCCTATTTATAGTAACAACATTAAAAACTTGCAAAGCAGTGTTCAAAACATTACAGTCATTTTTGCTACAGAAAAAGAATATGTATAGTGAAAACCCCATCTCAATCCGATAAAATGGCGTAAAGTTACAGCTAATAAAAGAAATCAAATTTTTCCCCACATGACCATATATGGTCAAAATTAGGGGGATTTTAAACGCGAGAACAATGAATGTATTGTCACAGGCCGCAAGTTGCATAAAATCAAAATTGTAGTTTTTTCTACTTTCTTTTTTTTACTTATGTGCCGCTATGACGCGTTTTCGTCACGAAATACGTCATTCTGACGTCAAAATGACGTATTTCGTGACGAAATACGTGTCATAGCACCACATACCCTAGTAGAAAAAAACTACAATTTTGATTTCATGTAACTTTGTCCTTGCTCCTGTTTCAATACATTCAATGTTCTCGCGTTTAAAATACCCCTAATTTTGACCATATATGGTCATTTGGGGGAAATTTGAATTTCTTTCATTAGCTGTAACTTTAGTCCTTTTTATCCGATTGAGATGGGGTTTTTACTAGAAATCATAAAATTCTATACAGAAAACTAATGTAAAATTTTTACCATTTCTTTCCTAAATTTTATTCTGATGCCAAATTTGGACATGATCTATGACGTCACAACAGACGTCACATGGGATGAAAGAAAAACCAATAAACAGGTAATTTATCAAACTATTTCCTTGCCAAGTTTCGTCACATTCGATGCATTCTACTCCTGTCTATGGCCTAAAACTCTCAGTTTTGAGAGGTATTTGGGAGGAAAAGCCCTAGCAACCGACCACCGTGTTTTATCGATTACCCATCCCGCTTTGCGAGTCATTCACCCAGTCGAGGAAAGCAAGATGGCGGGTAGTGTGAGGAACACCGAAAATCTTTTCGAACAACAAGACAGAGAGGAACTTTCAGAGCTTAATTCTTATAATTCAGGTGGATTTAGGTTCAAGGGAAGTGAAAGCAGCGCACTTTCTCTTCTAAACAAGCTGAGACTCGAAGGAGAAGGGGGTTTTTGCGACGTGACCCTGGAAGTGGACGGAAGACAATTGGCCACTCATCGATGTGTTTTGGCGGCAAGCAGCCAATTTTTTTATACCATGTTTCACAGTGGTATGAAAGAATCAAATCAAACACTCCTTAAGTTGCATTCAGTTAGTTTTGACGCCATGTCGCTCATTCTTGATTATTTCTACACGCGAGAGATTGTTATAAACCACGACATTGTGTTGGAGTTGCTCAACACTGCAAGCTTTCTTCTCGTCACTCCAGTGAAAAAGGCGTGCATTCAGATTCTCAGCAATCAGCTTAGTATTGAAAATTGTTTCAGTATCCTACAAGTAGCCGATCAGTTTTGGGCAAGTGAACTTGAGAAAAGGGCAAGAAACTATATTAAAGAGAACTTCTTCTCTGCGGTGAACAACGAAGAATTTGTTTCCATTTCAAAAAAGAGTTTGATTGACTTTATATCCAGTGATGAAATTCAAGTGGAAAGGGAGGAAGAGGTCTATCAAGCTGTACTGAAGTGGGTGAAGTATGATGAAGAAAATCGTGTCTCAGATTTACCTGAATTACTAAGCCATCTCAGAGGGAAGTCGTTGCCTAAAGGGTTCTTGAAATCAGAGATGTCCAAAGAGCCACTACTTGCTACCTTCTCTAGTCTGGTAGAATCTTCCAAGAGGAAGATCAAAACAAAATGGACAAAGAAGAAACGTGGAAAGCGAACAGGGGCAGATGACAAACCAGAAGCTGAGAGGACAAGAACATCTACGGAATTGCATAATGTCATGATTGGGATTAGTTCTGCACTGTATGGTTCCCGCAAGGCATTCTGTTATGATTTGGACAAGGAAGAAACATTTGTTTTATCAGATTACCCCAATATGCATGTTGATCCAGAACTGGCAGTTATTGGACGGTCTCTGTACATAATAGGTGGGAGTAAACTTTTCAATGGTGTTCCCACAAGATTAAGTGCTCTGTGTCTTGATGAGGTGAAGAATCAGAGGAAGCCTTCATTTAGCATCTTCAGTATGGACCAAGAATGGGAGACTAAAGCACCTTGTAAAGTTAGCAGAATAAAAGCTTCCCTGGCACAACTTAATGGGCTGCTGTATTACATAGGTGGATGGCTTGAAGATGGCAGTTGCTGTAACACAGTGGAGTGTTACAATCCAGAAATGGATGAGTGGGTGTACTGTGCTAGCTTAAACACTTCCAGATCTAGGTCAGGCTGCGTGACAGGGAATGGTCACATTTACATCATTGGTGGTGAAACTGCTCTTATATCGGAGAGTTCAGAAACATTTCTTTCAAGTGTTGAGAGGTTTGTTTGAGTTAAATAAGAATTTCATCCCTATTTTCTCACCCACTAGGGAAGCAATGGCAAGATCTAGGCTCACTGCACAGAAATCACTAGATTGATGCCATTTGTATCCATAACAATAATGTTTTGAGCTGCTTTATCTGCTCATTTCCTATATTGAGAATTTCTCAACTTGAATCTGACATTTGCTCTTTGCTGTAAATGTGATTGATCACATGATCAACTTTTCAGTAAACACAGAAACAGTTCATTTTTGAAAAATTTTGTTAGTACAAGCTGAAAGAGTATATTAAGATATGGTAACCCTGAGAATTTTCAGCCGTATGCCTCAAAAGTAGTGATTGCAACAGCTGCTGAAAGTTGGAAGCATTTGTATGGGGAAAACAACTTTTGCCATCCAGTCACACTTGCATGATTTCCACACAAATCCTTGTAATTTCGACATTTTCAAAACTGCCATGAAATATTTCCTTAAGCATTACAGGGCTCAAATGTCCTTGTAATTGATAACCGGGAATTTGAGCCCTTAAATGTGTAAATGAAAGATTTAATGACAGTTTAAAAATTTTAGAATTTACAAGGATTTGTATGGAAACCCACAGGTAGCCCAAGCTTGTTATGAGAGCCCTGAGCAAAATTATCCATTAGCTAATTAATAATTATTTGTACGGCAAAAATTATAAGGCATTGTATGAGAATTATTGTACAGTTTTTCTCCATAATTGAGCGGAATGTGCATTAAATTTTTCCTTTTAAGGTTGCATTTAGTATTTTCTTATGTTTATTTGTGTGTTGACTGCGTTTCATGCCTGTTGGGATGCCAAGAACCCAAGAACAGTATTACTCTTGTAGGCTAATTAATGTTTCATACAGCAACAAAATTATAAGGTGTTGTATGAGAAATATTCTTTTCTCACTAAATTAATAAAATGTACATTGAATATCACTTTGAAGCTTACCTTTAGCCTTTTCTTGTTTTTCTTTGTATTCTGACTGCATTTGAGACCTCCTAGGCACTGTTTAATTCCTTTTTATGAGAGTCAGTTTTACGCTGAGATGACAGTACTCTGCTCTGCTCTCCGCGGCGATATATTCCATGACATTTGCGACATGGAGACAATTCCACCAGAAACAGTTGTTCTGATAAAAAATGTGCATTTTCAATCATTCACATCGCCAAAATTCCGATTTTGAAGGACCTAAATTGACAATGAAGTGGACAATACACAGCCATGGTTAAGGAAGTCGAGATCAGCCTCGCAACGGACTCTAACTGTCAAGTCGACAATTTCAAACTGACAAGGGATGGCAGGGTCAAATTGTTCAACCATCAAAGTGCAATTGGAGCATTTAGCCTACTGGGCACAGTAACTGATGTTTCCCTTCTAACATAGCGCTCCAGGGTCGTGGAAGTCAAGCATCGCGTGTCAGCTATGTAGTGACATGTTGCACTTGGTTGATGTCTACTCTTCTTTTGAAAAAGCCTTCGACGATGGTTTTTTATGTATGATGTAGAAAAAAATATGGCAATAACAGTTGCAGCTGTAAAAAAAAAAAATCAAAAAAATTGCATTGTTTCTCATTGAACATGCACTTACAAAGTATTTCATTCTGGAAAACAACTTTGGGTTGATTTTCCTGTTCTGGCTTGTCCACTAACTAACAGATTATGACCCAATGAGACACAGTTCAACACACCCCTTTGTTCATTTGTTAGACTGAAATGAAATTTGCCTTGCAAAATGAAATACTTTTTAAACAATGCAATTTTTTGATTTTTTAACTCGTAGGTACGTGTGAGCGTACCACGAGTTATTGCAGGGACAGAGATATGCAAATGAGTCACTCGCTCACTCGTAGTAGACGCACTTCGTAATTAATCAGGTCCGAACTCGAGAGCACGAAGATCTATCGTTTCCAAAGAAGCACGCGCTCGCCAAAGTTCGGTAGCATCAAATTCCTCGCTGAGAGCGTGCATCGTGCGCTACAGCACGGTTAGGATAGACGTCTTACCAAATTTAAGACACGCAGGAATCTTTCAAATTATTACGATTCAAAAGCCCTTGACCCGTCCAGGCGTTAAACTTGACGAGAAGATGAGCATTTGCTCTTCGACTCCTTCAACTTCGACGCTGGCTTGATCTCCTGCCTTGTAGTAGTGTAGTAGGTTACGTGTATGAATGAATTTATCGCGGTCAGTATAAAACACGGACTGCGGACTATGGACTGCGGACCGGGTATAAAATACGGACTATAAAAATGTATGGTAAATAAAGGCACTTCTTCTTCTTCTTCTTCTTCTTCTTAAGGACTCCCCAAGATAACGGGGGGAAATGGATGTGAATTTGAACATTACCTTTAAAATAACAGTGGAAATCGAGATAAGAAAACATAAGCTAGTGTTTTCTGTTTTACTTCGCGGGGGAGTTGTGTCAGCTTTGTATCGCATATGTTCTTTCATTGCCATGAAATGCGTTTACATTGTTTTTTACTGTCAGTAGCCTGGTCTCAATTAGCCTTAATTTCATCCGATTGCTTCGAGTCGTTTTTTTCAATCGGTTAAGTATGGTTCGACCGTTTGCCCCGGTCGTTTGCCGGCGGAAGTTCAATGGAAAAGGCATTAAACTTGAAACTTTTCGCAAAATCATGTGAACATCCTCAATGGCGTAGTGGCTATGTGAAGTCGGGTCAACCCGAAGGTTCCGGGTTCATATTCTGCTAAGGACTTTCTTTTTCCCTTCTTCCTTTTTTTTTCTTTTTTGTTTTGTCTTGGTTGCTTATTTGTTTTGCTGTTTTTTTTTGTTGTTGTTTTTAAATATAAACTTAAATAACTGTTACTAAAGTGCAATAAACAGCAAGAAAGGTATTGTGTTTCCAGAACAAGGATAATATATTTGTATTCTGAATTTCTATCATTTCCTAAAATTCACTGTGGGAAAACCAGAGGTGATAAAATTCTCAAGTTACCTAATTTAAATATGCTCTTTCAGCTTGTGCTAACAAAAGTGAACTTTTTTCGTGTTTACCGAAAGTTGATCACATGATCACAGTCTTGCAAAGAGCCTTTTCTTACAAAGTTTATCATCCAATTTTCTTGAACCTGTTGGTCTTTAATACGTTTGTAGGTATGATCCAGAAAAGGATACATGGTCATTTGTTGCCAGTGTGAATCTAGGAAGGGTACTGCCAAGCTCTGTATGCTTGAATGGCAAGATCTATGTGATCGGAGGACGTACATCCAGTATTTACTCAACCCCTACCTGTGAAGTGTATTTTCCTAATACTGACGAGTGGCAGTTCATTGCAAGTCTCCCTTACCTTGATCCTGGATGCATTGAAGTTATTGTAGTAAAGAACCAGATTATGGTGGCTTTGATGCCTGACGTAACTCTCGATTTCTCTCACAATGCTGTAAAGTACAATGTGCGGGCTAATGCATGGCAAAAGGTAGAGTGTTTTGGTCCAAGTAACAAGCAAGCATCTTTTACTCTCTGCACGACTAAGCTGCCTGCAATGATCCTGCAAAGGCTGCCCAAAGCACTATTTTTAGACGACTTTTTTGAAGAAGATAGTGAAAATGATATGGAAGATGATTCTTACAGAAGTGACAGCGATGACAGTTCAAGTGGGTTTATGGGGTGGGCTAATGAATCCAGTGATGATGAAGCCTACTGGTAAACAGTTTAACCTTTTAACTCCTAATATCCTCATACAAATTCTCCTGACTGATCTTCATACATTTCCTCAGAGCATAAGTTGAGAGAATTTGATAAAAGATCAAAATATTTTCCCTTTGGGATCATTTGATAAATTCTCTTTACCTTTTTCTCTTGTTTATCGAAATTCTTAGAAGAAAGTTGATGTTCCATTTTAACTCTTAGGTCCAACAGGGTTAAACGCTTCCCTTAATTTGGAGAAATTGAAGTGCCATGTTTTATAGGCGAATCTTTGTTTACACTTTTTGCCTCATTAACATATGCTTATCACTATCTGATGACGCTAATAAAATAAAAACTCTGAATATTGAAAGAGCATAACAGTTTCAGTTATCCCTGAAAATTTGAGCCCAAAACACCGAATGGTTTCGGAGAAATTCTCTTCTGAAAACTCCAAATTTTACAGAGAATGTATGGCTCATTAACTTTTTTGCCACACAGCAATTTCGCAGTTTTTGATTGCTGATATTTCTTTCAATGTTGCTTGCAAAGAGCTGAAAATTGCACAAATTGCTCAACTTAATCAGCTCTTTCAACTTTTGCATTTAGTTCATATGTGCGGCCACGGCTTCTATGAGTTAAGTCGTATGCTAATGAGGAAAAATGTAAACAGTGACGTCAGCAAAGATTCGCCTATTTACTTGGGGAGGTTTTAAATGTGCCTCAATCAAGTATTTCATTTGTAAATCTTAAAGTTTACCAGTTAACTATGGGTACTTGTTTTAACCATCATGAAATTATAGGGCGTTTTCACTCATGTGGCCAGCATCTATGCTAATTTATTGGAACAATGAGAGTTTTTGCATAAGAAAAGAGTTCAACTCCTGCAGGATTAGTTTGGAACACCAACATGGCCACCATTTCATTGTTATGGAACACCAATATGGCAGTTGTGATGTCTGTGAAAACGCTTTATAAGGAAGTAGTCTTCATTTAGCACTGATGCTTTATGTAGTGTGCTAGTATAAGTTTCCTGAGCAATAATAGTTCTGAAAGTTCCATTAGAATGCACTCAAGCAATGCAGTGAAGATATGGGTGTTCCAATGAAAGAAAGATCACCATATAGAACTGTCAATAACTTGAAATGTTGCTATTGACTGATGTTGTAAGGAGAAGTTCAATTATGGTCACTTGTGGAGGTTAGAGGGTGGTGTCTCCTACAACTGGTGACAAAATTATTGGTTTATGCACATTACTCTGAAGGACATTCCCCTTGGTTCGCTGTCCCTTCCACACTGCCTCTAGACAATATTTTCCTGCAGTTCAGGGTATGTGTAAAAGAAAATGCAAAGAAAACTACACCATTGTCCCAACAATAATTCTTCTGTTGCCAATTATAGCCCAAAAATATCCTTGCACAGCTTCTGACTGAGTTGTCAAAGTAGCTCTCAGGGAAATCTGAACACATACAGTGAAAGTGACTGTGCAGGTTTCAGACCAATTTAAGGCTTTAATTCTGATGCAGTTGAATGTCTAAGGTTTTTAGTGGAATTTTTGTTTACCATTGATGTATTCACTAGCAAGTGTTTATAAAAATAATAGTTAGACAATGTTACGCTGCTTTCATTTTTCGTGTTGAAAATACTTTGCACTTATGTGACTTACTGTTTGCAAATTGCATCAACAATTCTGCAGCTTGAGCTTGCTTCAATTGCCAAAGCCTTAGAACTTTTTCAGTAAACTTAGCTACCTTATTATAGGAAATTAACACTCCATGAAATTTAGGTATTGGAAATTAACGCGAATTTAATGGAAAACGACTTTCGAATAAAGAAAATTAACGCGAAAGAGGAGGCAGAATTTCATAAAAAAGGAAATTAACGTGTAGTAAGACACAGTTGGTGGTGATAACTGGAACAAATTTATTTCAACACTGGACGCAAAAAAATTCAAAATCTGAACAAACTGAGCTGATATCACTTCTGACAGCGACAACGATGAAGATGAACTCGAAATATTGTAAACCTTCACCTTAGCTTTTGTGAAAGATGGAAAATAAAGGGTAAATGGAAAGAAAGAAAGCTTGCAGTTGATGTTTTTTTAGCAGTCAAGAATGTCTGGACAGGTTCCAAAACTGGGATTAAAATACTGGAAATTAAGAGCGTGGAAATTAACGCTGCATTTAATTAACGTCGCGGAAATTAACGCTCGACAAAATTAACGCGACTTAAATTAACGCGAAGTTTAACGATTCGCGTTAATTTCATGGAGCGTCAATTTCCTATAATAAGGTAACTATCAGGGTGTGATGTTTTATGATAATTAACGATTATTCCTTGAGTGCGCTTTGGATATGGGATGGCAGGTAGCCAACGAGGCACGAAGCACTGAGTTGGCTATAATCATCTCATATCTAACAAGTGCGAGTGGAATAATTGTTTTATTAAAAATGCTCACAAAATATTGAGAATTCTTCGCGACTTTATTTGTAAAAACAAGCGATTTTCAGCTTGTTTTTTATTTTGAGCAGATGTGTACAGTTAGGGAAAGTTCATTTAATATGACAAGGGGGGGGGATGAAGATATTGAAACTCGAAGCTTGAAATTTTAGCAGCCCCCCTCGCTAGCGGTTCAATTTTTTAGGAGCCCCCTCCTTGGTAGTCGAAAAAATTTCAGAGCCCCCCCCCCTCCTCCTTCAATTCCTTTGCTTCCCTGAAAAAAGATCGCTAGACTGTATTAAATATATTTACCGTTATTGTCTTCAATGGTTTATACTATGACAAACTTGAGATACAGTTGTGATACAATTTTCTAAAGCATTTTTAGGATGAACAAGAGTGTAATAATTACTGAGACTACATTTGTTATATCTGTAAACCACGTGATATAGCTGAGTTGCACAGGTCATTAAATTGTTGAGTTGAAAACCATCCGATCTGTATGATGTCATGTGTTGGTTTTGAAGTATACAAATTTTCAGAGCCCCCCCTTCGGGTGTCTAAAAATTTTCGGAGCCCCCCCTCAATATCTTCATCCCCCCCCGCTTGTCATATTAAATGAACTTTCCCTTACCATATTTGTAAAGCATGGTATAGTGGCTCATATACCATGATGGCTAAGCCAATCACAGCTCTAGAATTGCCTTATACAATGATTCATTTTTTAATAATACTTATTAGTTGGAAAATTATGGGTAGAGAAAGTTACGCCTTTGATATATAGAGAGAGAGTTATATTTTTGAAATGCTCCTGTTTAGAAATAGCAGTTACAAATTCAAAAGGATTCAGTGAAATTTTAAAGTAAAATGTATTTTTAAGAGTTTTATATTAAAGGATATATGATATGAAGTTTTTAAGTGTTATGGTAGTCATTCATTCATTCATTCATTCATAGTTTATTTTGTAAAGCAGGGGCGGATCCAGGATTTTTTTTAGGAGGGGGTGCACTCGTCTCTTGCTCTACCTCAACACCAATAAACCACATAGTTTTTTTTTCTTTGCAGAATACCAGTTGGATTAGAAAACCGCAGGTCATCTCAGGGGGGGGGGGGCGCACCCCCTGCACCCTCCCCCTAGAGATCCGCCCCTGTTAAGTTAAAAGGCAGCTAAAGCTGATGTGGACCTGCTGATAAACTATCTATTGATGATATACAAATAAAATTTTAAAAAAAAATGTACAGAAAACAGTTATATAAAAATAATAAGTACACAGTAGTAAGATAAAAGAGTAAAAGTTAAGAACAATTAAAATACTATTTCATCTTGTTGAAATTTATATTGTCGAATAAGGGTCTGTTTTTCTTAAGAAGCTTTTTAAAAATGTTTAGACTTGGTGCTCTTTTTAAATTGTCTGGAATGGAGTTCCAAAACAAAGCTCCCCTATATCTTGATGAATTCCTGCCCACCTCTAGGTTAAATTGGGGAACCTGAAACTTAATGCTATTGCGTAGATCATAACAGTTGAAAGTTGACATAAAGAGAAGAAATTACTTCTAAATAACGGAATGACATGTTAGTGAAAAACAAATATGTGCCATCGCTGGTCATGAGTGTTGTAATACAAAATTAGGGACAACAGCAATCTTGGAAAACTGTTACGCAGAACAGCTTCCAAAATACCCACATGCAATTCATTTAAATCTTCAATTCTGTTTCTCCATTCATTCCTGTTGTTCACAATGAAAATGAAAGTGTTGGCTTATTTGACCTTCAGAAATGAGAATAAATGCTTTTCAACGTAACACCTTGAGTTGAAAAGCTTTTTAATTACGGTTTGCAGCATTCAGCGTTCTCACGACGGTGAGAATCTTTTCTTTTGTAATTTTGTACAATGGGGAAAGAGGCAAAATGTGGAGAAATAGGAAAAATATCGGCGAGTTAAGGGAGCCAAGGGGCAGCTGATTTTTTTTCTCCTTTTTTCCCCAATGCGGAGCATTGTCCCAGGATAACTTTTCTCCCGTTCAAATACCAACCAATTGTAGTTAAGGAATCCTGAGCAAAGGAAACTCATATTCTTTTGCACAGCTTTAGTGCTTAACAATCAGTTAATGATTCCGCAATTCTACTTTTTTACAAAAAGGTCAACTTTGCTAGTTAAAAACAGCAGAAAAACTAGGTTTCTGCATTCAGCTTCCGGAGAACAAAATGCAAAATTGTTACCTTTCTTTGTCTATGCTTGTCGTTTAGGTTAGAAGTTAAGAAAAGGTACCTTTTATGAAAAAAAAGTCAGGTATTTTCAGCTTTCGAGTGAATGATATTTTGACGTCAATATTGTCCACTCTTCATCTATTTCTCACTTTACCAAACGATGTTTTAAAGCACAAAAGAGGTACCTTTTTGTCGCTTTCAAGCTATCTCATGAAAGGGGCAAAAGGGTACCTTTTTTCCAGTTGGAAGCGATGTTCTCAAAAGCGCCAAAATGGTACTTTTTTTGCAGTTGGAAGTAATGTTGTTAAAAGTGCGAAAAAAGTACCTTTTTAAAAGGCTATCTTTAAAACAAGGAACGGGGAATCGGGGAATGGGAAACAGGGAACGGGGAACGGGGAACGGGGAATCTTTAAAAGCGGGAATCTTTAAAATGGGGAATCTTTAAAAGCGGGAATCTTTAAAATGGGGAATCTCTAAAAGCGGGAATCTTTAAGAGTGGAAATCTTTAAAACGGGGAATCTTTAAAATAGATGATATTTGAAATAATATTTATGTCGTCGTTGTTTCAAATTTGTTATTCGCTTTCCTTCATGTTGTCGTGGTTTTAAAGATTCCCTGTTTTAAAGATTCTCGCTTTTAAAGATTCCTCGTTTTAAAGATTTCCGCTTTTAAAGATTCCCCCTTCCCCGTTCCCCGTTCCCCGTTCGCCATTTCCATTTCCCGATTCCCCGATTCCCCGTTCCTTGTTTTAAAGATAGTCTTTTTAAAAATAAAACATTGTGTCTTCAAGCGTTTGGGAAGCCATTTAAAATCCTACTAGTTGACAGATGTCAACCGTTGGTACCTCTCAAGCTTCAATGAACGATGCGCAGACATTTTTTTTTAGGGTTCTAGGTGATCCTGTTAAAATTGAAATGGTCTACAAGGGAAATCAGCGGAGTAAAAAATTATAGCTTGCTTCTTTTATCCAAGATCAAAAGCGAGAAACTAGGAGAAATCGGAAAATACTGGCCACCAGCCAAATGGATGAAATGGCTCCTGAAAATTTAACAACTTCTAGCCTACTTCTGGTACTTTAAAGCTAGATGTAAGAAGAGAAGCTCCGCAAGCACAATTTTAAGCGTGGAGCAAATACTTTAACCTGACAGAAGTCCTACATGAAAAAAATTGGTGTTCATTTTTCTTTTCCTTTAAGTCTAAACTGAGCGGGTTCCGAGCGGGTCAAATAACTGTCTTGTTTCCTGGGTGATGTTTTTCACTCCGGAAAGGTTATTAGAGACTTCAGTCTTGGGGTTATTTTTGTTTGCTATAATATAAACTAAATAATTTAACTTCAGGTGCCTTTTGAGCTACAGGCCGAAGTAAAACCATTATAACAGTAAAAATGCCACCATACAGTGTACTTTTGACACCCCCTAACTACACTAAAGTAAGCCTGAACATACAGCTTTCCTCTTCTTAGACTTTTGTACAGTATGCCAGCATTTTTTTCGAGAACTTTGGTGGAATTTCCCGGAAAATTAATTTTTTATTTTCAATGAAAATGAAAATTAGAGGTTTTCAAATAGAAAATAAACTCTCAAAAGTAGTAAAAATAAAAAAATTCAAATGCCACTGTTTAGACAATTGTCTTTTGGTGTATTAAATCCCATTAGTATACAGTGAAACCTGTATTACATGTAAGCGAGGATCTGGATTGGGTTAACTGACAACTGACAAATGGCCAAAATTTTAACTGACAGCTGACAAATAGCCTAAAATTTAACTGACAACTGACATTTGCCTTGGGTTTTACTGACACCTGACAAAGGACTTGATTGTCCCTTATCTTCTACAAAACCCCTTTTTAAGGCCTTTTAATGAATAGCATTGTTCCACTCTTTTTTTTTCTCAGGTGTCAGACAATGTGATCAAATGTGCGTTTTTATGGGTAATCTTAGCAGCAAGATGCTTAAGTTTCATATTTCAGAAATGACCTATGATCTCAAATTTTTGCTCCTCTGAGAACGCGCCAGCATACGATGGCTGCTAATGAGGGTTACAAAAGCGATTGCAAGTTTTTACTAAGATGATTCAGATACAGTCTTTCTTGATCTTTCTTACGATCTACGTCCCAGTGTTATACCTGGCAACTTTGTCCGAGTCAAATGCGTGAGATTTTCACCCTGTGACCTGGAGTTCCGGAAACGTCCCTGCGACTTCCGAAGATTTCCGACGACTTTCCGAAGACTTCCAAACGTTTGAGCACTTCTGAAGCTACTTAAAAGACAACAGTTTTAGCGTGCCTTGATTTCGTTAGAACACAAAAAGGAAACAAAGTCATCATTTAACGCCTTTTAGGATTGAATTTTCATTATTTATCATGTGTTAAAGACAAATTTGTCCGGGTTTGAGTCAAGCGTGAGAAATTGTTCTTCATGGGTGAGATCGATGTCTTTGGTCCACAGCTCTCACGCATAATGCATGAGAGTTGGCAGGAATACAATATTCTGAAGGTATAAATTTTGATTGGCTTACTGGTTGGAAATGTTGGACTCTGGCCAGCAAAAACGCTCGAGTTGAGGAGAGTAACACAAGACTTGTGTCATGGAGGGCCCCTTGAAGTGCTTACAATAGCGAAACTGATAAAAATTTTAATTTTAATTTTAATTTAAAAGGCACTATTGCATCAGTTTTCGAATTCAACGTCTAATTTACATTATATGTACCTTAATTTCGCATCAAAAATAAACAAATAAGTTTCATAGTTAATCATTAAAAAATCATTAACTGACAACTAACAAAAAAGCTTAACATTTAACTGACAACTGACAAATGGCCAAAACTTTAACTGACAACTGACATTTGTGCACCCCCATCCAGACCCTCTTAAGCGGACACCGTATTAAGGGGACACCCTCTATTAAGCGGAGAGTAGCCGAAGTCCCAGATTTATTTCCCTTATTTACTTTAAATGAAACCTTTATTAAGCGGACACCTCTATCAAGCGGACGCGGACACCTAAAAAGTACCTGAAATAGTCATTTCTATTGTTACTAACGTACCTGTATTAAACGGACACTTGTAATCAAATTCCACCACCCAACATGCCAGACACCAGAAATGCGAAAGATTACCTCGAATTGCCACCCACAACTTTTTCGATTTTTACATTAAAAACGTGACTTGACGAACTTATTTGATTAGTTTCACAGTACAGTATTGTTTTCCATTTCGTTTTGTTTTTATAGAGCTTGTTTCACTCATCTCATTTCTTCAAATTTGCGTTGCAATCTATGTTTATGGTACTATGACCAATTGATCCACTTTGATAAAGAAATTAATGCAAACGTATATCGTTAAAGTCTCTGGGAGTATTCTTAACATTTCCACTGTTCATTTGAATGGGATTTGACATTTCATATGACGTTATCTATCGAAACCTGTATTAGGCGGACACACTGTATTACGCGGACACTACAGCATTCCCCGAGGGTGTCCGCTTAATACAGGTTTCCCTGTACATTTTTGTTGTAACACTTATTCGTATCATCATTTTTTTAGGGTGAGCATGTTATTCGAAGAAATGGAGCTTATAAGGTAAAGCATTTTAGCGAGGAAACAAAAAAGCATTTTTAATGCACAAGAGCGTGGCCCGGCTTCTTTTCAGGTTACTTATAACTGACACCTGTCATTCATTGATCATGATAACCACTGAACCAGTGACAATGCTTCCAACTTCACTCCGACACTGATCACGATGGCTCACACTTATGCCAAAATCAAGCACGGGGAATAGCTTTTAAAACTACGACCTGAATCTTTCACTGATTCTTAATCGTTGTAAGTTTCCGAAATTCATTTCCTTGACTGACCACTGCTGACATTGAATTTGGAGTCACTTATCCTAGCATATGAACTTTAAAGCTAACTTTATCCAGATTTGTTTTAAGTATTCAGCTGATTTATTCAGCCTTCTTTCCATTTGTTAATTTTGTGATGATGTAATAAGTTGATCGGTTCGTGTAAATCATAGTTAATTGAGTGAAATGGTTATGAAACCCGTCACTGAGACTCCTTTGTTCATGATATGTTTTTGTGGACTTTGTGGACCTAAAAGTGCACAACGTTCAAAAGCATTTTTATCATTTTGATTGTCTGATTGACCAATAAGAGCGTTGCATTGATTTATTCCGTAACAATTTGCCAACAGAAAACAAAGGAATGTGCACTTTCAGGGTGCTTCCAACATAAACTGCAGCACTGTTGTTTTTGTTATCGACGTTTGTCACTTTTCATAACCACCCTCCTCTGATAACTATGTATAAATAGAGCACTGTTATCCCTGTTTTTCGATTTACATGACTCTGTGAATTACATGGATGATTTACATGACTGAAGGATTTACATGCTTGTATGCAGTCTACATATATGATTTACGTCTACGAGCTGAAGATTAAACTGTTACGTTGAAGTCCAAGTTTGAGTGCTGTCCTGTTTCCAGTTATAGCAGATCCGTAGAACAGTGGAATAGTGACGAATTCAAGTCCCGCTAGTAAAGCGAGTTGCAGAGTGAGTTTTCGCCCTTGTTGTTCTTATGCATCAGTCAATTCCACCTGCGCCCAGCCCCCTTCCCCGGGCTGACCCCCGGGCATTAGCACTTTTTTTGCCTTGGATGGCAAATTCCCGGGTGTGGGAACTCTTGAGCTGTCAAATCCCCCGGGGTGGGGACGAAAAAAGAGGGCAAATACCCCGTCCTCCGTCAACACTGCTACATTTGTCATTGATCGCACAGTCGGGTAGTGCCATTTTAAGCATTTTAATGTGCGATTTTTTGTTCCTTTGTAATAACGCTAGGATTCTAATAAAGACTTCACGCCGCGACGACATGCACAAGTTTATGGTTTTGGTATCGATATAAAATTATTGACATTAAAATTAATAGAGCACTGTAAAGTTATATGTTATGAATAGTTTTATAAATATGAAAGGATGTTCTTCAAATAATATCAACAGAAATTTGATTCTATAACCAAAAAACGTTGATTCACATCGATAGCTCCAATTTCGCTACGTAATTTTGGCTTGATATAAAGCAATGAAGAAATGAATACATACATGTAAAATCAAGAACATGCCTTTACAACCCTCTACAATTTATTCCTGTCCTTGACAGATGAGCTAATCTGAGTTTTTCCCAGTAAAACCTTCTGTGTAGTTATATTCTGATAGGAAACCGCGTGCGTGTCAAAAGCTCGGGAATGGCCCGGGGGTTGGCAAATGCCCGGCCCCCGGGCAGTGCAAAATTTGTAAATGCCCCACCCCCGGGACGACTGAGAAGGCAGGCAAATGCCCCGCAGTAGCCCTGGGGGGCAGGGAGGGGGGGGGTTGTGCTGGGCGCCAAAGGTTGTATGGGGGAATTTATAAATTGGCGCCAATTTCTTTTATCGATTTCCCATCCCGCTTTGCGAGTTAACCACCGAGAAAGGTAAGATGGCGGGCAGCGTGAGGAATATGGAAAATCTTTTCGAACAGCAAGACAGAGAGATACTTTTTGAGCATGATTATTATGGTTCAGGTGGATTTAGGTTCAAGGGAAGTGAAAGCAGCGCACTTTCTCTTCTAAACAAGCTGAGACTCGAAGGAGAAGGGGGTTTTTGCGACGTGACCCTGGAAGTTGAAGGAAGACAATTGGCCACTCATCGATGTGTTTTGGCGGCAAGCAGCCAATTTTTTTATACCATGTTTAGTAGTGGTATGAAAGAATCGAACGAAACACTCTTAAAGCTGCACTCGGTTAGTTTTGACTCCATGTCGGTTATTCTCGATTATTTTTACACGCGAGAGATTGTTATTAGCGACGACAACGTGTTAGAGTTACTCAACACTGCAAGCTTTCTTCTTGTCACTCCAGTGAAAAAGGCGTGCATTCAGATTCTCAACAAACAGCTTAGTATTGAAAATTGTTTCAGTATCCTACAAGTAGCCGAGCAGTTTGGTGCAAGTGAACTTGTGAAAAGGGCAAGCAACTATATTAAAGAGAACTTCTTCTCTGCGGTGAACAACGAAGAATTTGTTTCCATTTCAAAAAAGAGTCTGATTGACTTTATATCCAGTGATGAAATTCAAGTGGAAAGGGAGGAAGAGGTCTACCAAGCTGTACTGAAGTGGGTGAAGTATGATGAAGAAAATCGTGTCTCAGATTTACCTGAATTACTAAGCCATCTGAGAGGGAAGTCTTTGCCTCAAGGGTTCTTGAAATCGGAGATGTCCAAAGAGCCACTACTTGCTGCCTTCTCCAGTCTGGTAGAATCTTCCAAGAGGAAGATCAAAACAAAATGGACAAAGAAGAAATGTGGAAAGCGAACAGGGGCAGATGACAAACCAGAAGCTGAGAGGACAAGAACATCTACGGAAGTGCATAATGTCATGATTGGGATTAGTTCTGCACTGTATGGTTCCCGGAAGGCATTCTGTTATGATTTGGACAAGGAAGAAACATTTGTTTTATCAGATTACCCCAATATGCATGTTGATCCAGAACTGGCAGTTACTGGACGGTCTCTGTATATAATAGGTGGGAGTAAACTTTTCAATGGTGCTCCCACAAGATTAAGTGCTCTGTGTCTTGATGAGGTGAAGAATCAGAGGAAGCCTTCATTTAGCATCTTCAGTATGGACCCAGAATGGGAGACTAAAGCACCTTGTAAAGTTAGCAGAATAAAAGCTTCCCTGGCACAACTTAATGGGCTGCTGTATTACATAGGTGGATGGCTTGAAGATGGGAGTTGCTGTAACACAGTGGAGTGTTACAATCCAGAAATGGATGAGTGGGTGTACTGTGCCAGCTTAAACACTTCCAGATCTAGGTCAGGCTGCGTGACAGGGAATGGTCACATTTACATCATTGGTGGTGAAACTGCTCTTATATCGGAGAATTCAGATTTTCTTTCAAGTGTTGAGAGGTTTGTTTGAGTTAAATAGTACTAGGCAAGGAAATGGCAAGATCTATGCTCACTACACGGAAATCACTAGATTGATGCCATTTTTATCCATAAGAATTGCAGGGTTCATACAGGTCATGGAAAACCTGGAAAGTCATGGAATTTAAGAATTTCATTTTTCAGGCCTGGAAAGTCATCTAATTTAATAGTTGGTCCTTGGAAAATGAAATTTCTGTTTGGGAGATTGGTCACTGCAGATGACAAAGCAAGGACAACTTAAGATCAAGAGGACTAAACAGTGCGAATGGCACGCATTTTGGTGGACACTAGAGTTTGTGTCTGTTGAACTGTTTAACGTCAAAAAATATATGCTAAAACAAGGAAAGTTTTGAAAATTTTCGAAAGTGACAGCTAAACCGAAGGCTATGGAAAACTCTAAAGGGTATGGAAATAGTCATGGAAAGTCATGGAATTTGAAGACCTCAAAAGAGTATTTTGAACTTTTTTATCTGCTCATTTCCTATCTTGAAAATTTTTCTTTCTGATGTTTGCTCTTTGCTGTAAATGTGATTGTAAATCTCCCCAATGTTTCACTCAGGTCTGCCTTAACTGAGTAAAACATAATCCTAATAGTGGGTTAAATGCTAATAGTTACTAAGCAAACAACTTAAATTTGGCTTTTTCCAAGAAGTTAATGAGTATTTTTGGTGATGTGGATAATATAAAATAATATTATATTATATAATGCACACATTGTGTTGTCAATCAAAATGAAATGTACTGCCTAAAATAGTTTCAATGTAGGTTGGTTCTCAATTTCCATTATTTCATAACGCTAAGTTTTTTATGATCTTGATTCAATGATTAGGGTTAGAAGACGAAGGAAATTGAAAATAAACCTTATTTATCTTTTTGTTAGGTAGAATATAGAGGATATTACATGGTGGCGCGAAGATATGAATTTTATTTTCGAGTGGCAAAACAATATTTTACGAACAACATCGATAAAATAATAGAGGGAAATGACCGAAATTACGTCATCGATAAACTCACGTGTGAGATTATGGAAAATAAACCACTCGGGTCCTGGATGTAGTTTTTATGAATTTTACGAGTGGTATATTTTCCAGTAAAACACTCGTGTCTATATAATAAAGTTCAATAATTCTTAAAACGTTTCTCATCCAATTTTCTTGAACCTGTTGGTTTTTAATACCTTTGTAGGTATGATCCAGGAAAGGATACATGGTCATTTGTTGCCAGTATGAATCAAGCAAGGCTACTGCCAAGGTCTGTATGCTTGAATGGCAAGATCTATGTGATTGGGGGACATACATCCAGTACAAATGGTATAACCTCAACCCCTACGTGTGAAGTGTACTCTCCTAATACTGACGAGTGGCATTTTATTGCAAGTCTCCCTTACCCTGATAGTGGATGCAATGACGTTATTGTAGTAAAGAACCAGATCATAGTGCCTTTGATGCGTGATGTAACTTTTGATTTCTCCCACGATGCTGTAAAGTACAATGTGCGGACTAATACTTGGCGAAAGGTAGAGCATTTTGGTCCAAGCAGCAAGCTGGCATCTTTTACTCTCTGTACCACTAAGCTGCCGGCAATGATCCTGCAAAGGCTGCCCAAAGCACTGTTTTCAGACGATGTTTTTGGAGAAGATAGTGAAAATGATATGGAAGATGATTCTTACAGAAGTGACGGTGATGACAGTTTAAGTTTCTTTGGATGGCGTGCAGTGCATGGGTTTATGGATTGGGCTTATGGTTCCAGTGATGATGAAGCCTACTGGTAAACAGTTTGAAACCTTCCCTTAATTTGGGGAACTCTAAGTGCCATGTTTTGTTTACTTTGGGAGGTTTTAAATGTGCATCAATCATTGAAGCATTTCATTTTTAAATCTTAAAGTTTACCAGTTAACTATGGGTACTTGTTTTAACCATCATGAAATAATTTCATTCATATTATAGGGCGTTTTCACTCATGTGGCCAGCATCTATGCTAATTTATTGGAACAATGAAAGTTTTTGCATAAGAAAAGAGTTCAACTCCCACAGGATTAGTTTAGAACACCAATATGGCCACCATTTCATTGTTATGGAACACCAATATGGCCGTTGTGGTGTCTGTGAAAATGCTTTATAAGGAAGTAGTCTTCATTTCGCACTGATGCTTTAGGTAGTGTGCTAGTTAAAGGTACCTGAGCAATAATAGTCTTAAAGTCCCATTAGAATGCACTTAAGCAATGCAGTGAAGATATTGGTGTTCCAGTAAGAGAACCTTCACCATGTAGAACTGTCAATAACTTGTCATGTTGCTATTGACTCATTACAAATTGTATGGAGAAGTTCAGTTATGGTCACTTGTGGAGGTTAGAGGGTGGTGCCTCCTACAACTGGTGACAAAATTATTGGTTTAGGCACATTACTCTGAATAGCCTGCAGTGCAGGTGTTTTCTTCCGGCACGCAAATGATTTGCTCATGAAAGCGCATGTTGAAACTCGAAAAGAGAGGAGAAAATGGGGCGAGTCATAGGGTTACTATTTTTACTTTCCTTAATCTTCCTCCATCATAACAAAGATGGTGGTTACAACAGTACGAACATAAACAAGCAGCTTTTGCCCGCCCAGAATCCGCCTGCACTGCAGGCTGTGCTCTGAAGGACATTCCCCTTGGTTTGTTGTTCCTTCCACACTGCTTCTGGACAATATTGTCCTGCAGTTCAGGGTATGTGTAAAAGAAAATGCAAAGAAAACTACATCATTGTCCCAACAATAATTCTTCTGTTGCCAATTGTAGCCCAAAAATATCTTTGTACAGCTTCTGACTGAGTTGTCAAAGTAGCTCTCAGGGAAATCTGAACACATACAGTGAAAGTTACTGTGCAGGTTTCAGACCAATTTAAGGCTGTAATTCTGATGCAGTTGATTGTCAAAGGTTTTTAGTGGAATTTTGGTTTATCATAACTCATTGATGTATACACTAGCAAGTGTTTATAAAAATAATAGTTAGACAATGTTACGCTACTTTCATTTTTCTTGCAATGTTAAAAATACTTTGCATTTATGCAACTTAATGTTTGCAAATTGCATCTGTTTCAACAAATCTGCAGCTTGAGCTTGCTTCAATTGCTAAAGCCTTAGAACTTTTTCAGTAAACTTAGGTAACTATGAGGGTGTGATGTTTTATGATAATTAACAATTATTCCGTTAGTGCGCTTTGGATATGAGATGGCAGATAGCCAACAAGGCACGAAGCACTGAGTTGGCTATCATCATCTCATATCTAACAAGCACGAGTGGAGTAATTGTTTTATTAAAAATGCCCACAAAATAGCGAGAATTCTTCCCGACTTTATTTGTAAAAACAACCGATTTTCAGCTTGTTTTTAATTTTGAGCAGATTCGTACAGTCACCATATTTGTAAAGAATGGTATAGTGGTTCATATACCATGATGGCCAAGCCAATCACAGCCCTAGAATTGCATCATCCAATGATTCATTTTTTAATAATACATATTGGTTGGAAAATTATAGGTAGAGAAAGTTATGCCTATGATGTATATAGAGACAGTTATATTTTTGAAACGTCACTGTTTAGAAATAGCAGATACAAATTCAAAAGGTTCGGTGAATTTTTAAAGTAAAATGTATTTTTAAGAGTTTTATATTACATGATATATGATATCAAGTTTTTAAGTGTTATGGTAGTCTCGTCCATTTTATGAAGATTTTCCTAATACTTCGTCTGAAAGTTGACATAAAGGGAAGAAATTACTGCTAAATAACAAAATAACATGTTAGTGATAAACAAATGTGTGTCATCACCTGCCTTGTACCCAGACGTCTCTCTCTCTATGAAAATGTGCGCGCAAAGGAAGGCGGGAAGGAGACAACCATCTGTACCCTTCCCATGGTCCCTTGCGGTTCATCACCAGTCACTCGCGTTTCGCGCTTGCCTCTATGATGTGAACAACTCAGTGGCAATCAGACCTTCAGACTTGGGGGGTGGGGGCACCGCCACTGCAACAGTACCTTTTTCTAGTCTGAGACCAGGCTCCGCAGTGTGGAAAGAGTCAAAATGGGGTGAAATAGGAAAAATATCGCCGAGCGGAGAGGAGGCCGATTTTTTTTTCCTTTTGCCCCCAATGCCGAGCCTGGTGCCAGCTAACCTTTCTCCTGTTCAAATACCAATTGTTTGTAGTTTTTATAGTTTTGACAATTTAAGGAATCCTGAGCGATTGAAACTCAAATTCTTTTGCACGGCTTTAGTGCTGAATCTTTGTAAGTTTCCGAAATTCATTTGCTTGACTGACGTAGAATTTGAAGTCATTTAGCCTAGCCAACGGCTAATGGCTCTTGGCCTAGCGTATGAACTTTAAGGCTAACTTTGACAGCTTTGTCCAGATTTGTTTTCAGTTTTCAGCTGATTTTATACAGCCTTCTTTCCATTTGTTTCGTAATGATGTAATAAGTTGATTGGTTAGTATAAATAGAGCACTGTTATCCCATTTTTTCGATTTACATGACTGTGTGATGATTTACATTACTGTAGGATATACATGCTTGTATGCAGTCTAGATTGACGTCCACGAGCTGAAGGTTAAACTGTTACGTTAAAGTCCAAGTTTGAGTGCTGTCCTGTCTCCAGTTTTAGCAGATCCGTAGTCCCTGGAATAGTGACGAGTTCAAGTCCCGCTAGCCAAGCGAGTTGCAGAGTTAGTTTTCCGATCGTTTCCCATTTGTTGTTCATAACGCTCGTTTTCCCCGATTTGGGGATGGCCTGGTAATGAGGTTGTATGGCGGGAAAATTTATAAATTGGCGCTAATTTTTTTATCGCTTTCCCATCCCGCTTTGCGAGTCAATGACCCAGTCGAAGAAGGCAAGATGGCGGGCAGTGTGAGGAACACGGAAAATCTTTTCGAACAGCAAGACAGAGAGAAACTTTTAGAGCTTAATTTTTATGGTTCAGGTGGAATTAGGTTCAAGGGAAGTGAAAGCAGCGCACTTTCTCTTCTAAACAAGCTGAGACTCGAGGGAGAAGAAGGGGGTTTTTGCGACGTCACCCTGGAAGTAGAGGGAAGACAATTGGCCACTCATCGATGTGTTTTGGCGGCAAGCAGCCAATTTTTTTATACCATGTTTAACAGTGGTATGAAAGAATCAAGCCAAACACTCCTTAAGTTGCATTCAGTTAGTTTTGACTCCATGTCGCTCATTCTGGATTATTTTTACACACGAGAGATTCTTATAAACGACGACAACGTGTTGGAGTTGCTCAACACTGCAAGCTTTCTTCTTGTCACTCCAGTGAAAAAGGCGTGCATTCAGATTCTTAACAAACAGCTTAGCATTGAAAATTGTTTCAGTATTCTACAAGTAGCCGAGCAGTTTGGCGCAAGTGAACTTGCGAAAAGGGCAAGCTACTCTATTAAAGAGAACTTCTTCTCTGTGGTGAACAACGAAGAATTTGTTTCCATTTCAAAGAAGAGTTTGATTGACTTTATATCCAGTGATGAAATTCAAGTGGAAAGGGAGGAAGAGGTCTACCAAGCTGTACTGAAGTGGGTGAAGTATGATGAAGAAAATCGTGTCTCATATTTACCTGAATTACTAAGCCATCTCAGAGGGAAGTCGTTGCCTAAAGGATTCCTGAAATCGGAGATGTCGAAAGAGCCAATACTTGCTACCTTCTCTAGTCTGGTAGAATCTTCCAAGAGGAAGATCAAAACAAAATGGACAAAGAAGAAACGTGGAAAGCGAACAGGGGCAGATGACAAACCAGAAGCTGAGAGGACAAGAACATCTACAGAATTGCATAATGTCATGATTGGAATTAGTTCCATATATGGTTTCTGCAAGGCATTCTGTTATGATTTGGACAAGGAAGAAACATTTGTTTTATCAGATTACCCCAATATGCATGTTGATCCAGAATTGGCAGTTATTGGACGGTCTCTGTACATAATAGGTGCTAGTTCCACAAGATTAAGCACTCTGTGTCTTGATGAGGTGAAGAATGAGAGGAAGTCTAGTATGCACCCAGAATGGGAGACTAAAGCACCTTGTAAAGTTGGCAGAGTGGGGGCTTCCCTGGTACAACTTAATGGACTGCTGTATTACATAGGTGGATGGCTTGAAGATGGCAGTTGCTGTAACACAGTGGAGTGTTACAATCCAGAAATAGATGAGTGGGTGTACTGTACTAGCTTGAACACTTCCAGATCTAGGTCAGGCTGTGTGACAGGGAATGGTCACATTTACATCATTGGTGGTGGAACTGCTCTTATATCGGAGAGTTCAGAAACATTTCTTTCAAGTGTTGAGAGGTTTGTTTGATTTAAATAAGAATTTCATCCCTTTTTTCTCACCCACTGGGGAAGCAAATGGCAAGATCTAGGCTCACTGCACAGAAATCACAAGATTGATGCCATTTTTATCCATAGCAATAATGTTTTGAGCTGCTTTATCTGCTCATTTCCTATTTTGAGAATTTCTCAACTTTAATCTGACATTTTTCAGTAAACACAAAAACAGTTCATTTTTGAAAAATTTATTAGCACAAGCTGAAAGAGCATATTAAAATAAGATAAACTGAGAGTTTCCAGCCATGTGCCTCAAAAGTAGTGATTGCAATGGCTGCTGAAAGTTGGAAGCATTTGTATGGGAAAAACAACTTTTGCCTTCCAGTCACGCTTGCATGATCTCGACACAAATTCTTGTAATTTCAAAATTTTCAAAACTGTCATGAAATATTTCCTTAAGCATTGTGAGGCTCAAATCTCCTTGCAATTTGAGCCCTTAAATGTGTAAATGAAAGATTAATGACAGTTTAAAAAGTTTAGAATTTACAGGATTTGTATGGAAAACCCACAGGTAGCCCAAGCTCGCTATGAGAGCCCTGAGCAAAATTATCCATCAGCTAATTAATTATCTGTGCAGCAAAAATTATAAGGCATTGTATGAGAATTATCCTACAGTATTTCTACATCGTTGAGCGAAATGTGCATTAAATTTTTCCTTTTAAGGTTGCATTTAGTATTTTCTTATGTTTACTTGTGTGTTGACTGCATTTCATGCCTGTTGGGATGCCAAGAACCTGAGAACAGCACTACTCTTCTAGGCTAATTACTGATTCATAAAGGAAGACAATTATGAGATGTTGTATGAGAAATATTCTTTGCTCACTAAATTAATAAAATGTGCATTGAGTATCACTTTGAAGCTTACCTTTAGCCTTTCAACCCTCCTAGTTAAAGTGTTTGCTTAGTCGCCATTTGGTAACCAACTCTTTAGGTTTAGGGAGACTTTTTTACAAATCAAGTCGCCAGTTTGAAAATTCTAGGCGCCATGACAACTAAAATGGTCGCAACTTGGAGGGTTGCCTTTTCTTGTTTTTCATTGTATTCTGACTGCATTTCAGACCTCCTAGGCACTGATTAATGCCTTTTTTTTGAGGACATTTTTTCACCCGGATGACAGTACTCCACTCCGCTCTCGGCGGTGATAAATGCCATGACATTTGCAACATGGAGGCAATTCTGCCAGAAACAGATGTTCTGATAAAAAATGCACATTTTCCATCGTTCTTATCACTAAAATTCCCATTTCGAAGGTCCTAGTGGAAGTCAAGCATTGCGTGTCAGATATATAGTGACATGCTGCACTTGGTTGACGTCTACTCTTCTTTTAAAAAAGCCTTCGACAATGGTTTTTTATGTATGATGTAGAAAAAAAATATTGCAATAACAGTTGCAGCTGTAAACAAAAAAATCAAAAGATTGCATTGTTTCTCGTTGAACATGCACTTACAAAGTATTTCATTTTTTAAAACAAAAAGGATTGATTTTCCTGGTCTGGCTTGTCCGCTAACTAATAGATAATGACCCAGTGAGGCACCGTTCAACGAACCCCTTTGTTCATTTGTTAGACTGAAACGAAACTTGCTTTGCAAAATGAAATACTTTTTAAACAATGCAATCTTTTGATTTCTTGTTTACAGCCGCAACTGTTATTGCAATATTTTTTTTTCGGCTACCATTGCGATTGCTACTTTTGGGATATACAGCTGAAAATTCTCAGGTTACCTAATTTAAATATGCTCTTTCAGCTTGTGCTAACAAGAGTTTTCAAAAGTGAACTGTTTTCGTGTTTACCAAAAGTTGATGACGTGATCACAGTCTTGCAAAGAGCCTATTCTTACAAAGTTTCTCATCCAATTTTCTTGAACCTGTTGGTCTTTAATATGTTTGTAGGTACGATCCAGAAAAAGATACATGGTCATTTGTTGCCAGTGTGAATCAAGGAAGGATAATGCCAAGCTCTGTATGCTTGAATGGCAAGATCTATGTGATTGGGGGACGTACATCCAGTATAACCTTCACCCCTACCTGTGAAGTGTATTTTCCTAATACTGACGAGTGGCAGTTCATTGCAAGTCTCCCTCACCCTGATCCTAGATGCATTGAAGTTATTGTAGTAAAGAACCAGATTATGGTAACTTGGATGCCTGACGTAACTCTCGATTTCTCTCACAATGCTGTAAAGTACAATGTGCGGGCTAATGCTTGGCGAAAGGTAGAGCGTTTTGGTCCAAGTAACAAGCAAGCATCTTTTACTCTCTGTACCACTAAGCTGCCTGCAATGATCCTGCAAAGGCTGCCCAAAGCACTATTTTTAGACGACTTTTTTGAAGAAGATAGTGAAAATGATATGGAAGATGATTCTTACAGAAGTGACAGCGATGACAGTTTAAGTTTCTTTGGATGGCGGGCAATGCGTGGGTTTATGGATTGGGCTAATGGTTCCAGTGATGATGAAGCCTACTGGTAAACAGTTTAACTTTTTAAGTCCTAATATCCTCATACAAATTCTCCTGACTGATCTCCATATATCCTCAGTGCATAAGTTGAGAGAATTTGATAAAAGATCCAAATATTTTCCCTTTGGGATCATTTGATAAATTCTCTTTACCTTTTTTCCTTGTTTATTGAAATTCTTAGAAGAAAGTTGTTGTTCCATTTTAACTCTTGGGACCTACAGGTTAAATGCTTCCCTTAATTTGGAGGACTTGAAGTGCCATGTTTTATTTGCTTGGGGAGGTTTTAAATGTGCCTCAATCAAGCATTTCATTTGTAAATCTTAAAGTTTACCAGTTAAATATTTTCACTCATGTGGCCAGCATCTATGCTAATTTATTGGAACAATGAAAGTTTTTGCATAAGAAAAGAGTTCAACTCCCACAGGATTAGTTTAGAACGCCAACATGGCCACCGTTTCGTTGTTATGGAACGCCAATATGGCCGTTGTGATGTCTGTGAAAACGCTTTATAAGGAAGTAGTCTTCATTTGACACTGATGCTTTAGGTAGTGTGCTAGTATAAGTTTTCTGAGCAATGTAATAGTTCTGAAAGTGCCATTAGAATGCACTCAAGCAATACAGTGAAGATATGGGTGTTCCAGTGAAAGAAACTCCACCATATAGAACTGTCAGTAACTTTAAATGTTGCTATTGACTGATATTGTAAGGAGAAGTTCAGTTATGGTCACTTGTGGAGGTTAGAGGGTACGAGTGGTGCCTCCTACAGCTGGTGACAAAAGTAATGGTTTAGGCACATTACTCTGAAGGACATTCCCTTGGTTTGCTGTCCCTTCCGCACTGCCTCTGGAAATATTGTCCTGCAGGTCAGGGTATGTGTCAAAAAAAAAAAAACCATATCATTGTCCCTACAATAATTCTTTTGTTTCCAATTGTAGCACAAAAATATCCTTGCATAGCTTCCGACTAAGCTGTCAAAGTAGCTGTCAGGGAAATCTGAACACACAAAGTAGAGGTGATCGTGCAGGTTTCAGACCAATTTAAGGCTTTAATTCTGAAGCAGTTGAATGTCTAAGGTTTTAAGTGAAATTTCTGTTTACCATTGAGTTATATGTTGTAGTTATTTTTTTATCTCAGATAATTTTTGTTTTTCTTTTGTTTTTGGGCATGGTGATGTATGCTAATGAAGTTGAAACGAAATAAAAATAAAAATTTCCTGAGATAAAAAATTAACCATACAACTAGTAAGGATTTATGAAATAGTTAGACAATGTTATGCTGCTTTCTATTACTACTACTTACTACTATTTGTGATTATTTTAATTTAAAAATTAGGGTTAGTAAGGTAATTAGTTTGTTGAGCGTTACTTCAGGTAAATAACTTTTACATTCATGTTTGATGATTTTATATGTTGAAAAATTATCAATGGAGAAAGTAACACCTATGATATATAGAGTTATAATTTTTAAAATGTTATATTTAGAAATAGCAGTGAGAAATTCAAAAGGATGCAGTGAAGTTTTAAAGTAAATACTCTGTTTTTAAGAGTCTTTTATTACATGATATGAAGTTTTAAGTGTTGTGGTAGTCTCGTCCATTCCATGTTAAGTATTCAAATACTTCATTTGAAAATTGTCATAAAGAGAAAAAATCCTACTTCTAAATGACATGTTAGTGACAAACAAATATGTGTCATGAGTGTTTTAATACAAAATTAGGGACAACAGCAATCTTTGAAAACTGTTACGCAGAACAGTTTCGAAAATACCCACATGCAATCTTTTTATATCTTCAATTCTGTTCCTCCATCCATGCCTTCTATTGTTCAAAATAAAAGTCAAAATGTTCCCAGGCTAATTTGACCTTCAAAAACGAGAAGGAAACTTAGCTGAGTTAGCTTCACAAAGACTTCTGGGATCTTTACTGGGGGCACCTTGGTCAGCTATTGGCTCCTGTAACAGTCCAAGAAGTCTTCGCCATTATTCCAATCTCACTCCATGACCATGGCAGGATGAATTGTCTCTAATACGGCCTGTTTACAAGGAGGTGGGGGACCCCAGGTAAGTGAGGTGACATGTGGCGGGTCACCCCACCTATCATGTAAACGTGATCAAATGAAAATGAGAGATTAAATGGACAGGCGGGTTACCCCATCTAAGAAGGTTACCTCACCTTCCTGGGGTCCCCCACCTCCATGTAAACAGGCCCTTACTGTGAACAAAATCCTATAGTTTGCATGTTGCTATAGCGATACTCACCCTGTCATCTCCTTTTTATATCAATGTATCAACCAGAAGTGCATCGGTTCTTGCAAAAAAAAAGTCTTCTTTTGTTTCAGTCGTTCCAATTTTGAATAACAAAACATTGTTTGTAAACAGTGATGTCTCCTGTTTATCTGTAATTTTCTGTGAAATTTTTTACATTGGCCACAATTTTAAGAAGGTTATTTTATATTCCACTGAGTAAATCAGTTAATTTTCGGCTATAAAAGTAGTGGGAGCAGTGAATCGTCTTGGGGGAACAGGCGGGTTTTAAAGTACCAACACTAAAAGCAATTGGACTTAGGCGAAATGAGGAGTTTCGCAGGTGTTCCGTTTTAATTTCTTACTTCCTCTCTGTTAAGTATATCTTTTTCGGCTATGTCTTTCGTTTTTGTTTTTGTTGTTATTTATCTTTGACATTTTTTCAGGTATGGGCAAATTCGCGTACAGGTTACTACGCCCCTGAAACGACGTGGTTTAAAGGCCTGTCGACATTTAAATATTTTATGGCGCAAATGTTTGATAATGTAGAAGAACAAGAAATTATGTCAAGGTTTTTTTTTTTTTTTTTTCATGACAGCCATGCCAAACTGAAACCAAAAAAAACACTAACAAAGGAAAACACCGAGTCCCGGGTGGGCGGATGACTTCAAACTCATGACCTCTTTATTCAGCGGCTGCATGCTCAGCTCTCTCGGTCCTTCCCGTGAGCCTGCACGGGCGCGCCTGTCACTCCTCCTCAAGCAGAGACTGGAGTGGCGGGCTCTGAGCTCCCCCGCCATCAGACTAACTCCCTACATAGAATTTGCAAGCGTTAGGAGCAAGTTTCGTTGCCTGCAAGCCGGCGTCCACAGCTTGTCCGGGAAACAGATGGCATCAGCTGCATGCAGGCTGCAAATTTTGCACGTAATAGGATTTTAAGGTCTGCGGCTGTTTCACAGAAAAGTTATCTGAAAAAAACTAAATATTCATGGGCAATTGCACCGTTTTCAGCGATTTCTTATTTACCCTCTATTCGATTCTGGCTCGTTTTTTTTTCATCATGTTTGTTTTTATCGATCAATTTTTTTTTTCAGGTAAGGACGTGCGTTGTACAGCTAGTTACGCCCAGTGCGAGCGCAAAGCGACGCGCTCTTGAGTGTTGAAAGGTTACACAATTCCGAACATCGATGTCAATGCAACCATACTGTAGGAACTTAGACAAGGATATGATTTCCCTGTCGTACGTAACAGGTAGCATGTGAGTCTAGAGCAAGCAGTCTGTCTTTGTATAAACGACATTTACCTCAGTTGGCTTTGCAATTAAAATCCATCTGGTGATTCCCGACACCCCCACCCCCCCTCCCTCCCCCGCCGCTGAATTTAGATGAACTCTTTAGATTTCGATGGCGATCGCGATCTCTAAATGAAGCTAAGAGGTGTTTTTTACTGCAATTTCACGAGAAGACCAAGAGAGTCCCAAGACACAGACAGCCCATCCGAAATAGCTCAGTACAGCCCGGCCTGTAGCTACGCGGCTCCTGCTACGACCCATCTTTAATAATGTTTAAATTGCCTCAAGCACGCGCGAGTAACATGCTTTCGGGGCCTTATAAAAGGTCGTCACTCAGAAAACGGATAGAGCACTCGATCACCACCAACGAAATGAGATGTTTGCCGCTCAAGGCCACAAACAAGACGCGGCAGGACAAGATCAGAAATGAGGAGATCAGAGAAGAGGTTGGCAAAAGGGTTTTCCGTGACGCGTGGTGGATTAGCCTGGTGCGCGATGGTTATTCTTTTTCTTGGCATGACGCGTGATGGCTTTAAAAAATTAGGTGTGATGCGCGATAGGTACCCGCCCCCTTACCTTTGCCACCCTGAGAGAAATGGTAGGATTGGTGGCACAACACCATATACCGGTAAACAAACAGAGAATGAAATGGTTCGGCATATGACGAGAACGGAAAACAACCAGCTCGCACAGCAAGCATACAACACCAGTAGACACATTGATGTCAGGCTATAAAGCGAGTGGACTTCAACGGAAGACAACCGGGTGAGGGTAACTCAAGGAAATTTCATACAGGGAGGCTCTGCCCCGAGGTCCAACCCCTTACCCTTATACATACCACTTTTGACGGAAAAGGTACCCCTTTTGAAATATCTTCTATTAAAAGATGGTACCTCTTTAACATACCTCGTTTAGAAGACTGCAATTCTTCTAACTGCTGTAAATGCACCGTCTATATAATATGAATTGATCATTAGAAATCAGGAAGAATTGTTGTCTCTTTTACATCCACGAAATGCGTCGATTAGCCCGTTTAGGTCCTTTTACAGACCAAAATGACAGATTTTCTTACCTTGTTATATACTTTAACCAATGAAGTCCCTGCCCTTTCATATACCTGAAGGCTGTAAAAGGTACCCCTTTCGGGCGGAGCCTCCCTATATAAACGACTACAGGGAGTCCCCCCTGGCGTAAGACTTGCATTAAGGGCTTCAAAGACAGCCTTAGGGCATACAACACAGCCCCTTCTTCACAGCCTTTAGACTGGCGGCTGATCAGAAGCTTCCGCTCTCCGCGACACCTAGCTCCGGTATAAGCGGGATTCGTACGGGTTGAGCAGGAAAGTTGATACAGTCAAACCTCTTTAATTCGGACACCAAAGGGACAGAACCAAGTGTCCGCTTCACAGAGGTGTCCGTATTGTAGAGGTAGGGAATGTATGATTTTTGGCATTATAGAGGTGTCTGTAAGGAGAGGTTAGACTGTAATAAAGTTGAAGTAAAATTTTTTTTTTGAATATTGGGTGAACTTTTCCATATGATATAAATATTTTGAGCCTCGTTCGAACCAGACGCCCTTTGATTTTGCAAAACTTTCTGGAATTTGACCTCCGTAAATAATCATGCATTTTTGGCGACTCAGAATTAAAAACAGACTGAGAATATCAAATTCCCTCCCGATCTGTAACGTAAAACCACTCGATATGATTTTAACATTTTTCATGTATCAGGTTCACATTTATAATATGATCGACAAATTGCTAATCTGGATCAAGGTTTTAAAGTCTTCATTACCACTCCGTGAATGTGGGCCGAGCCGGTAAATATACATTTTCTTCCCCTCCTTTTCAAATCTTTGAAATTTATCAGTCTGAAACCAACCCATTGACTGTAGTTTGCGGTCTCTGATTTCTCAGCTGTTGAGGTATTATCGCTTTCTCGAGTGGAAACAATATCACAGGAGATCATTTATTTCGTTTTTCTAGTGAATTTGTACGCCAGGAAAGAGTTGTCGTGGATACAGACCTGTTCCAGAACTGTAATAACAGCTGATTGCTACGTACTTCCGGCAGCGTGCTGAATGTCGATTGGTCAATTCCTTTTTCACATGTACATCAATATTGTGCGCATGTTCGAAAGTTGGTATGAACTTTCCTCTCACAATTTTCCTCTAGTCTGGGAGGCCGGCGACTTTTGAGTGCGAAAAAGAACAACAACTGTGAGCCGACTGCATTTTCCCCTCGCTGTAACGCTCTTTTGAGCTTCACGATGCAGCCTCTCGATCCAATAACCCTGGCAATAATTGCTGTGGTGGTAGCCGTTGTACTCTCTGCACTTCTGTTACTTCTCTTTACATCCCGTGAGGAGAAATTTGAAGATGTTCTAGCAGCCCAGCGTTCTGAACAAGAGGCGTATCTTGTACGTTCTGCTGCTGTAAAATCCGCCAAACCTCGCAAGAAGTTCAGCAAGGGAAAGAAGAAATACTCAGACGATGGGGAAGTCATGGATGAAGTTTCAGAGCCTTTGGTCGAAGAAACGATCGAGACAAGCCATGTCGAGGAAGACGAGTCGGGTTTTTCTCCATCCGGAAAATATTTTATGGAAGCTGACCCACCGGATGACGAGAAGGTACCCTTAGCGGAAGAAAAACCGAGCACTGGGATTGTGAAAGAGCGACCAGGGAAAAAGAAGTCGAAAAAAGCTGCCCTGAAAGAGGAGAAAAGTTCCGTGAGTGAACCCCATGTAAGTTTCGACAAGCCACGTGAGGATGTGGAAGAGGTTGTAGCTCAACTCGATTCCGCTTCAACTTTGGAAAACGAGCCAGGCAAGTTCGAGGAACTCGAAATCGAAGAGCAGAAACTTCCTGACAGCAATGAAACAGCGGCTTCAGCTAAGAAGTCGAAGAGTAAACCCAAACCAACCAAAGACAAGGGGTCTATTCAAGGTCAGTGTGGTGTCGATTGTAATAAGTAACCTTAGTGTTATTTAGACTGTTCACAGTCCCCATTTTTCGTAGTCGTTCCAAGCGCTTATTTAGAGTGAAAACTCACTGAGAGCTGTTGAGCGAAGTTTCTTTTCCGGCCTTCAACACAGCAATGCTGGTCACACAACGGAGATATTGTTACGTAAATTTCAGCAATTTATTGAAGCAATAGTCAGCTGAATGGTATGAATTTAAATCAAAGTTGTACACTTGAGAGATGAAAAAGTCAACGTGGCAATTTGGGAAGGCTGCAGCTAAGACGAACGCTTCTCTGCCCTCTGTTTTGCTTTTTTTTGTTGCAAAATAGGCGGAGTTTAGCCTGATCAAAACTAATATATATTCAGTTGTACACGAGAGCTCGAGGGAAGAAAAATAGCGTACTTCTCAGCCGAGGAAATAAATAGAATAAATTATTTAATGAAATGGTGAGGCCTGTGTCGCGATGTTTTGTTAGTAGTCAATACCAAGTATCATTAATAAAAGTCTTACATTTCTTTGTTTTGTTTTTGAGAATTTGGCTTCTAGTACTAGGCAGAAATATTAGTTTCGCAATCCATTGGCGATTTCTCGCCTTTCTTTTGATTTAGACAAGTTCACCAACGTTAAAGTTGCCATTATTTCTTATACCTGCTAGAGCGATTTTTTAAAATCAGTTTTACGATTGATGGGTAACTGAACTCTAGACTTCCTTGATTCAATGGAAAATCATTATATGAATTTAAAAACTTTCGGTTTAAAATGACCCCGATTTACACTTTGCTTGGTTTTACTCATTGGTTGGAAATATTGTAAATATCATTCAAACATACGGTTATCATCAAACATGAAGAGAAAACCTTAGCAATACGTGTTTTAGTAGAATATGACAAATAACAAAAAATTTGTAAACATAAAAAGACGGTAAAGTTCATAAATTATCACATTTCACAAAAAATGTAAAATTTGATAGTGAACAAGATTTCCATATTTAACTCCAGACATTATTTTTATTTAAGAGGATTAAAACCTCTTGTGAATTTTTTAAGTGGTCTTGTTGTTCCAAATGCATGTTTGTGCATCTTTTCAAAAAGTGGGAAGAAAGGTCTACCTACATAGACCTTACAAAAAAGTCACAGTTTTTGACGCCATCTTGACGAGTGGGCAAATGTGTGAGAAATTACATTTTTTGTATGAGAATCTAATGTTGAATAATATTCCTGTAGAACGGCCATTCTGAAAAAAAACATGACTTGTAAACTAAAGCTACAAAACAAAGGATTGTACTAAAAAATTTTTAGGGCGTACCTGTGTTTAAATTTCTCCAGGGGCTTGCTTTAGATTTTCCATATATGTGTCTGTAATTTTTCGTGGGACTTTCTTACAAACAAATGAATAGAAAATTTTAAAAAAGGAGTTCTAGAAATTCTAGGGCATGTGAGACGCCCTCAATTTTTTTCAGTAGAATCCTTAGGAGTGAAGCTTTAGTTTACAAATCATAATTTTTTTCAGAACATCCGTTCTATGGAAATTATTCGACATTAGATTCTCATACAAACACAGTAATTTCTCACGCATTTGCCTACTTGTCAAGATGACATCGAAAACTTTGACAAGGTCTATTGTATAACATCGTATTAGATTTTTTAGTGGTAAAGTTTTCGATTTTTTTGGAGAAGTTGGAAATATGTCATGTGACCATCAAGTTATCCCTCTGATATATTTGATGATTAATGATTTTAAACAGTTTCTTTTGCTTATTAATTGAAGGTCTTTTCTTCTGTTGGTTTATAAGACAACAATCCAAACTGGGCTGATATCCTGAAGATATTGAGGAATGTTTTGTTGCTAATGAGATTGTGTGTTGCCTGAAGAAAATCATATTATGTAACGTTTTGGGAAGCATTGGAACTTTTGATGTTTTTTGGGTATAGTTTTTTTAATGCATGTGTTACAAGTACCAGCACAACTTGTTGTTAAAGCATACAGCTTAAACGTCCTTAGATTACTCAAGTAGTTAGATTTATGTAAATTTGTTTCCGACTAAAGACAAATATTCTTATATTGCTCCCTTCCTGCCAAACGACCCCCGTGAAAAAGTTATTGAGAGAGACCTGCATATGTATGCATTTTTGTTGAAAAGAAAGGTTTTAAAGCATATACCACAATACTTGTATAAATGCCACTGAGTGCTTTCTTTATGAACTATTATAAACTGTACATCAGGCAGTGTCTTTTTTACTGTGCCATACATTGTAGGTTCTCCTTTTTTTCTGGCCATGAATATCACTATTTTTTTTCATGAGAATTAATAGAACCGTGAAATAAATTTAGTCCCTAGTACAGCAAGCAACATTTTTGCCTTAGTTGATGTACATTGGCACTTTTAGAAACGAGAAAGGGATTGAAACACTGCAGTTGATTTTAGGATTGTTACTGGGGAGGAGCCAGTCAGCTATTGGCAATTTTTCCCCCTGTCCATAGTAACAGACCCTGAAGTCTTTGCAAAAGTGAACTTGGTCAAGTTTCCTTCTTATTTCCAAAGTGGCGAATTGCATGGACAGGGTGCAAAGAAAGTTAGTTTTACAGCCTGCCATTTGGGCAAGCTGTAGCTAGCATGTACTAGCCCACAACTCATTTTAACTAGCCCCAAAACCCTTTTTGTTTAGCAGGATTAATAACAATGCTTCTGTAATTTGAATTTCCCCAAAAGACAGCAGTCAAGTTAAGAATAAACATCACTAGCCCGATATTAAAATCCACTAGCTCCGGGCTATCGGACACGACTTTCTTTGCACGCTCATGGAACATTTTATCAAACAATTTCCCAGTCCTTTTGGAATTTGTTAGATCACAGGTTCCATTATATGTAAAACAGCTGAATTTTGAAGACCATTTTTTGTTTTGTCTGAGCAGGGGAGGTGAGCGCAAAACGTCTCATGGAACTGGTGACCTCTTCCAACCTGAACTCGTCAGAAATTCAAGCGATGATTGATGTGCTATTGAACAAACAAGGGGAGAATAGTCAGTGGAAAAAGGTATAAATGTTCAAGTATTGATTTTAACAATATATCTTTTTTCTGTATTGTAGGCCAAGTCATATTGTTCTTTTGAAAAGAATATAGCAGAGAAATGCCCAAATTTGTTTGGAAATCTTAAATGAAAAAAAAAAAAAGTACTGCAAACTAAACAAGTTCTGCTGAGGCATTCTATATGGCTGCCATTCAAAGCAAAAGTGCTGCCACAATTGGTTGGGTTGCATGGTATGATGTCATGGAAGTGGTTTAATGATTAAACTAAACTACTCCTGTAACTCATTCCACGTACCCCAACCCATTATTTGTATGACACTCTTTGAACAGGGAAGGCAAATTACTGTCTTTTAAGAAAAAATTCAGGTGAAACAGAGAATCAACCATTGTAGGTTAAAAAAAATTAGCCTGAATTTAATTTTAACCTGTAACACATACACTTTTACCAGCTACAGTCAAACTCCACTAATACAAACACTGCATACATTTGACAATGAAGTGTAGCGAGGTTTACTTTCTATGAGAATCTGTTGATTGGGCAAGAAACAAGAAGTGTCTGTTGTCCACATTAAGGCGTGTCTGTATTAAGCAGGTTGAATTGAGACAAAATGTAAGGTCTTTCCCCAGGAACAAAGAAAACTGTATGTAATGATGAGGTGTCTGTATTAAGTGGGTGTCTGTAAAGCGTGGTTCGACTGTACTGGCATACTAGGAGTTAAGTTAGGCTTGGTTAATTTCTGCTGGCAGAATTTTTAATAGAATAATTAATTTTTAAGGGGAGTATTCTGCTGGGCATTTCTGAGGAGAATTTGAGCAGGGTAATGTGAATATTAGTGACATTGTCATAATGTGCGGTATAACGTGTTCGAGAAAAATTGAATACTAAATAATTATATTACAAGATGTAAGATCTTAAGAAAACTAATGTCTAATATGAGAGATACATGTATTGTACAAAGTAAGATGTAATAATTATTTATCTCATTATTATTATGTTATGCATAGAGCTGTAAAAATGCATACATGTAGGCCCAAAGGGCTGAAATTCTTTTGGGTACCCACAGTGTAGCAGAAGTCATTCTGAACAGATAGAATTGCAAGCAGAATATGAAGCAATTTTTATTAACATTGCTAGCGGAAAGAATCATTCCTTATTTCTCTGGGTAGCAATTATCCAAGCCTAAATTTGGAGATGGAACCTATGAAATTATTGTAGAGAGTGTCATTTGTTTTTTTCTTTTCTAGTCTACCTCCAAGGGAGACACTGTTGAGTTGCTCAAAAAACAGCTCCAGGAGAAGGATAATCAGATATTAGAAGGTAAATTTAGTAATGATGATGCCCAAGATAACAACAGAACAACATAAACTCAAAAATCCAGCAGAAATCTCTGGAATTTGTTTTTCTCATATTCTGTAAGTAAGCTTGGCACGGTTCCATATTCCATTATTCCCGTAATCTTAACTACAGATGTTTTTCTATAATTCTGTAGTTATACGCACGGGATAGAGAAATAGATTTGAATGATATTTTGCAGAAGTTCTTTTGCTGGATGGACTTAGGCCACGGAGCATTCATACAATGATTTCTTCTTTTTCTTCATCATCTTTTTCTTCTTGTTATTATTACTATATAAACAGCTATTAAATGCTAGGTGAGCTTTTGCACAAAAACATGATATCTTCACATGTGAAAATAAGATGTCTTCACCCATTCAAAGATCACTGTTGCCATGGCTGCATAAGAAATCACCCTCTTTGCAGAAAAACAACATTTAAGTGAAATGGTTTGACTTAATTCATTGGTGTTTATTTATTAGAATTAATAGAACATTGCATGACGTATGCAGTTACCAAATTTTTCTTTTTGAACTATTTTTAAATACTGGAATTGAAATTTCATATCACTTTGCAGCCATGTAATATCGTCCAAATTTGCACATTTCTTGTTAACAATTTCCTTTTCCTTTAATAATTAAAATGCAAATGTTTCAATAAAAGGACCCATCAAACTAAGTTAATGTGGGTCTATATTTTCTCACAAGTCAGTTAAGACAAAATAAATGCTACAGTAGGCTCTTTGCATGACTTGATCATGTGATCAACTTTCAGTAAACACAAAAACAGTTCACTTTTGAAAAATTTTGTCAGCACACGCTGAAAGAACCTATTAAAGTTAGGTAACCTGAGAATTTTCAGCCGTATATCTCAAAAGTAGCGATTGCAAGGGCCACCGAAAGTTAGAAGCATTTGTATGAGGAAAACAACTTTTGCCATCCAGTCACGCTTGCATGATTTCCATACAAATCCTTGTAATTTTGAAATTTTCAAAACTGTCATAAAATATTTCCCTAAGCATTACAGGGCCCAAATCTCCTTTTAATTCATAACAGACAATTTGAGTCCTTAATTGCGTAAGAAAAAGGTTACACAACAGTTTAAAAGATTTAGAATTTACAAGGATTTGTATGGAAAACCATGAAAGCGTGACTGGATGGCAAAATTTTTTTTTCTAATACAAATCCTTCTAACTTTCAGCGGCAGTTGCAATCGCTACTTTTGAGATATATGGCTGAAAATGATCAGGTTACCTAATTTTAATATGCTCTTTTAGCTCGTGCTAACAAAGTTTTTCAAAAGCGAACTGTTTTCATGTTTACCGAAAGTTGATCACGCGATCAAGTCATGCAAAAGCCCATAAGAGTGAGTCAATATGTTGATGCATCCAGCGTCAATATCAACAGTGAAGTTTATCCATCAAAGTTTGATTTATGAAGATATTGATAGATGTAAAAAAAAAAAAGGTTTAAAGGCTTGTTTATAGTGGAAAGTGCACTTAGCTTACCCAGCTAGTTTATTAGCACTCCACTCAAGTACTTAGAAACAAATAATTCAAATACAACACAACAGGATTAAATACCCCAACTGGCAAGAAGATTATTGTAAGACTATTGTTTTCGTTTTAGAACGACAGCAGTCACAAAATGCCGCCAACAAGCTAAGGGAATTGAGGTAATAAGAGTGGTAATAATATTTTAGTACATGTTACATGTTGCAGTCAAACATTCCCTAACCTTCACCTCCCATACTGTCCATATTGGCAGACACCTCCTGTTATGCACCGTAGGCAGGCACTACTTAGTCAATGCCCCTGCCACAAACAAATGTTGTTGGCAGTGGTGTGCAAATGGATGCAACTACTCCCAACAATGTTGGGACCTCCAGTGCATAGTGGGAAGGATACAACCCAAAAGACTTTGTAGACCATTGTGAAATGCACATTTGCCGCGCTAATGGTATTGGAAGAGCTGTACAAATGGATTCAATGTTGTTGTGCTATGCTTTGGCGATCACGGAACAAAAGAAATGTTGGGAGTTGTTGGCTCAAAAGTTTGACTGGAACAACTCCCAACAATGTGTAACAGGATGTGCAAAAGGATGAAACTTGTAACATCCAACAATGTTGGGAGCTGTTGGCCAACAATGTTGCATCCATTTGCGCTGGGCTTAATGCAGACACAGATCTCCTAAATGGATAATTTTTGTGGTCTCAAGGGTGTCCACTTAATATAATCAGGAGATTAAACCGATGATATGTGGTAAACTGTTTCAAGTTATTCATAGCAGCATTGTCATACGGGAACTGAAGAGGAATTATTCCCCTTTTTTGCAAGCATCTTAAAGATCTTCTTTGAGAGGCTTTTTTATACCCAAAGTGCCTCCAGAGTACATCTTCAACCACATAATCCCCTTTTTGTCAATTTTTTTTTGCATCTGTGTCTAATCTGTTTCTTAGGGTTCATGTGAGTGGGTTCGTGTGTACCTTGAACATATATATGAACTGCATTCTGCTGCAACTCTTATTTGAATTCTGATACCTTTTTTGCAGGGATGAGCTTCAGCAGGAAAAACAGAAGCAAAAGCATCAACAAACCAATGCGTCTAACAAAATCACTGCCCAGGTAAGGCAGCCATCTGTACATCCTGATGTAAAAAATCAACAAACCAAAGGGTGCAAAGAAAACCAGTTTTACAGCTTGCTGTTCATGAATTCCCCAAAAAACATCACTTGTCCCCTCTGGCAAGTTACGAACAGAAATCACTAGCCTGATAGCAAAATCTACTAGCCCTGGGCTATTGGACACTACTTTCTTTGCATGCTGAACCTGATTGCAACAGTATGAATGGAATGTAATGTAATGTCATGGCTTAGAGGACAACAAGTCATGCCCTCTTTACATATATTAACATGTTAACTGTTTTAAAGAACCTCTATAAAAACCTTTAACAAAGTCCTTGGTATAATGAACAATATTCTTTTCTTCAGTAATAGTAAATCGTGTAGGTGCGTGTGGCCAAGCGGTTAACACCTGGAGGTCCAGGCTTCAAGCCTTGCCCGTTGCGTTGATTCCTTAGACGAGGCGCAAGTTGTTCAAAAAGGTGGATAGCACAATCCACCTGAGAAATCGCTCTCCACTGTTAATACAAATTGCTTTTCCAAATACTTGTACACTACATAGTGATTTATCTGTTGGATAGAGCTATCCATCTTTTGAGCAACTGGGGCCAGGTGTTTTACTCCACTTTGTCTCTCTTCACCCATGTGTATAAGAAGGTACTGGCGACATACTTATAAGGGGTAACCCTGTGATGGACTAGCATCCCGTCCAGCGGGGAGGGTAGCAATACTCCTAGGCATGCTTCATGCTAAGGAAACAGTGTTAAGTTCCGGCCTTTCAGGCCTTTGGCTTGTGTGCGCCTTTACCTTAGCTTTTATCTGGTAATGGTAAAATTAATGAAATTAAAGGACCTCGATATAACAAAACCTCATTATAGTGAACACATTTTGCCCTTCCCTTGGCCCTTTGTTAAAAAGAGGTTTCACTGTAAAAAAAAATTAATTTCATTTTCTGCAGGGTAAGGAAATCCAAGCTCTCCATGCACGTATTCAAGCTTCTCATGAAAATCATGCCATAGAGTTAAAGAACATGCAGTCTCAGATGAGACAGCTGCAAGAAATGGTTACATCGAGTTCCATGGGTAATCTGCAACGCCTACAGGAGGTAAATTGGTACTGTAACTACTATCTTGTATGAGATTTACATAAAATATACTGTATTTACTTGAATAAGCGCTATTAAAATTTTCATGCCTCAAGTGTGGCGCTTATTCAAGGGTGGCGTATATTTGAAAGTTGATGAGATAAAGAGTTGTATTAACTACAGTGTTGATATTTTCCCGATTAAACTAACAGAATTAACATCTTTTCTTTTGATTTTGATTATATTGGGGCAGCGGTGCATATTCAAGGGCAGTACTTGTTAACTTCTTTCTCCCAAATGCAGCCTTAATTCAAGGGCTGCCCTTAGTCAGGGGTGATGCCTATTCAAGTAAATACAGTTATTAAACAAGTTTTATCTTCACATACATGTAGATGTGTTGTGGTTCAATTTTTGTTTTGTTTTTCTTTGATTTGTTTTGGTATGCGATAGAAACTCATTATTGCATTTTTGACCAAGTGTGAGGTCAAGATGGCCAAATATTAATTATTGTTGTAGCTGTTTTTTGTCAATATCGAACCATCTTGTCCAAACAAGCCTGGTCAATAAAGAATTTTCCATAGATTCTAAAGAAAATGTTTCCTTGGGAGTTGGGGGGACAACCCTACTGCACTGTACATGTGGGTCCACTGCAATCGAGGAGACGTAAACCATACAGTCGAATATAACACACTTTTAATCACAGCTTAAAGTGTGGCACTTATTTTATTTCTTTCTCAAATGAGTGGAGTGCTCATGAACTTTGTTTCTTTCATTTTGTTCAGGAGAATGCACAGTTAAAGAATGCATCTATGAGAGCAGCACAACTGTAAGTTTCTATTGTGATTTTTACATTTTTATGGTCTTGATTATAGTAGGTTTGTTGGATCATTATACTTTTCTGGGAAACTGCCCACCTACCCCTCCCCTAAGCCAACATTAACACTTACTTCTCACTTAGGGCAAAAATTATGTTGGCTTAGGGGAGGGGTAGGTGGGCAGTTTCCCAGAAACGTGTAATGATCTGGTCTGTTGTAGGTAAAGTTGGTTGTCAGTTGTGTACGTGTTCCGTAGCCATCATTTCACAAGAAAACCAGTGGTTGCGTGGCGAAATGTGGACATGTCTACTCAGGCTGGTATAGACAGTTAAAATGGTGACAAATGCCACAAAGATGTGTTTAAATTGCAACACCAAAGTAGAAAAGTGCAATAGTAATGAATTAGTAAAATACAAACAGGGATATGGCTTTCCCCTCAAAACCCCAAAAGATGGGTTTTGAAATCCCAACAAGGAACATGTGCCCCCCTCTCCCCCTTAACAGGGCCTCTAGAATAGGTCCATCTCTCTAGTGCTTTGTGTGTGAAGTCAGTGCATTTGTTCTCTCAACAGCACTGCAGATAAAGAATCGCTCACAACAGAACTGACCAAGCTGCAACAGTCATATCGCCATGTCAAAGGAGATCTGGCAGGCAAAATGGAGCAACTTGCGCAGACTGAAGCAAATCGTAAATCTGCTGAGGAGAAAATCAGACAGATGAGCGTTCATCAGAACAGTGCTGTAAGAAAATGCTTTAACCCTTTATGTCCCAAGAATGACCAACTTCAATTTTCTCCCAACAGTTTAAGTTAAAAATCAAGAAAAAAGGTTTTAAGAATTGATGAAATGGTAGCCAAAAGGGAAAAGCTTTAATCTTTTATCAAGATCTCTTTACAAAATCTTGAAGGAAATGTATAGAAAAGGGTCTTTGGAATTTTTATGTGGATATCGGATCATAAAGAGTTAAGTTACTCAGTTACTAATATGCTTCGTAAAGTTTATTTGACACTAGAGTCTTTTATTTGCTCAATAGAATCCACACAGTGTCCTCAATTTTTCTTTCCTCTGTTTTTACATACCAAAAACATGACATTGCACTTCCAGTGCAACACACAACTGAAAACAGGAAACTGGGAACAACTGTGAGGTCACCTCAGGACATTAAGATTTTCAGCAACCAAATATCCCAGTTGTTTCTTGCTTTTTCAGCAGAAGCCGGTGCTTTGAACTGTATTAGTCTTTTTTTGCCGATTTTTTGGTGCCATCCATTCTCTAGTTACCAGTATAAAAATGGGTACCCTCATGATAAAAGGTTAGTGAGTTCCTTTGATTTCAATTTTTTTTGTAGAAAGAGGCTGAGAATGCACTCTCAAAAAGACTGTCTGAAGTGAATGAGGAACTGAACAAGTCCCAAGCAAGGAATTCTTCATTGCAACAAGATCTCAGTGGTACAAAACAGTTGCTTAAAGCTGAAGAAGCTAAATCAGCAGAGCTGAGTGAACGCATGAAAGGACTGACAGCAACGGACTCAAGTTTGAATTCTTTGACTGCTAAACTTCAAGAGGCAACTGCCAGAGTTTCTGAGTTGGAAAATACATTAAATGGTTTTGAAAATCAGTTGAAGGACTCACAAGAGATGCAGATGCAGAAGGATCAGGAGATACAGGCAAGTTGATCTTTGTCGTACATACATCAGCTACCGTAAATTAATGATCTAATTGATGTCCCGTCTAAAGTAAATGCCTCTTGTCTTGTCTCTTACGATGTTAATTCTTATTGTTATAAACTGAATCATTGGATACTGCAATTCTAGAGCTCTGATTGGCTTAGCCATCATGGTACATGAGCTATTATACTATGCTCTCCAAATATGGTAACTGTACGCATCTGCTCAAAATTAAAAACAAGCTGAAAATTGGTTGTTGTTAATATAGTTGGGAAGAATTCTCGATATTTTGTGGGTGTTTTTAATAAAACAATAATTATTATTCCACTCACGCTAAAATGTTGGACATGAGATGATTATAGCCAACTCAGCACTACGCACCTCATTGGCTTTCTAAAATCTCATATTCAAATTATGTGCACTCATGAAATAATAATGTTAATTAGACAGTGCTCTTGTATATACACCCACTGTCTAATGCCCTGCCCCCCAGGCCTTGACAACATTATTTTATTACTCCATGATACTAGAAAATAGCCAAAGAAGCCAAATTATTCAATTTGGTTAGTTTCTTGCTTGATTAACAAGGCTTGGCATATTCCATCTAGGTCAATGTCAAGGTCAAAGTAAGGTCGGACTAACAATGACAACACAGTGACTATGAACTAGGATTCTGACATGGATGTTGAGATTTTAAAAAGCGCCATATGGATATCTCAATGGCCTAGAAGTGTTGATGGATTAGCTGGATATATCTGCTTTTTATAAACTCTCTTGATGTTTTTGCAAAGCATGTTAGTTTGGTCGAGTTTGTTAAAGTGCTGAGAAGAAACGCCTTCTATGTAATGCCTATCTTGGATCCCTGAAATGGAACGAATGCCCCACGTCTATTTAAACATTAATTTATGGTATCTGCCAATAGAAATCCTGAGTTCACTGGATATGTTTTGGAAATACATGTAACTATTATTGTTTATGCTCTTTTACTGTATTCTAATTAGGCTCTTCAAGAGGAACTTAAATTGGCTAAGGAACAGGTTCAAACATCTGTTGCTAATCATGTAAACAGTACACCACCTGCTGAAGTAAGTTAACTACAGTGTATGGTACGTAAACAACTATTATTTGAAGATTTGTACATTGTATTAGATTTTTATGGCAATTTATTGTGTCATGTTTTAGAATGGTAAAGAACCTGAAGTTTCCAGCAAGGTCCAGGAAGATGCGTAAGTACCATACTGCAAGAAGAAAGTCCCCTCTTGATGCCTGGTAAAAGTAGATTTTCTTGCTGGGCTAGTAATTTTTTACCCTTGCTTACCCAATGGGCAAGTCATCTTGTTAACTATACATGTAAATCTGCACATTCACTTTGACAATGCAGTAAAAGACCCAGGCAAGCAAAATGTGAAAGCTGCTTGCCATTAAGGACAAGCTGGAATTCAAGTTTTTTTTTATTTTTCGAGTCTTGAAGAATTTATGGTAACTGTCCATGATTGTTTTAGCCAGTGATTTTGCATCTATCTGTTTTATTGTGATTTCCATAACAGCAAGGTCTCGGCAAGGCAAGAGCAGTGATTGTAACAGCTTGTTGTGGTGGTCTCTCTGAAATACAGGTTGAAAGTTAAGGAAGATGTTATAGCTGAGTTGCATGGAAATGTTCTAAAGAAAGATGAGGAAATTGCTAGTCTTAAGAGCCTCTTGGATGAGCAGAAGAACAAAAACAATGTGAGTAAACTTTATCTTATGCTACATCATATTCCCCCTCTCTGAACATAAATTTAACCTTGACAACCCCGAGTGTAGCATCCACCCATGCACCGTCACACTGCTAACCAGTGGAACCTAACATACTCACCATAGGGAGGGGGGGCAGGGGTGAGGGAGCAGAAAACACTCTATGCAAGCACAAGCCATGAAAGGCAAGGAGATGATAACACATTATATAGTGGCCTGACCTCAAGAAAAAGGCTGTAAAAATACAAGAGCCCCTGGATATATGTCCACCTTGTTTATACATTGTTGCCAGAGAAGACTTGTTATGAAAGCCACTGAAAAGGTAAAAGCAAGGTGCTGCTGCAGTTTATGTTGGGTGACTGCTCCCTGACTGCACAATCTCCTGTTTTCTACAGATAGAGACCGGAGAAAACAGCCAACAATTCACGACTCAACCATTGGTTTCCCCACAAAATGATGTCTGAGAAATGACAATAGAAATTCCACACTGACAATGCACCACCACCCAGATCCGGTTAGTGCCTCTGATTGGTTGAAAAATTGCTTCATCCAATCAGAAGCACTACCCAGATCTGGGTAGTGACATGTCATCAGTATGGAATTCCTGTGGTTGTTTCTCAGACATCATTTCAAAGGGAACCAGTGGTGGTGTCAGGAAGTGTGGTCTGTTTCTCAGGCTATACATACACACTCAGACTGAATGAATCAATACAATAATGTTTCTGCCGGTCAGTTAGTGTAACATGGATGGAATGTGATAGAGTGTGTTGTGCACAGTCAAGGTCTAAAAGAGCTAACAGAAACATGTGGCAAAGAAGTCCTTTATGCTTCATAACCATTACTCTCTAGAAAATTAATGACAGTGTCAGATTCTTTGGGCCTTGGGTGCCTGATCATGTTAACACTGTTTTATGGCATTATATTTATTTATGGCAGACTGCTGTAATTTTAAAGTAAGATGCACTTTGATGTTTTAAGCTTTTTTTTTTTCAGTAACAAGCAGTTTTTTTTTTATTTTTTGATATTTACTGCGGCTCATGCAGCACCAAATCTGCTTTCTAAGACTAACTAATCTTATTTTTTTTAACTAATGCTTGCTAATCTGTAAATGTCTTTCTGTGCCACTGTGATTCTTCTTTGATCGCTATGTAGTGTTTCCTTTACCTGCTTATCATTTGCTTATGTTAAAAAAACAGTAACACAAATATAAGAATCCAGGGCATTGGTTAAAAAAATAATAAAGAGAAATTATTCAGTAATTATTTATAGTTGGACCTGGATTGCATTTTAAGATACACTTGCACCAAAACATGGCTATTCTGCCCAAAAGTTTCTATCAGTTGGCCGTAAGGGATTTCATTCACACGAAATAAAAATAAAGGCAAACGCCCACTTCACAAGAAACAGCACCATGTCAAGCTGTTAAAATAAATGAGCTCAATTTTAAAGACACTATAAGCTTTGCAGCTTGCACAACTTGTCAAAAGCATTAGTATTATAACTCAAAAGAAAGAAACGGAATTTCCAAGCTGGAATGATAAATACATCGTTCCATTGTTGTGCTCAGAATTTTGGTTTCTAAACGTTGTTTAAGGCTTTATTACATTATAGTATTCTTTTGTAACTCAGGAACTTCGTCAGAAGAACTGGAAGGCTATGGAAGCCTTATCTGAAGCCGAGAAATCTGCTCAGGTTCAAATTACTAAGGCTCTTGAGGCAGCCAAGGTAGAAAGAACCTTCTGCCAGTAACTCTTGACTAACTCCTTTCCTTCATTCGTGGCATGTAATGATTATCTATTTATCCAGTCATTAAATAGACAATGTGTTAACCCTCTCCTTTTAATTTCTATCAGTATCTATTCTAAATTACTTTCTTTTTCTTTAAAATTGTTGTATTCCTGAATGCTGACTGTATGAAAGAACCTCCTTTAACTTTGTGCAACATAGTCGGATTTTTGTTAGTATAATCTGTAAAGCAATCCAAACTAATCCTGGATTGCTAGAGCAGTAAATAATTCTTAAAAGCACACTCTAGAAGAATTCTCTTCTTAGGACACAGTATGAAATACTTTCATAGGTTCATGTTAGAAATGAAATTAGTTTGATTGGCATCAACTTTTTGTGTCATCATTTACCTACAGGTTGCAAATGATAGCATGGCTAATGGACAAACTGCCTTGTAAGTTGTAGGTCAATATGTTGTTACTGGCATGGCTAAACTTTTGTTTAACCCCTGGCTACAAGCCAAGGAGGGTAGAAAGCGAAGGCTTATTCAAAATTAACCCTATAGAAATCACCAATTACATGTAAGGTTTCCTTTGTTAGTTATGAGATAATTGTTTTTGTTTTTTTTTGTACAGAAAAGTGTTTAAGAAAATTTGTACCATTATTGTGTATATGTTTTCTGATTGGATGAGAACACATCAGGTACCACTTGTCAAAACTAAAGATCTTCCTGGGATGTATAAAATTCAGTCACATGTGATTGGGCCGAGACCTTCAAACTGCAGGAAATATTTGACCAGTCAGAGGAGCGGCTCAGGCATAATGACTGGCCCCATTGGAAACAGTGTGGGTCTTGGGGGCAAAAAATCTGTTTTTTCGGCCAGTCAATAAGTGATAAGTGATGTGTGCATAAGTAATCGCAGATAATTTTAGATAACTCCAATACTTAATTCTAAAATTTGTGCTGTTAAGTTAAAATTCTCCCAAATACTGCTAAAATAAATGTAATGGGACAAGAGGGAAGAATTTAAATTTTTTTTTTTTTTGATAAGGTTTACAAGTTGCTAAGGGATTTAAAACCTATTTTTTAAGGGTGGTTAAATTTTCAGAATAAAGAAAAAGATTGGAAAAATATCAAGCAGATGAAGGAAAAAGGAGGAGTTTGATAAATTAGAGAACCTAGAAAGTACAATGTTAGCAGATTTAAAATTATTACTGGTACTTGCCTTTATGCCAAAATTTTAGTGTTCTTTAATGTGCTGTCATGCTAGGTCAAAAGATGGTTTCAACCTTGTTTCGATTCCTTAAATTTTCAGAATAAAGGAAAAAGATGACTCGATAGAAAAACTTCAAGCAGATCTGAAGGAAAAAAAGGAGGAGTTTGATAAATTAGAGAAGGTTGTTCAACAACAAAAGGAGAAGAATAATGTAAGCAATGTTAGCAGTAAAATTATTACTGGTACTACTGCCTTTATGCCAAAATTCTTAGTGTTCTTTAATGTGCATAATGGGAAATGCTTGTGTTTTCTAACATAAAAATAAAAGAGTGCTGTAGGGCAAAATTAGGTAAAGATGGTTTCAACCTTGTTCTATCCGCAAGCCTTGCCTCCAAGCCTAAGTAATTCATGAGTATGAGGAGGGTAGTCAATTTCCTTTGTCTTCTAACCTTAAAATCATCATAATCATGAATATTAAGGAGATGTAGGAAATTTAGAATCAAACTCGGCTGAAGCCATTAGAACCTGAATTTGATTTTCAGCTCTAATCTTTACAGTCAAACCAGGTCAAGCGTTCCCGTTGCTAACGAACTAATGAATTCATTCGCGGAAAAATGATTTCGTTTGTTGATTCAATAATCCATTCATAAAATGAACAATCCAATAGTCATATTTAGCCTCGATTCCATAATCGAATGTTGATTCAATTACTGTTTTTTGAAAAATTACACTTTCCACAAGTTGACCTCAGAATTTTGTTTTTTCCTCTTTTTTTTCTGAGAGTCGAGTGCTGGCGAGTTCTGAAGTTCAAACCGAAACAAACTGTTACATGTACGCCAGTTTGCTGCCAATAATCAGTGCAACAGACCTAGGCCTGACCTCTTAGAAAACACGACGGTCAAACTGAGGTCAGTGTATGTGCGGTGATTGCTGGATTTCGATCCTCGGCCTTTGTCAGTTTCTTTGCGTTTGTGGTCTGTCTATTCTAGCTGTTATTTTGATTAAAGGCAATGAAAAACGCAATCGTAAACGGCAGGAAAAGGGAAGCAAATACGATTGAACACAACAGACAAGAATAAAGAACAGGTAGATTTTGTTCATAAACCAAATCAACATTTGATTATTGAATCGAGGTAAAATTTGACCGTTGGATTATTCATTTTATGAATGGATTATTGAATCAACAAACGAAATCATTTTTCCATTAATGAATTCATTAGTTTGTTAGCGACGGGAACGCTTGACCTGGTTTGACTGTAATATAGCCAGAAAACTCCTGAAATTTTAAAAGTTTCTCCTTGGGTCCTAGAAAACTTGTTTAAAATTCTCTCTTTGTCTACATATTACAATATAAATATTGGAATGTTCCTGAGATGAATGTGGTGTGGGACACACTCGTGGAAGAATACAGGAAGTCAAGTTTTTTTTGCATAAGTTAAATGTCTGTAGTCAAGGAAATGTAAATGAGGCTCGATTCACCAGAATTTTCGTGTTATTTTGTACCCTTGAAATCTCCTGGAGTTTTCATTATCCCATTGTAGGACAAAGCCTGTAATCTGAGTGAAGAATTTAGTGATGTTTTATTGGATTGATAATTCCTGTAATAAGCAAATGTGAATTTGTGATCTCTTCATTTTGTGTGGCTCAGGAATTGCGGGAGAAGAACTGGAAGGCAATGGATGCATTATCAGAAATGGAGAAAAATGTCAACAACAAAGTGAAGACTGCTGTGCAGAAAATCAAGGTAGAAAAATACTTACACTCATCCAGAATGCTTTATAATAAATTGTCTCTCAAATATGTATGGTACCTAGCCTCATGCTTCAAAAAAGTGATACTGCAACCAGATGCAAAAATGTCAAGACACTCCAATAATTATTGAAAACTAGTCACACGTCTATGAGATATATCACTTACCACCTCCCTCTCCTCAATTCAAAGTTGTTTCTGCAAGTTTTGAGCATGGTCTTGTGTTGCTAGCAACTTTGACAGGGAAGAGGGGGAATGACAAGGACAAGACCTTAGAAGGGCTATAGATGCCCCAATAAGGTACCAACAGTTTCTCAAGTATTTTTGCTACTGGTTGTAGCTCCTATTCCAGTGTAAAAGTGCTTCCTTTAAAGCAGGTGAATTTTCCCTTTAACTAAATTTAATCCCTGCTGTTATTAAGGTACTTAAATTTACACATCGTAAGTGAGCGTTGTTGATATCTGCACCAAAAATGTTAGGTAGGTCTGTCAAGAGCAGAATAACCAGTGAGATTTGTGAACAATTTTGTGTGGAAAAAATATTACTTACTTGCAGGATTGGAAAAAAAAACAAAAAATTTGTAAAATCCAAATAAACAAATGATTGCCTAAATGTTGCTGTTGTTTTCTATTAATATATTTTATTGTAGCTACATCCCTGACATCTCCATGTGGGACTAAGGGAGTTATTTGTTATGTACTTATTTATCTATTTTTTGAACAGGATGAGAACAAGACACAACAAATCGAAGAGCAAAATTTAACAAAGGTAATATCTGAAAAGTTCTCCATTATTAAGTTTCTTCATTGCTTCTTATTGTATTGAGCAGAAACATGTTAATATCAGCTTCCAATATTTTTCGTTTACAGAATGCTCTTTGTAAAATTCATCCTAATGTCACAATAGATGCCACTTTGGTGAGTTCATTAGTTTCTATAATTTTATTTATTTTTTAAATTCCTTTATTAAAGCATTGTCTTCGAAAAATAGTGCAGGTCCTCTTGGATCCTGTTTATTGCAGGAACAAGAGGAGCCCACAATCCTAATCGCCAGGCTGTTAATACTTATGCATTGCATGTATGTAGCCAGCATTCGTGTGGACTTCCACTAAGAATGAGTTGAATGCATTGAACGCAATTTGATGATACGCATTTGGACCTTCTGTTGTTCGTAATCTGATCACACTTGTTTTGACTATCTATCACATGAAACTTTCGCAAAGCATGGCGACGTTTGATCATTGTCGCCCACACTCTGTAACCATTGGTTATTAGTAGTTATAATAATGGAAAGCCTAAAGTGTGCCAGAGGTGTTTCCTCAATAATAATAATAATAATAATAATAATAATAATAATAAAGGAGATTGTCTTTCTTGCCTGAACAGATACATGTATTTTAAGAACAATAATTTATGAGTTCTTAATGTTGATTTTTTTAGCCATATAAGAGCTGGCTTGAAGAGTTTGAGAAACAAGCATCAGAAGCTTCCAGTGATTCCAAAGAGGTTATTATTGTTATTCTTCTCTACCTTGTGTCCAGTTTGTTTTCACAGATTATGACATTTAGTTCCATCTACTAATTAATAATCTGAAACCTAAAGTAGAAATCTTTTTTGGGAACTGGGATATGGGGTCTGTTAGACGGGGGCGTGGGCACGGTCTGCACACTGCAGTGTGCGATCTTCATTCTGCAGTCAGCAAAACATGTCATACACTGCTGTGAAAATCACTTTATGGCCTGAACCATGCTGGATTCATGCTATTTAAGGCTACAAATTTTTGTTTAAGTTACTGAAAAGAAATCAAAGTATAGAAGTGCAGTTATTAAACATTATAATGATATTATTTCTCATTTCTCAGCTGGAAGAACTCAATGCAAGATTTGAGGAAGTTCAGGCACAGAAAGACAACTTGACTGCAGAATGTGCACACTACAAAGTCACACTCCAAGAAACAGTTAGTACAGATCCAAACTTTATTATCCTCCTTGGCTTTCCATATTGTAATTTCTTCAAAGAGGAAAAGGGAATTCATAAAGAGGGGGAGGTGCAAGGCTTTTAGGTTATACAGTTTCGCGTTTCTTAGTTCTGCAGAAATTCTTATTTAAACCTACCGGTACATTATTGTGGTTTACAAGGCCAAGGGTAGAGCTTTTGGTAAAATAATGCAGCATTGCCAGCTTTTAACACTTTTGTGCACGTCTGTGCACTTTTCTTACCCCAATGACACCCCTTTCTCTTTGGGAGGTGGGAATGTTTGTCTAAGAAATGTTCAGATTGATGGACAGATTTGTATGAACAAAATAGTGTACATCCAAAGTGCTCCACTGTTAGCCTGTGTTGCAGGCACTCCTTTTTTAGGTTAAAGGAAGAAAGAAGATAATTACCAGCGCCCGCTATGCAGGCTATTCTTTTATTAAAACCTCGTATTAACATGAAGGTTATTTCTAACTTGCACAAACTTTTTTAACTATTACAGTGACAACTGTTACAACTATTTCAGAGCCCTGGATCTTATATATTTAAAATATATAATTTTTGAATGTTTCTTCGCGTGCAACCCAAGAGGAAACATTGACAGCTAAATATAATGGCGTTTTGCCCAGAACACCCCAAGTGAGACCAAAATCCGAAATTTACACCCCTAAGCAAGATGAGAAAAAGAAGAAACACACTAACTCACTAATTTAATGACTGTTTCAGGAAACTTTACTTAGAAAACTGGAAGACAATGTTGAGTCAGAAATGGACAACTGGCAAAAAATCGTGGAAAGAACTCAAAGAGAACTGAAAGAGGTATGACTGTACACAATAATCATGCATTACTGTAGCTAACATCTTATTTTGAGGAATAAGCCAGCCAGCCAGACAAATCCCTTGGTTGGACAGACAAGCTGCTTTAGAATAACTGTATGTACAATAAGTTTTATGCATGCACTTTTTTTAAATAGGTGTATTCTATTTACAAACAGATTGATTCAGCCAGTCAATTCTGAGCAATAATAAGGCACCTTAAAACGCTTAAAAGATGTTTCAGCTTCAGGTGGTTGCTACTAATGGCTATATAGGGTATTGATCAACTGGATGTCATTTCGGATTATTATATATTTCTGGGAAACTGCCCACCTACCCCTCCCCTAAGCCAACATTACCACTTACTTTTCACTTAGGGCAAAATGTTGGCTTAGGGGAGGGGTAGGTGTGCAGTTTTCCAGAAACGTATTATGACCCCGTCATTTCTGATGTATCTAGGTTTACAAAAGCAGATGCTGAGGCTAAGCAAGTGCTTGTTGGGAATGTGCTGTTAAAAACAGATAAATATGGTTAAGACTTCTTAAGTTACTCCTTGTGCATGCAAATTTTATTTTAGATTATTTCTTTGAAGTGCATTATTATGCCATCCTGTTCCAGTACCGAAAGTTGTCATGGTACAAGTTGCAAAAAAAAATGACGCCTGTATTTCTCAGCTTAAACTGAATTTGAATTTGCTTTTTAGGCCAATGATAGAATATCTTCTTTGGAGGAGGATCTTCAAAAGGCAAAAGGCTCAGCAGCTTCACAGTCAGAGATGGTGGCATCTTTAGAGGAGCGTCTTGAACAAGCTAAAGCTGCTGAAAATGAGGCAAAGGAGAGGTTTACTGAATTACAGGAACAGCTTAAAAAGTCAACTGTATCAGAAGAAGATGCAAATAAAATTAAAGAACTTGAAAAAGAACTTGAAGTTCTTAGAGCGCAAAAGAAGGAACTTGCCGAGACAAAATCAAAATTAGAATTAACAGAAAAAGACATGCTAACGTGTAAAAAACAATTAGAAAATGCAGCTAAAGAATTAGCTGACCGTGACAGTGAATTGGCGGCATCTACAACTGAACTTGCTAAAGTACAAGGAGCGGAGGAAGAACTGAAGAAAAAGGTGGCGTCATTAGAGGAAGCTCTCACAAAGGCCAACAATGACTTGGGAAAGTCACAGGTTTGTGGTCAAGAATATAAGAATTATAAGAATTTAATGCACGAACTTGAAAGTTGGAAATCGTTTCTTTTGATGCAGTATCAGAAGTTACAATCTCATGTCCCCATGATAAATATCGACTCGTTTAAGATAGAAATTGGTGACCAGTTTAATGAGCATAAATTGAATTATCATTTCCCAAAGGTCGCTGTGGTAGAAAGCCCTGGAGTTTAAATTAACTATGCGTGGCTATAAAAGTCATTTTATCTTACCATAGTTTGTAACTTCTGAGTAATTGAGTTTTAATCAGTAATTTTGTTAATAGTTGTTTCTTATCAGTAAATTTTGATCTTTTTTAACATTCTGTATGGTGAATAACGTTAAAAAGTCTTAAAGATACAGTTAATCATCGCAGTGCTTCACAAGAAAACGTATTGCATGAATTGGCTTTTCAATTAATCTTATTCATCTTAGATTAATGTAAGTTAATAATAGTAATAATAATAAAAACAATAATAACAATTCCTATTATTATTTCTGTCGATGATGGTAATAATGTAATAACATATTTGTACATGATTACTGCTTTAGTTTAACATAAACTTCTACCAATGCAGGTCCTGTAAGATTAATTGTTGTTAAGTTAAAAGTGAGATTTGTATACCTCTAGAAAATGTAGTTTATTGAAGCATTAAATAGAACCTAACTGTTAAAAATAAACTCCATGTAGGAGTCACTTGACAGTTTAAATAATAGTCCTGACAAGAAGAAGAAGGGCCTCAAAGGTGCATTCACTAAAGTTATGTCTAAGGTTTGTAACTCTAGTTGTAAGTTCATATTTAAAAAAATATTTTACTTACTATAAATAATTCTTGACTAAACTGGCAATGTTGTAATACAATAATTGTAACTATAACTTTAATCAGTTTGCTCAATAATTTGGGACAAAAATAATTGCTGTTGCATGCAAAAGTTATAAACTATTACCATTCTTTAATTTACTAACTTATAAACTCATTTATTTGTTTGAATGCTAAGCTAAAAGGCTGACATGGTTATTGAATGTTGTTTATAAACAGTTAGTTTTTAGAGTTGAGTGTGATTGTCCAGTTGAGTGTAGTCCTGGAATAAGACTGCTGAGGACAGTGACCCAACATGTGAATGAACAGAAGTCTATGTCCAGTACTGAAAAATTCATTATTTTAATAAGCCCTGGTGTGGTTTTTCCTGCTTTGATCTGGATTTATTGGCGAGAAAGTTCAAGCAACGACGATCGTAACGGCAGCATAAACGCCACCCAAAAAGTGAATTCGCGCTGTTTCAAACTCCATTATTCTTATTGCAGCTCCTTGAATTTTTCAAATGTTGGCGATTTTTCGAGAGTTGAATCCTAAAGGCTTGTATCTAAGTTCACAAAAACAAAAAGAAAATCGTTGTCTTGTGTCCTCGTCCTCCATAAAACGTGAAATTAGGACGTTTCACGTCGTAGTCGTGCACTGACGGCAAAGTTGTTGTTTTGCTAATCTAAAACTATCGCTTTTTTGCCGTTCTCGCGGACGTCGCCGTCGTCATTGCTAAAGCTCCATATTGATGGGGAGGGAGGGGAGGGTCTATTAGGTGAAATAACGGAACCACAACTACAAGACCAGTAGATGGCTGCTGATTAAACCGCCAGACAACCAACCAGTAATTAAGTACGTCAAATTTGAAGAGACAAACGGGCCATAAAGTATGACAAAGGTTACTATTTGAATTAAGCTGAGAGCCTATAAAGGAAGGTGTGTATTTGTTTATAATTTTAGACTTTAAATTATTTGAACAAATGATTTCATTGCAGAAAGAAAAAGAGAAAGATGACAAACAACTTGAAGAGGTGAGTTGGCATGGATTTGTTGTTGTTCTTGTTGTGTTGTATCATTCATTGGTTAGAGAACTCATTATTTTTGCAGAAAAACTAATTTTTTTATCATACTGAAATTTTTTTTGTCTTTATCCAGGCTCAACGCAAGATCTCACAACAGCAAACTGAGATAGATGTAAGTTCATTGATGTACGCTTCTTTTTGTGTAAAGTGTTAAACGACACCTTAGACGATGCAAAATTTGTTGTTTCCACAGGATCTTAGAAATGCCAGAGAGAAACTTGAGAAGCAAAACAAAGCCTTGGAAGTTGAATATACAGAATTGAAGAGAAGATCTGTTTCTATAGAAGCTGTAAGTATCGATACTCAATTAAGCGATTAACATTCAACTTGTCCTGATAATGTCAATACATTGCCCAGCAGAAAGGTGCTGAAAATAGGCAAACGAATCAGGATGTTATCTTGATATAATCCTAAATTCTCTCAAGTGATGTATATGAAATGTGTAGCAACCAGAAAGGAGATTCTATATTTGTTATGCATTTAACTCAACGTACTCAATCAAGTTTATTTATTTATTTTCTGCTCGCTTTTTAGGAGATGACAAAGTCACAGCAGATAGAGAAAGACTTGGTAGAAGCCATGAGTGATGTAAGTCAGTTTTTGCTCTACATGATTAGACGTTTCCCGTAAGATCGTCTCTATCGAGCGCTTACTATTCGCCACTGTAGGGACCTGGGCCGAAATGCATCCTGCAATTGTTTCAGAGATCGTTACTAGGGATGCGCGGCAACATTCCCAGAAGGCTTTGCGAAAGTTAACTCGGTCCAGTTTCCTCGTTTCTCGGGCATTCCTCTCGGTTTCACATTTACCAGGAGGAAGGACGTCGGAACATGAAAATAAGCACCTCCTTCCCCTCCCTGACGCTATACGCCCACACGTTCCGCCTCTGCTAAATCTGAGCCCGAGATGGCTGCTCACCTCGTTAGAAAGCGGTCAGTTGCGATGATCTGGAAAATACGGGTCTATTATAGAAGAACGGATTTTAATTGTTATAAAATGTTTGAAAAGTTTGCATATAAGTACCCTCTGTATTTCATACTATTTTATGTAGTATAGATTGATGTTTGTGAGTTAAGCAAAGTGTCTTCTCCCTCAGGCCCAATCTCCAATCCCTCTTGAGCCCCACCAAACAGGAGCTCTGCACAGATTAGAAAAGTGATCGTAACTAATATATAAATACAATAAGTACTGCTGATAGATTTTTCAGTAAAATTTACAATAACAAAATAAAATATAAAGGTTGAGAAAAATTACTTCGCCGTTGTTCTAGACTTATGACAACCAAAGAGTAACTTTAATATTGAGATATGAATCTAAAAAAACCCTGTTAGATCGCACGAGGGTTAATAAAAGTAACTTTTAAAAATCCCTAATTTAAGTGAGGGACTAGAAAATAACTTAAGAGCTGATGAAGTGAATTTGTCTGCTTTGTCAAACTGTTTTCCTTGAGCGGTATCTTCTGTTTATTTTTCTAAAACAAAAATATGTTTCTATGGTGAAAGCCTGAAATAACTATGATAATGCACGCCTTCTGAGTAAACCTATTGTTAATAGCACTGGTAAACGTACAGAAAAATAAAAAAAATATCTTTGCGTAAATTATTTTATAAGGGCAAAAAAAATTAAATTCGGTTGGTTTATTGAATAGCCACCTACCTCATAACCTTTTTCAATCACTAACCTGTACCAATGCTCAATATGAACTTGAAAATAGCTGTGTCTAGATGTGTTAAGAGTCAAAATTCCTTTAGATGGGTTAAATTATGAGTAAATTAAATCGTAATAATGCATACGTCAAATTGCTTTCATGTTTAACAGACTGCGTTAAGCCCCGTCAAGCCCCGCGTTCTCCCCAGTGAACGGAAAGTAAGTAAAGCAAGCCATGTCCAACACTCCATCGGATGTGAAACAAACAGCCGCCTTTCTTACTGATATGGCCGGTAGCCTGAGAAAACAGTCGACATTTTGCAGCGCCGCCACTGGTTTCACCGTCAAACGAAACGTCTGAGAAACAAGCGCAGTAATTCTATTCTTGGTTTGCAGCCACGTGACAAGGTGGTCATGGTGGTTCTCAAAACAGTACAGTCAGACAACGTTAATACAGACACTGAGGGGGTTATAGAAAGTGTCCGTAAATGTAAAGGCTTTCTTTTCCTGGGAACAAAGAAAACTGTCCGTAATGATGAGGTGTCCGTTTTAACCCTTTAAACCCTAACATCAAAATTCAAATTCTCATTTGTTATCCCTATACGTTTTCAATAGAAGAAGTGGGGAGAATTTGTTGAAGTATCAATTAGATTCATCTTGTGTGATCATGTCCTTAATTCTCATGACTTTCTGTTTTTTGCATTGATATTACAAGGAGAAATTTGGTATTTGATCTTAATCTGAAATACTTAAAGGGTTTGTGAAAATGTCCGTAAAACGGGGTATTTGTTGGGTTTTCCCCCACCAATTTGCACGAAAAAGAAGTTTAATTCCCATCGGAGGGAAAAAGTTTTGTTCTTTTGAACCAAAATGGCCGCCGTGACGTCAGTCGCTAACCGGCGATACTGGTGACGCAACACTACCCAGATTTGGGCGGTGCTTCTGCTTTTGATTGGTTGAAGCAAATTTCCCCCACGGAATGACGAATCAGAAACACTACCCAGGTCTGGGTAGTGATGGAATTCCTGCGCTCGTTTCTCAGGCGGCATTTCGCAGGAAACCAGTGGTAGCGTCGTGAAATGTCGGTTGTTTTTTAGGCTACTCATATGGTAAAATATGGTGTATGGGCCTCTTGGAAATCAGGAGTGTTCTGGTCCCTTTCTTACAGCTCAGTAATTATTCCCACCTTGTGTATTGTTTGTTCAGATTACGTGTCAATTCGCAAACCTCTTTGGTTCTCTGCTACGCGATGTGTGGTTTTAGATAACAAACCATAACGCTTAAACATTTAATGCGGAACGTTATAGGTAGGAAAAAATACACGACCAGATCTCTCTCCTTAAGGGAAACTCGATATCGTTTATTACAGTATTAGGCGAGTTTACCAAAGCGATGCGTGAATTGACCAGTAATCGTTTAATCTTTAAAAAAGATGTTTCAAGGTTATAACCTCTCGAAAAGAGCTTTGTTTGTGTTTCGTTGCTGACCAAGACCCGCCGCACAAGAGAATAAAAGACCTCTGGTACCCAGAGTAACACGTTGGCTTTGACATGCTCTGTCCAATGCAGTATTCACCTCACTGAAGTGTAGGTCGCCCGTACAGTAACTTGTACTTTATGCATTTCGAACTCTTTCTTCCAGGCCGAATTTCATGGAACATTAACGCCAGCTGATAATTTTGATCCTGGAAAAGACGCTGAGGCACTGAGAAAAGCCATGGCAGGATCTGGTGAGGAAAAATAAACAATTGTTGGATTAGGTTTTTGTGATATCCGGAATAATCAAGGTCGCCTAGTAAGTGTCATCGGCCGAAGCTGATAACTCTCATCGAGATTTGAGATGTAGTTTACTTAACTTTAATTCCTCTTTTTTTCAACCCACAGGTAGTGACAAAGATGCTATTGTGGCAGTTCTTGGAGCCCGCACAAATAAACAGCGCCAGGAAATCGCTGCTAAATATCAACAAAAATATGGCAAGGTAACGGTGCTTCCTCTTGCAATTTTGTACACAGATCATCAAAATGATTAGTCTATGAACACGTAGCCCGCGTTTCAGACGTTATTTAACCCAAGCTAGTTAAGTCTGCAAAGCAACACCGATATCCTTCTTCCGGGCCCTCAGCGGACTCAACGAATTAACGGAAGTGCGTTTCGTACTTTCTTTCTTTTATCCTGATTGGCAAATCATGGGAGCCAGATCAAAAAAGTGAGGATTTCTGCGCTGTTTCGCAGACGGACTTAACCAGAGTTTAGTTTCGTCTGTGACGCAGGCTAATTAACACGTTGAGACGAATTTATTTGCATAACTTGCTTACTTAACCGCCGCCTGGTTAGCTCAGTCGGAAGAGCGCCGGTCTGCTGAGCGGGAGGTCACGGGTTCGAACCCCAGCCAGACCAACACTCAGGGTCTTTAAATTACTGAGAAGAAAATGCTGCCTTTGTAATGACATCTGCAAAGGTTAGACTTTCTAGTCTTCTCGGATAAGGACGAAAAACCGTAGGTCCCGTCCCACAACACTCACACTTATCTGGTTCTTGTGGGACGTAAAAGGACCCACACCACTGTTCGAAAAGTGTAGGGGACGGTGGTTGTGGTCAACCTTCACACACCACATCGTTCACATCATGGGTTGGGTGGATACAGTAAGCTCATAAATGGATTGAGAGCGGCTGCCAGTGGCGCCTTTGTATGCTGACGTCAGAGCTTACTGTTCACATGTTAAAATGTATTGTAAGAGGGCACGTTTGTTATCCTCTCATCCACGACTCTTCATTCATTCATTTCACTAATCTGTTCTGTAGAACCTGACTGATGACCTCAAATCTGAGCTGAGTGGAAAGTTTGAAGATGCCATTGTTAGTATGCTGCTTGTGCCAGAATCTCACGATGCTATTGCCCTTCACGATGCGATGTCGGTAGGTTTTTGTTAGAAAATGATGATATTGATTTACTAATTTACTCTGTGTTGTAATCAAAAGAGGTGCATTTTAATTTCTCAGTATATAATAAGTTTCCCAGGAAGTGGCCACTTAAAAGCGTTGAGGGGACTAGTGCTGAATTGTGTCCCTCAATATGCCATTTTACAGTCGTGGGCTTGGTGTGCTAGCCTTTGAGTCAACGTGAGGCTGAGGTTGACCTTGTTTTGATACAAACCTCCTTCCTTCTCTACTGTGAATTTTGCTTAAAAATACTGGTTAACTTAACAGCAACATGATTCACATAATAAAGCAAGAAGGGTTATATCAAAACAAGGTCAACTCCAGCCTCGTTTAAAACCCTAACTGTAAAATGGGCTATTGTTTCTGGAATCGTTACTGGGGACGTATCGTTCAGCTATTATAGAGTTTAAGCTTCACGTACACGGCAAACGACAAACGTCAGATTCAAGTTGAGAATTTCTCAAAATATAAAATGAGCAGATAGAAACAGCTCAAATAATGAACAGTAAACGACAAATGAAGGGGAAACTTGGTCACGTGGTACAAGTTAACGTTTGCCGTTTGACGTAAACGTGATGCCTAACCTCTCAAATACCCCACTTGCACATCTCCCATAATGAACCTATACCCCCCCCCAAAAAAAAAAACTTTGCACAACCTTTGTTTTTCATTTCTCCTGGGTATTACAGCCGTCCCAAGAGAAATTTGAAACAATGCTTTTGCAAATTTTGGGGGGCAAATGAGGTGCATTATGGGAGATGTGCAAGTAGCGTATGGCCAATACACTTTTTTCGCTGTCCCCAGTAACAGTCCCAGAAGCCTTTGCGAAAGTAAACTCGACCCAGTTTCCTCGTGGTGGCGAATGTAACCTAAACAGTTAGAAAAACGGGTTACCACTTATAACAAACTATAACAGCTTGTGCTCTCTTAGTGTGTACACAGACCTTAATTTTGAGATTTTATGTTTGAAAATTCCATTTTATTTTGCTTATTTATTTTCTTGATTTTGCCAAATTTTTCAGGGAATTGGAACTGATGAGCAAGTTTTGGTAGAGATTTTAAGTTCACGCAGTACTAAGGTGAGTTTTGGTCCTTGTCAACTGAAACAAAAAATTGTGATGAACCTTGTACATGTGTCGTCACCGTTCACTTCAGGGAAGGACGAAGTAAAATTCTTGAATATTGGGAAAAAAACACGTCTTGAAAAGATTATTTTGAATGACTTTCATTAAAACACGTTTATGATTGAGTGTACAGTTACAAGAGAGCGAGATTCTTCTTGAGTTTTGTTCTTTAGCTTTCATTTGGATAGAAGGGAATCGATCGTGGAACTGTTGAGTACTGCACGATATCTTAGACCTAAAGACTGGCATGTTGGCTTCATTGGAGAAAATTTTGCAAACTTGAGCGATGTGAACGCTGCGGTCGTTGCGGTTACTGGGATCGCGGAAAAAAAAAAACAGTTCAGCGATCTCTACGTTTATTTGAAAACAACTTTTTAACAATCCCTCTAACAACTATCTCTGATAGGCTTCACTTGTATTATATTAGGTTGGTTTCTAGATAGATCGCTAAGATATTTCAGATCGCTGGACATTTTCAGCGGTCTTGTCGATCATAGAGAAACCAGGCTTAATAGGCTTGTTATACTCTTTCTAGGAAATCGAGGCCATAAAATCTGCTTACACACAAAGTAAGTTATTTCGTCAACCTTTTCTTCAGTGTTCTGTCGTTGACAGTTGTTGAACACCCATTTTGTTTGTTTGTAAACACTAAAGTTGTCATTCCTGTTTAGTTTATAGTGGCAAGGATGTTGCTAAAAAGCTCAAAGAAGACACTGGTGGCGACTTCCGAACCGTCCTAATGACTTTGTTAGAGGTAAATATTTCCATGGTTTTTGTTAAAAAGGGCGCAGGAAAGTTTACACATGCGATGAGCGTTACGCTTATTATGTTCTGTGGGGCAGGCGTAAAAAGACAACTGACGGATCCGGGAGGGGATGAAGGTGACAAAAGCGAGGGGGGAAACTCGAAGGTTAAGTGACTTGTTGCCTAGTGAGAAGACCGTTCCGTCTAGCACGGATTCCTTTTCCCTTTTTGCTTCGCATTTTCCACTTACTCTGTTACTCCAGTCCTAGCAGTATGCAGGATGTTTGTCATAGAAAACTAGTTTAGTGGTCATAGCTCCCAAAAGTCTCTTGTAGCTTTGTGGTAAGGCATCAGCTGGACTGGTATAAAGCAGAACTGAGGACATAGGTTCGACTCCTGTTGGAAGTACTCAGAATTTTTTGTTCCGAGCCGCCTGTGTCAATGACTTGAAAAGAGGCATCTTTGTCGTGTATTCAACAGGCTTAATATTCACTTTCACCTTCCTATCGTTGTGCATAGGCACATAGCAGAATTCCAGTCCAAGCAGTATGCAGGATGTTTGTGACATGAACCTAGTTTAGTGGCCTTAGCTCCCTCAGTCTCCTGTTGCTAAGTGTTAGAGCACCTAGACAAATAACCAGAAGGTCATAGGTTGGACGCCCGTTGGCAGTATTCACATTTTTGTCTTTCGAGCCGCCTGTGTCACTGATTGAAAAATCATCTTTCTTGTTTATTCACCAGGCTTAAATGTCATCTTTCTTATACTCTGTTGTTGTTTCACAGAAAAAACCGGACAGTTCAGGGGTGAACACAGACCTCGCGACTGATGACGCCAAGAAACTTTTTGAGGTTAATATTTTTTTTTACGATAATGATTGACGGCCTTTATGGGCAGCGGTGTAGCATCAAAAAAAAGGTAGACTGGTTTTATCGAGAAAACATGGGCCTGCTTTTGCAAGTTGGGCAGCTGAGCGTTTATGCTTAGGGCTGAAAATGCGCGCAAAGAATGATTTTACAGGCGTTATTTTGGAAAAAGTCTCTGCTCATGTCATGTATGCACCCTCGTGCGCTTGACCAACATTGTTAGCGGGATATCCTGTTAAAACTTACCCGGCAATGTTGGCATTTTCCTGATGTTGCAGATGCTGCGATCAGCAGATGACACAATCCAAGAAATTGAAAAAGTGCTGAGTAATTCCGTAATCTCAACACAATAGCTACATCACCAATAGTTTACCCAACACCACAAAACAGCACGATGTCTGAGGCCTCTCCTCACTCAATTCTTGGTTTGTAGCCGTTAAATGTAGGTCGCGATCCATTCAACCAAAATTCCGACCGGAAAAAGTGGTCCACCTCAAAAGGTAGACCAGTTTTTTCGAAACTTTTCCGGTTGGACCGAACCGATCCATTGAGTTTTGGACCGAAATTTCCGGAAATTTTGGTTGAATGGATCGCGCCCATTCTTTACCCTCTACCCAACATGAAGGTGATGCTCGATGTACCAAGTCAATATAAGCACTACTGTGTCGTTGTATTTTTTATTAGGTTATTGTGTTAGGGCTAGGGATCATTATTGCGTTCTTTGTGACGTCACTCGAGACTTGCTATTCACTTGTCATATCGTGTACCAGCCCAACATGGGCGTTTGTTGGACCGATTTATTCGTTTATATATTAATTGTGTTGTACTTCAGGCTGGAGAAGGGAAAAAAGGAACCGATAAAGCAGTATTTGTGGAAATTTTCACAACGCGAAACTACCAGCAGCTACAAGCCACCTTTGACGCTTACAAAAATGTAAGTATTTGAATGCAGCTTCTTTTCCAATCAGAGACTCGTCTTGGGGTTTCCTTTCGCTATATGTTGATTTAGTTAAATCTCGAGACACTCGTGTCTTACATTACTTGACTGATGGCTCTTGATTGGCGACTTGAAGTGGAAACAGTGAAGTTTGTTTATTGACAGCGGTCAGCTTTACACCACAAGTTTTAAAACTAGTTGTAATAGATGAAGTACTGACATGTTGTGAGATGGCTTTAAAGTAGTGACGCCGGGCTTTCGAATCTTCCTAGTTTTTTTGAGACTTGGTATTTGGCAGATTCAATAGACATTCAAAACTTGAATGTTTTGTCTTCCTAATTCAGACCACGTGATGTTCTCCAGGGATTTTCATAAATTATGCATACATGTGCATGTGGATACACGGGCATAAGATGACATTTAAACGAAACAGTTTTCTGGGGTACAATCACATGGTTTGAAATGGGGGAACAAAACATATGAACTAAAAAGGTGTATTTCTAATGATCTTAGCATGTTTCGGAAGTATTACAACTAAAGTAATGTTGCATCTTTTTTACGCTTCACAGCTCGCCAAAAAAGATATTCTAGACTACATCACTGATCAAATAAAGGGTGACTTAGGAAGCGCTTTGAGGGCGATAGGTAAGGATGCACCATAACCTATAATCATGGACAAAAGCTACACGCATACACAACCCCTCCCCCATCCCACATACAAACCGTGTATCCACCGTGTTTTGTTTTTCAACAAGGTATTGGGGCGGAGACTAAGGGGGGTGGGGACTGCAGGGTGAAGGCATCCTGAAATGTTTGTAGTTTTGTTAACAGTTTGTAGAGTTTTTTTTAGCTTCCTAAACTGTTAGACTGGTTGTTAACTATTTAGCAGTCCCTTTTTAGTAAACCGAGAAGAGAAGTAGTCGTGGCGACGTTGAGACAGACCCCGTTTTCTTTGTTCGCTCGCGTTTAATATGCTTGCGACAATCCCGATAGCCTGCGAAAACAGCCGTCGGTCCTCGTTGCTTCGCCAGGAGGGACGTCTGCGCCTCAGCGGCAGAAATTCTATACTGATGACGTAAAATCTATCCGGGAAGTTATCAGGAACACTGATTGGCCGACGTTGTAGATATATTGTTTTAGCTATTGTTTACGAATGACCGACAAAAGACAAACGGTCACAAAGGTCAAATGTAAACGCGGTGAATCTACTAGAAGACAGTCAATATTCGTGGAATATATTCGTCACTAGAAGAAGCGTCCAAGTTTTGCTGGAGCTCGTTCGCAGTAGAACACAAAACTTTGCCATAATCGACCAGGAGAAACATAACATCGAACAAATTGCATTTGAAACCTCATGATTACCGGATAAATTATGTAAACTTTCACTTACGTCATCAGTATGGAATTTCTCTCGCTGAGGCGCAGACGACCCTTCTGGTGAAACGTCCCCAGCGTCGCGAAGCGACGAGAGACGGCTGTTTTCTCAGGGTACAATTCCTAGAGCTTACTAACAGCTTATGCAAACTTGTGTCGTTGGCTATGTCCTGGTTTGCGCTTATGACTGGGTCGGCGCATGCGCAGTTGTATGTGTCTAATTGCACTATAAGGCTGTTTTGAGGACGAATTTTAGCCCAGATAGAGTGAAGACGTGTGACGTCAGGTTACCATGGTAACAAGTTTTCTGGATCTCAACAGTCCTTCTTGACATTGACGGCTAATTGCATTGTCGCCCGCTCGCTCGCTCGCGCGCGCGGTTCACTTCGCTCGCCAGTCGAGGTGGAGAGCTTGCTCGCTGGCTAGGAAATTTGTCCTTTTACTTTCAAAGCCAACGACAGGTGGAGCTTAAGTGTAAACATTACAGAGTGTTCTAAAATAGCTAAAACCTCGCTGTGCAAGCAGATCCCAATTTTTTAGAACGCTTACCCAGAGTGCCAGAGGTTTTCTTCTTTCCTAATTCCGAGAGCTTTATCATACCGTGCGCACAGGTATTTCGAGAACAGACCTCTGGAGCCAACCTCTGTAGTTGAAATATTGCCCAGTTGTTACTTCTGTATCCTTCTAGCCTCAAATTATTCCAGGACTTAAACAATACGACCGACAGTGCTGCATGGTTCCTTCTCTTTTATCCCCTAAAGCTAACAATACATGTTGATGATTTCTTGATTATTTTCAGTTCGCTGTGCGCAAAGCCCTCCTTTGTACTTTGCTGAGTTGTTGGAGAAGGCGCTAGACAAATCGAACAGTAAAACTGTAACTCGCGTTATGGTGACAAGAGCAGAGGTTAGTGACAATCCCTCCATGCTACGCAGGCTATGTAATGACGGAAACGAAATGTACCAAAATGTGTAATGAACGTGCAAGGTTGTTGCTTTGAGTTCCTTGCCCAACCTATTGTTTTTTGTTTGTTGGTTGGTTTGTTTTGACGTTCTTGTTGCCGTCGCTTTCGTGGCTGCTAAATATCGGTTCAAAAAGAACAGAGGGCCTAGACTCTATTCATACACTTTTTGTCTGGTGAAGCTAAGGAAATTATTGTAACGATACACTTTCAGGTCGACCTGGCTCAGATCCGGACAGAGTTCGAGAAGAAGACAGGACAGTCACTTAAAGATGTCGTCGTGAAGAAAATGAAAGGAGATCTAGAAAAACTACTATTACAGCTTTTAGGCAACTGAATTCAATTCTTTAACCCGTTCACTCCTAATAGTCGCCAAAGGTAAAACTTAAACTAAAAAAAATCAAATTTGTGTTGGGGAAACACAAATTGTACCATCCAAAAGTTGTGGCAAGAAATTTCATTTGAGTGGTAACACACAGGATTTCACCCGCAGATTCAAAAGAATTCGACTAACAAATAATTTCACCATAAGGTGGTCTTGGAGTGAAAGGGTTAATTTCAGTCAGGCAGAAACATTAGTTTTCTCTGTTCAAATTATTCAAGCTTTTCTTGACTTTTCTGTTTGGAACGGTTGTTTCCTTCTTTGAAACTTTAACTTGTGGATATCAATCACAAACCGAATTCCTTGCAAGTTAACCTGAGTTGTCGACACCATTTACACTTAAAAAAATGAAAAGCAGTCGAGAGCAGAGAAGATTGATGTTTAGTAGCGTCCACATGAGTGGGCCAACTTTAGAATTTTAACAAACGTACCCAAGTCGTGACTCTTCAGTCACTATACCTAAATATTTGTAACACATCGATGTTTTGTTATACAAAAATAATAGTAACTATTAATATTTCGCGCCGGTGAAATACTCGGTGCTGCGATATTTTTTGAATTCTAATAAGACTTTATACTTAAATTATAAAGTAAATTCCCATCAAAGGGTCAATTAATTCAGTCAAAGCTTGACATGACTGTTGCGTGAGTCTCCATGCAACATTGCGTGACAACATTGTGTGACTACACATTTTTGCGGCTACAAAGCAAATTAATGGTAGGAAATCTTTTCCTATTCTGGATAACATGAATGTTATTAAAGCTTCCAGGGGTTAAAAGGAATAACACACAAACTGCGGTTACAAACATCAGAAATAACAAACGCATTGCATAACTGACTTCTATAATATCGAACTTGACGTTTCGTTTGCTCCAAAATGTTTTTAACCGCATTTTGTGTTATTCCTTTTAAAATTGAGATGGCCAAAAACCAAGAGCTTTTCCAGGGGTTATTTCTAAAGGTACCGTTGTAAATGAATGTCATTTCGGTTATGAGGTTGGAAGTCTGTACTTACAGTAACATGGAGATATTGTTCTGTTTGCCACGTCAGAATGGTTTATGGGAATGCATTTTGTGCCAGTTCATGTAGTTATAATTTTTTCCGTGGAAAGATAACGGTACGAGTTAGAAAACGATCAATTTAACGGTTACTTAGCGTTCTTAACCGAATGAGTACGAAGCTGCCTGCGTGAGCCCGCTGTTTTTGTCATACGTTTAAGAGGTTTCCTAGTAAAATGTCAGCTAAAGAGAGAGTAGATGCTGATGGTGATCTGTAACCAAAAAATTAATACCTCTAGTGCTGCAGAGTGGTCCCAGCAAAACGTCCCCTTTCAGCAGTAACTATAGCTTGGTTTCATTTAGGTGACGTAATCGGCTTTTTAGTATACGCGCGTTCGTAAGAATTGATCGAATAAACGCAAAAAGCAACGTTTTGCGTTTCCTAGGAAGCAAGCAGCTGTGGAGTGGAGAAGATCATTGTCTCGTTTGTTGGAAGCAACAAACGATACAAGCGTGAAATGCAGACACGTTTTCGAGCGACGTACGTAAGTGGACTTTTTGCATTCTTGGGTCGTGGTTTTGCCCAAATTTTCGCGGGGCAAATCGTCTCTGTAAGAGTAAAGACTCTTAGCAATACAAATTTAGTAGCGTCAAAGTATGTAAGAACGGAAAAGGCGTCCGCTCTGGTTGACCTGCGACGCAGTGCAGCTACTGTTTTCAGTCTCCAAACCAATAGCTCCACTTTTAATGGTTGTGAAATTCACGCAGAGACCACTTTGCTGCGGCTTAGTCTTTTCACCAAAAATGTTAAAGGTTTGAATTCCCTGAAGTCTTCTTAATCCAAAGCCAATTAATCCATCGCTTCATTCCTTTATTAAAACAGTTCTTTCCTAAATGAGTTGTTTCCGTTGTTTGTAGTTGCTTCTGCCATTGATAACAACAGTGCTGTCATGACAACCCCTGGAACCTCGTCCTCAGGGCTTTCTCATCCTGTCTTTGAGGAAAGAGTACTGGGGATGAGGTTGAACCCCGCCCCTTGGGTTAGCAAAACTCTCAGTCTGAGGGGCTCTTTTAACACCAAATGCAATTGCTCGTTTTTGCATGTCCTTGCCGAAGTCGCTTTTCTGCTAGAGGTATAATTGGAAATGAATTGAACTTTACTGTCTCGTGGAAAGAAGTTTACATAGTTTCCATTGCATTGCTCAATTAGTTAGAGCGCTGCACCGGTATCGCAGAGGTTGGGGTTCGGATCCCGGCATGCCTGAATTTCTTCAGGCTTCCTTTTTGCGACGGCATGAGTTGTGTAGTTAACTGTGATGATCTTCTCTGCATTTATTGGTTTCATAATAGTCACAATTTCTATGATGTGACAGGGAACAATTGTTGATAGCTATTCAACGAAACGCGATTATGTAAAAGGGGTTGGGGGGGGGGGGGAATTCCATTTCATCGTAAGTGTAAATAAGGGGATGTGGAAGGTTAACCACAGTGGCAGCGGGGTATTGCCACAACTTTTTGTTATTGATAAGCCACCACATTGGATAGAAAGAAATGTTACATTTATTCAAATGTTGTATCAGTTATTTTCTTGTTTTCATTACTGTTTAAAATGAACCATTTTACATTCCAACACTTGCTAAGGGTAAGAATTTCTGTACAAAATCTACAAAAATGGCGTCTATTGCTGCCTTCGTCGTATCAGCAGAAGAATTCCTAACAGTAAAGCGAGTCCAGTCATTACATAAATATCCCAGTCTTCACCAACATAATTCCTGATCTTCGAAAAGTTAATTGATCCATAATTCTGCAAAAAAACAAGGTAAAAATAATTTAAATCACTCTTGAAGAATGAAAGAAAGGCTATCCAAGTTGTCTACAGTCAAATCATGTGGAAACTATATAACGTCCCTAAAGAGATCTAACGAGGAAACTGAACGATCACTGTGTGATAGCAAATAAGAGTATTTAAATGCGAAATAACCAAAACGCTTACGCTAAACAAACTCGTCTTAACTTCAATCAAGGCAAAATGATACGAAAGGCACTAAACACTTTCACATCTTTTGCTTGCTCCAGGCGTTCAGATGGTGGGTAGCAAATAAAATCGTACGGCGGGGAAAACGAGGAGAGGAGACTGGGGCGATTCGCTTTTCTTCATCCACTAACAATTTTTACACGCCCTCTTCAAACTGCGGTCGAACATCATTCTCTTTACGAACAACTACGTAGTACGAACACTTGCGAACATTTGGTTCTGTCCGTTTCGGTGTTCCAAGGACTCGCTTAGTTTGAACTATTGTCAAATGCTGGTATGTGATTACTGTTACGTTTGTTGTCTCGGGCCTAGTCAATTACCGAATTTCTACACAAAATCCTACGTATGACGATCCAAATGAAACCAATTCACAAGTACGTTGATATGGCTATATAAGCAGATTCTGACTTTTACCTCTTGAACCCATTCCCACATGAAGAAGACCCCAAGTTTCATCAGGGCGAGCGAGACTGGAGCCTGGGCATCAGTGCTGGTCTGCGCGGCCATGTCGTAGAACCTCTTTGCGAGGTGAATATCCTGAAAAGAAGTAAAGAAAGTCAATATTAAGGAAGAGCGACTACAAAAAGAAGAATCACTTTCCAGATTAAGGCTGACGACAGGTACTATATCAGTGCCAATACATCAGCAAGAAGAGTGCCGACCTTCCTCCTGGGTTAACGACCCTTACCCCACCAGTCGCGCTACCGGCCAGGTATTAGCATTTTGTGAAATATCAAAATGCGTAAATGCCACACCCGAAGGGATACGAGAGGTCTTGAAATGTCCCCTAGGAGCAGAGAAATTCTTTAAATTCAAGCTGACACAAACTCTAAGGCAACCTGTAAAACTGAGAATGTCTTTACATTACGCTGAAATTCCTATGGTTAAAGACAATTATATAAATTTAGTCCAATTCAATCTTTCTCGTGTCTTTAGAGTTACTTGGTATCATTTTTCCATAGTCCCAACTGGAAACGCTCAGTGGTTCACCCTCTTTCTCTGGAGCGGCTGGGAGAACGCCTATCTTCTGGAGATTTGTAAATACTTTATGCAACTTCAAAAACGCACTGAGACATCTCACCTGATGCTGCCAAGTCAGGCACGAAATCGTGCGAGCAAGCCATGATTGACACGTTGATTAGTCGTAGCAATAAGTAGGGAGTTTAAGCAACGAGGAGGGCAACGGCAGCGAAAACGTCACCAAAAAGTGAGTTAGCGCTGCTTCAAATTTCATTTCTTTTACTGTGCTTTTCACAAACATGCGAATTCTGAAGTTCAAAAGCCAACTGACGATTGCGTTTTCGCTGCCGTCAATCATCTTAACGGACCTCTTAGGAAACAATACTTTACTTTCACGGGTTCAAAAGGTCATGGTTTGTGATTTGTGGATTTCGATCCGTTTTGTGTGTTTCTATGTTTCAAGGTTCGTTGCTTGTGATCGTAATTATGATTGACGGCAGCGAAAAACGCAATTGTGAAGGCGGCGTTTGAACTTTAGAGTTCGCATGTTTGTGAAAAGCGCAGTAATGCAAATCTTTTAATTTGTCACTGAAATGTTGGTGAATTTTACAGGGGTTGAATCAGTTCTAAAGGACTGTATCTAAGTTCACAAAAAACAGAAACTCGTTGTTGTACATGTGTTCCCGTCCTCCATAAAACGTGAAATTAGGCGTTTCATGTCATAGTCGTGCAACGACAGCAAGGAAATGTACAAAAAAGCGTGATCACATGCAGAGTTGTTGTTTTGCCAATCCAAACCTATTGCTTTTTTGCCGTTCTCGTTACCGTTGCTTAAGCTCCCTATTAGGGACCTTAAGCAAAGACGTTTTTGAGCGACGCACGTCAACCGGAAGTGAGGCCTTCTCCCTTTTTATATGCCTTGACGCTAACAAACTTGTATTGCTGAGTTTCTTTTCTCTTTTAAAGACGATTTACCCGAGAGTTTCAACCAAACCACTGCCCAATGATGCAAAAAGTCCACTTCCGGTTGACGTCCGTCGCTCAAAAACGCTGTTGCTTAAGCTCCCTATTGACTAATATACGACGGATACAAGTGTCTTTCATTCAATCACAAAGCGTTAAAGAGACACCAAAATATTTTCATTACCTGTCTCATGCCCAGTCCTCTCTCATGCATGTAGCCGAGGTTAAACATGGCCTGTGCGTTGTGCTGTTGTTCAGATGCCAGTCTGTAGTGATATGCAGCTGTCTCGTAATCAATCTCGGTTCCGTATCCATAATAATGATAATCACCCACTTTCACGCGAGCTGCTGTGTTACCTATGGGAAAAACAAACAGAACTTGAAATTGATACAAAAGAGCACCTCAATCTATGCAACTACTGTACTTGTTTAAGGTCACTTGAAAAAGGAAGCCAGGCACTGGACTAAAAGACATCTGTCCACAATGAATAAAAACAACGAGTCAATCATTTCTTTCTACAATCATTAAATGATCGTTCAGTTTGTCGGCAAAAACAAAGTTTGTTTTCGTTTTATTCTGCGCTAGTATGAGAATTTACCAAGGAACTGCAACAGATTTATTACTTCTGAGTTGAAGGGAGCATTCAAGTTAAGCCAAAAACCTGTTTATAAGAGCTTGATTAGGTGCTTAAGAGCGGGGACATTTATAAGTGTTAGTATGGTGGCATCCGAACCTGGAGTGAATTTAATAAAACTTTTACAAGTGTAATTTACAAGTGTACCCATTATTTTAGAGTCTGAAAAGAATAGCTACACTTGTACAAGTTTTATTAAATTGACCCCTGTAAATACCCAGTACAGGTGTAGGAAAGATACCGCTACAACCATAGATACAAACCTTGAGTAGCTGCTCTTGTCCAGTACAGGAGAGCGCGAGGAAATGTCTCGTTTCCCAGAATCACTGATGTTAAACCTGAAGCAGTCAATACTCACAAGATAAATTTCAACAACAACTATGAACACAAAATCAACTGACTGTTGTCCATATTTCTGCTGCCTTATTGTGCTTTAAATACTTATTTGTCATCCAAGTTTTTTCGTACCGTAATAACAAAAGCTGACATAAAAAGCTGTCCGAACTCAGTGCAAGTTGATGAAATGCAATCCAATACCTGGTTTCTTGGGGCAAAACATTGGTGACAGAAAACTAACTTTCACTGGCCATAATTGGATGGACTGCACATAGACCAACGTTAACTAAAGCTTAATATCACTATGCGAGGATAATACAGGCTCTCACGCAAGTATAGCAGTCTTGGGTCAAGTGAAAATGAACGCAAGCGCATGCTCAGGAACAAGTAGCCTGCGTAGCAAAAGCAAAAGAAAAACGCGAAAGGGAAATAAAGAGGGAGTTCCCTTTCCTATTCTCTCCAATCCCCTCTCCCTTTCTCCCTCCCTTCCCCTTTCCTTTCGACGCCTGCTACACAGGCTGAAATGAAAGCCCAAGAAATGGAACAGTCCTTGCCGTATAGGCCATTTGAACGTTCAACCTGCTCTAATGATAGCATGGCTGGTGACAAACTAGGCTTTACCAATCAAAAGCTGTTGCTTAAGCTGTAAACGAATGCAATACGCGGGACAAACTTACCATGGTCCAAAATATAAGCCACATTACTTTGTGCAACTTCATAGCCCAGTTCAGCTAACATGGCGTACTTCAAAAGAGCAGTATCAATATTACCAGCGCGATATGCTTCGTGTGCCTCCATCAACATCTGGGCCACCCTACCACGCTCAGCAACGTTCTTGAAAAGCTTGAGAGTAAAAACAAGAACAACCACTCAAATAACGTAAGCAAATTATTTTTACTCACAAACGCAAAGAGATATCACTTTCACTACTGCTAAACCCTTTCCCCACCAAGGTGAAAAATGGAGTCTTGAAAGATTGTAGTTCTAACTCTTGAGTCTGTGGACGAAATCCTATGTTGTCACCATTCAGATGAAACCTCTTCAGCAGCACTTTCACATGATACTATTAATTTAGTATGTGCTCTTAACGTTTGAGTCTATGGACGAAATCCTATGGTGTTACCATTCAAATTAATTCTCTGCAGCAGTATTTTCACATGGCGCTCCTTGTTTTTTCCATCTTCATATTTAAACTACCTTGAGTTGTGGTGGAAAACAGTGCCTACTATGGGTTAAATTGTCAAAAATATAACCAAAGCATGTGAAAAAGTGTCAGGGTTTGTGTTTCTAAGAAAGATAGCAGTGGTCCAGTTACCCAAGAACTATGTAAGCAACAGTAGAGGGCAAAGAGAAGTACCAGCAAGACATCAGATAAAGAAGCAACAAGACGCTATAGTGTAAATGTTGCATGTAAAATCCATTCTCAGCTAAAAAAAGAATTTCAATTGTCTCCTATCAATAATATTATTATATAGGGCTAGCAAAAAAGGGAAATTCTGAATCAACCTAAGTTGAAGGGAGACTGGATTAATCTATAAGAATAGATTTTACCTACAACATAGAGGTCAGTATGGACTGTCCGGTCTTTCTCCTCATCTCTTACACTGTAGCTTGCATGACAGGTGCTTTAAACCAAGTCAGGTGAATGGGGCAGTTTTATTCCCCTCCCCTAACTTCACAAAAAAGCTGCATTGGCCTTGCTTGGCTCATGAAGTGCCTGTCACACAGGCTACTAATCTCTTTACTCTAACATTGTCGGTGTACATGATCCTCAGCAGTTGTACATTATATTTTGCAAACGCCACATGTTCATGTTCAACAGAGACTAACACTTTTCCTACCTCTGTTGCAGTGTTACAGGATCTCAACACACCAGTCCCTGATGCATGCATGACAGCCAGATTGTAAAAAGCCAAAACATGGCCTATAATAAACAAATAATTATAAAGGTTAATGTAACAGTCAAACTTCTCCTTGCAGACCTCAGTGCCTTCACAAAACTTTTACGTCTTAATAGGGAAGTAATACAGACACTCAAGACTGCACACTGGGTGTCTGTGGAGACTTAATTTAACCCTTTACTTCCGAAGAGTGACCAACATCAATTTTCTCCTAACAACATCAGCAGATCATCAAGAGTAAAGGTTATGAGAATTACTTAATTAATTACCAAAGGAAGAATGCTTTGATCTTAAACCAAATTCTCTCAACTATTCTTAAAAAAAATGTATGGAGATCAGTCTTGAGAATTTGCATGTGGATCTTGGAGGGTAACACTTGACAGTTAAAATAGGAACTGGTAAACTGTGTCTATTTGAGAACGTTTATTGCTTTGCTGATTTTGCTTTTTTCAGTTCATCACAAATTCTTAACTTACTAAGTGATAGCACAGTACAACCCTTTTATCAGCCACATTACTCCCACACCCCTCAATAAGGGTCATTCATGCGCAATAAAACTGTGAATTTGAGACAAAAAAGTGTAACTGAAAAAAACTCGAAAAAAAAAAATGGGGTACCGTTCGGCAATTTATGACTCAACCCATTCAAACTTTCACCGGTTTTACCCATCTGCATTTCCTTGGTGCTCGTCAACAGTTTAGAGCTGCTAGTATATTTCGATGCCTTTGTCACTTCTGTGACAAGTCTGTGATTGCTGAAATAAATTCATTATTGACAATTTCATGGCCTAGACGCTCAAACAAAACTGTGAGCGAGCAGAAGTGATATCCTTACCAGTCTGTGATGCCAAGTTAAAGAACTTGATAGCCATCTTGTAATCACGTCTAACACCAAGACCATCTATAATAAACAATAAAAAAAGGCCAACCAATTATGCTAGCATCTACACAAACCACTGATGTCTGGAACAATTATTTGTTATTACAATAACAAATAGGATGGTGTTTTTGTTTATTTTTTGTCTCACTATAGTCTCTTTGACACTGAAAAGTGACTGTAAGTACGTTCAACCATTTGCTTTGGGTCTTTATTGAGGGTCCCACGGGGTTTTTCAATCCCACCACCCAACCCAAATTTTTAGGGTCTGGATGTCAGCTACCTGGGATCATTATGAAACAACTGCTGCAGGTCAGTGAATATAGTCTGCCTCTCCTCTTTCTTCGCAACTAGGGACACGATGAGGATTGAAAAGAGATGGCCATATTCACAGGCTAATTGCCCAAGCAGCAAGGAGCGAGGGGATATGTCTGTATTGGTAGGCTTCAGTAATAATTGCATTTCAAAATGTGAGTGGTCTCTTATTTTTTTCTTAAGTTCCTGGGGGAGAACATGTAGCACTCAAGCAAGTGTAAGTCTCTGTCTAATCCCTCCAGTCATGTAAGTGGGAATTTTTTCTTTCTTATGAATTTCCATAGACTACGCAAAAAAAAGAGGGGCAGTTGGTAGTCTAAGTGTATTTTGATCCTCACTGTGCTGGTAACAGTTAATTAAACACAATGTTAGTAAACTTACGGTAATACATGGTACCCATCTGAAGATGTCCATCAACCCAGCCCTGTTCAGCAGCCATCTTGAAGTACTGAAAAGCTTTCTCATAATTCTACACATCATCAGAAAAAGAAAACATTCCAGTTTAACTGATAATTAGTTTATAACACCAGATAAACAGAGCAGTCATCAGGAAAAGGTTTGGTTACCTTCTCAACTCCTTTGCCAAACATATACATCAAGCCAAGCCCACTTTGGCCAATGGCATTGCCCTGTAATTAGAATAACAATATAGCATTTCAATGAAACAATTACCAATTAGTAAAAGAAGCCAAATGCTCAGCAGGGTGCAACGAAATTCAGTCTTACAGCTTGCCATTTGGACAAGCTGTAGCTAACATGTACTGGCCCAAGAGTCATTTTAACAACAGAAGTCACTAGCCCATGGCAAAATCCACCAGCCCCGGGCTAACGGACACGATTTTTTTATGCACACTGCTCAGAACTATGAAAAAATTTCAAGGCTACTCTAACACCATTAAAACAGTAGCCTGCCTCACAGAACACTACAGCTGTAGTTATAGGACAGCCCCAATCATACTGACAAGTAAAATCAATTGAGTGATTCTTACATTATCTGCTGCTTTTTTAAACCAGTTGAATGCTGTCTTATTGTCCTGTTTAACTGCGGTGCTTCCCTCAGAATACATCTGTCAACAAAAACAAGTTCCAGCCATTAATCCTGTCATGTTAAATATAGGCACAATTCAGCAACTATGAGTACATATTACAAGATTTTACCACCTTACTTAAAAAATAGTGTACCTTGCCTAGGTATGCCATGGCATTTGAATTTCCTGCATCAGCGGCCATCTGGAGGTACCTAAAAGCTCGCTGTAAATAAATACCATAAATAAATGCATGGTTGCCTTAAAAATTTCTTTATCACATAATTAAAAAATAAAATGGTTAGTCACCCTTTTCATGAACATAACATTGACAACCCCAAATTATTATTCACAACTTGATAATGCCGTGGGTCAGCAAAAGCTCAAAATGTTAAAAAAAAAACTTATTTGGACCATTCAGTTGTTATTAAGATCCCTGATGTTACTGAAGGATGACTTAAAACGTTTACAAATTATAAAGAAAAAGTTTCAAAGAAAAGCTTCTCTATGTTATGATTGGCTACTTTCCTTAGGCAACAAACTTCTTCATGGCTTAAAAATAACCTTGTTATAACCATCCCAATCCTCAATATAATGACAGACAAAATAATATCATATTTAACTATACTTACAGCATGGTCCATGTCAACTCCGCGTCCACCCTGATAATGTAACTGACCAAGACCAACCTAATGTGGGGAAAAGGAGAAAGCAAATAATAACAGTAACAGTTACATTTGTTTAGAAAGACTTGAAAACTTACGAAGATGTGACAAATTAACATCACTAATTTTTCCTTTATTATGTAGAAAAATTTAAAGAACTTAAAAAAAATGGCTTTCAAGTCAAATGCAGGGTCCGCACAGATTTTAGCGTACATCATTAAAGATTTTTTCCAGACTTTTTTTGCCACAACAGTTTCTGTATTTCACTTTTTCCAGACTCAAGGTTATCAAATTGGTGATCAATAGAGACCTTAAAAACGCAGGAACAAAGCTTTTTTCATGATGTGCTGCAAAAAATGTACAGGCGAGATTGAGTATGATTCGACCAAAACTAAAAAAATTCACTTATAGAGCACTTGCTGTAGCTTTTAAAAAAATTTCAAGATTTTTACCATTTTTCCTGACTTTATCTCCATTTTCCAGACTTCTTCCAGCTCTGGAAAATTGCTGGACAAATTTCAAGATTGTACCAACCCTACAAATGTGGCATGCATTAAACCACACATTTTTGTGCCCGGCCACATTCTGCAAACAGTGTATTAAAGGAATTTAGAGCTTTAATATATTCTATTTTCAAAGGAAGGTTGGAGTTGAATGTTATCCCTGCATATGTTTACAAAAAAGTATTTACCTGTGCCTGAACATCCCCCTTATCAGCAAGAAACTGGTAATACTGGATAAGATCCTCATCAAGAACAGCACTGCTACCACCCTACAGATACACAATAGTGAGTCAACGTTTATACAAAATACTTCTAGCAGGAGAAAAGGGCTCCTGGAAGGGCAATTTCCTATCCTTCCAGAATCTGCTGCTTAATTACCACGTTTATCAATCAAACTGAAAGCTAAATGGATTCAGAAATGGATAATTTGTATATTGACCTGAAATAACCTGATCCATAGATGTTACAGGTCAAAATTAAAATCAGGATAAAATTTTTTTAACCTAGGTTGCAATTGTTTCTCAATTTTCTTTGTCTCCTAGCCCTACTTCATGAATAAACAGGGCTAGTATAGACAAAAGAAAGTGAGAATCAACCTAGGTTAAAAATTTTAAACTGAAATCAAATTTGACTGGTAACATCTTCATGTATGGAAAGCCAGTAAACTAACAAGGTGAGCTAACATACAGATGCACTTGCAGGACTAGGTAGAGGATTCCTCTCTACTGATGGCTGGGTACATAAGAGAACAGCGTATGACTTTTCTAAAGCCCTGGGCCCAGCTGTTCGAAGGCCGGTTAGTGCTTAACCTAGGGTTAAATTTAACCTGGGTTTCTTTTTCTGTTGTTCAAAAGAATCAACTTGTTGATGAAAAGAATTAAACTCAATTTTCTGTTTAAGCTTTCGTATCTGACTTCAAGTTTCACTTTAACCCCTGGTCCGGCCCTGAGGAGTTAACAACAGAAAATGTACTAATATCAGATCACGTTAATGTTTTCATACCTGCTCTTCTTCATCTATTAGTCGTATTCGTTGGATAGCAGCTCCACCAGTCAAGGATACATCCTCAGCAACTACAAAAAATCAGCAGGAAAAAATGGCAAATGCAATTATGAATAGAGTCCAAAGTCTTGCAAAATTTGTAAGATGACATAGTGGCATAATGTTCTTTCAAAATTAATGTTTTCCATATGATTACGAGCCTGATTTTGGAAAGGAAAGTACATTTTAAGCCAATTGACTGACAAAAAATGTCAGTAAGATGACATTTTCATAATATAGTTTGTGCACATATGCATGCTGTGACTGGTCAATTTTGCAAGCCGTATATATTTTACTGCCCATACAGCTTGCTAAATTAGAAAGTTTCTCTTCAGAGATATAAAAAAATATCTTATGAACCTCAATTTCTCGATCTGTACAGTAAGTTACAGATCCTCCTTTTTTCCTATTGATTTATGCCCCAGCAAGAAGAAAAAACTTGGTCTGTTACATAGTATAAAATTGGTTAGTAAGATGTAAAAATTCAAATTTGTCACTCTTTTCAAGTTGAAGTACTGTTATTTTACAATCTTCAGTTCATATTCAAGAACTGATCAGATATTTGAGACAAAAGAAATAAATTATCAATAAAGCACAGTAAACAGCAGGGCAGCATAGTACTAACTGGACAGATGATAACTGTTATCAAGTTGTGAAACCTACCTTGGTTTGCAACTTTGCGGTAATAGGTGAGTGCAGATTCACAAAATGAAGCAACTCCTATGCCAGCCCAGTAGCGATAACCCTGTGTAGCACATCACGTAAAACAAGGGATGATTTGTCTGTTAGCTGCTACTTGTGACAAAAATTGATACTATGTGAATATAGCTAAGGGTCTGTTTATATGGATGAGCTAACCCAACTCACCACGGCTTCACTGGGCTGGCTCAGCTCATACCTTGTTTCCCCATAAAATTTTCATTTCATTTTTAAAATGTATACATGAGACCTTGATTCAAGCAGTTGACATCTCATTAGGCTGATTTAGCAACAGAACCGGAATATCATTTGATGACGGGAAAGTGCGCGGAAAGGGCTAAACTCGATTTCCAGTACCCAATTGACCGCTCTGCCATTGGTCAAGCCAGTTGTTTGATTTGCGCACGTAGTCGTCAACTGACATTCCCGTTCTGTTGCTAAAACAGCTTATTAAGTGGACCATCCCACCATTTCATGTACAAAAAACAAAGTGAAAAATAATATTAGGAAACAAAGCATGAACAAGCTACAGCTACCAGCTACAGGCCCGTTATTTTAATTTGCCTTCCGCTGGCACAAGAAGGAGTTGCCAAGCATTTTTCAGAATTATTCCCAAGATGCTGATCAAGTAGGTAATTAAAATACATGATATGCCCCAAAAAAGAACTTTTATAAATGACGTCAAGAACAAATATTGGAAAACAATCAATCCAATCCATAACGTTGACCTCTGGAAAGACCTCCCAAATTATGTCTTCCCACCCTTACTAAAACAACACCTACTGACTAGACAATTTGAAAGTTGACCATTGTTCTTTTCCATCTCCACATAGTGTATAATGTGTGAGTTATTTACTTACTTATTTTGTTTTGTTTTGTTGAGTTTTTTGCTACTATTTTACCTGTCACCACTGTGTAAAAAATATCATTTTATAGCTAGGCACTAGCTTGAAAACATATGTTCATTTAGCTCTTGGACATCTTTGTTATAATAATGCATAATTTTATGTAACAATTTCTCCTTTTCTTTTCTTTTGATTAGCTATCAAAACATGTAAAATTCTCTACACAGATGTAATAATAATAAAGGAACTTCTTGTTGTTGTTGTTGTTGAACCAGGCCAGCCTGGGAAGGTATGCCAGCTGGGCTAACCAGGATGGCTAACCTCATATAAATGGACAGGTCCTGCGAATGTTGTGAGATGCCATTTATAATACTAAAATGATTTATTATTACCAAAGCCATCTGTCCTTTGACATTTCCACCAAGTGCAGCAAACATATAATACACCAGAGCTTTTGCTTGACTTGAATTCACACCAATACCAGTGGCATAAAGAAATCCTAAAGTCTAGGACCAAATAGCGTATCAAGTATTAGTGATAATGAAGAAATCTTCAGTAAAATAATTTTCCTGTCACTATATACTCACGGCAGTCACTGGTAGCAGGTAGCCAGCTTTTTGAGCTGACTACTGCAGTAAAATCAGCTGGCTACTCCAAGTTTGAAAATAAGTCACATTTAACAAATAACGTTATTAAATATTATTAAAGGAGGATTTGTGGGATAAATGACCAGCTACATTTCCTGAGAGACCAGCCCCTTAAAACCTTCTTGACAGCCCGTTCTAGCACATTTCTGCCTTCTATGTGCAGGCATTAGCAGTTTTTTGTATAAAGTTTAATTCATCTCAAGTATAATTTTGGAGATTTTTTTAGTACATTTTCATATTTTAAGTTTTGTATCAATTATTGTATTTGTAAATTCATGCAATTCAGTCTTGGTGGGCTGCCATATGATTTGAATTAAATCTATCTATCTATCTAAAGCTATTTATCTATCTATCTATCTTTCTATCTATCTATCTATCTATCTATCTGATACTAGACTCTTTATCTATCTAACAATAATATAACTACTGTTATTGTACTACCATTTAACTACCTGTTGTCCAACCGCAGATCCTTTTCCTGCAATTTCTTCCAACATTTTTACAGCTTTAGTAATGTTGCGAGGCAGATGATCTCCAAACTGTAAAATAAAGATACCATAAGAGAAGGCCTAAATAAAGCTCGTCATAACTGTTCCATTGTTTTGATTTGCCAATTTTTAAACTATGACATCTTTACCTATATATTTGCAGTCATTTTAAACATTTGCGGGAGGTTTTAACCAAAAGATTCATTCACAGAGGCTTTCAGTATAAACAGCTACATCAATGTTCACAAAGTTTGAACAAAATGATGTTTCTATTGCTAGAACAATACACTTAAAAATAATAAACATAATTCAATGAGCCACTGGAATACTGTAGGTGTTCAGAGCCGCTGAAATATGTGGAAGTTTGAGACAATAATTGTCTAGTAATCATTCGAGTTAAATCAAGACACAGTTCTGGCAATTCAGGACAGAATACCCATCAGAACAGCGCGGGCACCCAGTCTTAAAGTAGCCCTAACCTCCAAATTCCAATTTGATCTGGGATAGTAGACAAAGAACCCATTTGTACTATTATTTTGTAAGATTTTGTCATGTTACTGTCTACGGAAAATAAATTTTTTATAAGCACATACCAGGTAGGCTAAAGCAACAAGTTCTTGAGCTTTGGTGTAATTGTGCAGAAATGCAGCTTCTTCCAGCAAACTGTAGGCTCTGAAAAGAAAAACATCCACAAAGAATATTTAGGAAATTTGTGATACAGATATTTCTACTTTAATATGAAGTGTTAATGATGCCGCAAACCTTAAATATTACAGCATATTGAGAAACTAAATGGGACTTGCATGAGACAAATTCTGAAATACACATATAATTATTTTTGATCTGGAGAGTTTGAACAAGTAAAATGAGCTTGTTACTTCCTGCAGGCATGCACACAAATTTCTTTTCAGCAGCTTTACTCTTCAGTTGTCATGCAATAGTTTCTGATTCAAATCCTGTGCACGTGTGTAGTATAAGTGTATGTTGTAGCGAACTATTCATTTGGCAATTTCATCTGAGGAGTGCCGCACATGCCGTACTAACAAGTAGTAAAATGCCAAGTTGGATCTTACGTTGATATCACCTAGACTACAATTTTTTTCTGGTCTATTTGTTAGAACTCTCAGATAACAGACATTTGCAATGATTAGAATTATACATAATAAGTGCTGTGTACATACTTTTTGTAGTTAGGTTTTGTTTGATTTAGAAAAGATGTGGCATCTTGATATAGCAACTGGCCAACTTCCTCTAAAAAGGACCAGAAAAATAAATCAGGGCATCTCAAGTAAACTTGAAAACAACTATGATTAACACATTGAACAATAATAATCATCTGGCTCCGCTGTGTAACAAGCCATTAAGTTCCTGTATTGATACAATATCATACCATTGGAGAACTCCCATTAACAAAGTTTATTAAGTGAGTTACCCAAGACAGCTCTGTCATTAAAGGCTGGCCAACTCATTTAAAAAACACAAGAGTGTCTGCCTTAGAAAATTATACCTTATCTACTGTCAGCTAGAACAACAAAATGAAATAAATTTTTGTCTTGCTGATGAAGCAACATACTTAGTAAAAAAGTTCTTCTTTCTTTTGTTTTTATTTTTTTTACCTGCTACCTAGAACCTAAATTGTTCAGGGAGCTAACAAGAAAACCAACTGGTTCATTTAGCTTCCTAGCTTGCACATTATTTTCATGAAACTTAATAAATCTTCTATTGTAAATAAATCTACTAAATTATAATATCAACTATATACTTTGACAAAAGCATAATAAAGATTATTCCATTATTCTATATTCTATTGGCTTGGCTGCATGACAGGCACAAAAAGGCTAAAGGGGAGGGAGAGGGGGAGAAAAGTGATTCCCCTCTGTATTTTTCTCTTCCTCACCCTCCCCTTTTGACGGCTACCACACTGCCAAAAGGTTGGCACCAAAAGAATTTTTCATACACTGTATTAGAAAATAGTATGCTGGCTGTATTGAAAAGACCAGCTTGGAAAGTTTGAATCCCCACTACTCTTTTCATTTCCCCACATACTTAAAAATGACATCCCTCCAAGCAGACAAGTAGCACCAGAGAACTGATCAAACCATTATAGAATAAAATCTAACCTTTCAGTTCCTTGTTTTCTTTCTTGATTTCTTGGTTTTCCTCTTCAAAAGATAAACAGAAATTCACAATTACATTTTTACTATAATATGCAATAACAGTGCATAATTTAATGAGGAAAACTCATGGAAATACAAATGATTTATTACTGAGGCTTAACTAACAAAAAATATCCCCCACTAATGGAAGCACTCGTGAGCAAGCTAGTTCTGCTTTAAAAGTGGTACCATCTGCATAACATTGTATGTAAATGTACAAACCATGCATCTACATGTAAGTCATTATTTTTATTCTAAAGAGCAGTGATGGGATGAGGGTCATGATGAAAACAAAACAAAAGACCTACAGGTAAAAGGTACACTAAATAAGCAGGCAGTTGCCAATTTTGCCGCATCCAGCAATCAGAAATATTTGCTGCCTACTTGACCCTTACATGTATATTAAAAAAATGCACTTTTACTTCAGTGCCTGCTATGCTAGTCATCCTGCATACTGTCAGTGCTCGAAAAAAAGCTTTAATTCCAAGTAGCTCTTTGTCATGCTTCCAAAAACAACAACAACAACATATCAAAAGCGCAATGACAAGCAACTAGAAAACAAGTTACAGTGTAACAGAACCCAAGGGGATTTGAACAGAAATAAAGTAACAAAAAAAAAAAGAAATAAAACCTTTCAGCTGCTTAATCTCTTCTTGTAAGTCCTCTTTTATTTTACTGACATCTTCATCACTAAGTTCTTCAGCTTCATCCAAAGGCTTCTCACTCATTTTCCATGATTCAATACTATCAGGGTCCTCATAAAAATCTTCTATTTCATCATCATCTACTTCATCGTCAAAGCCCTCATCATAAGAATCAATATCATCATAATCATCACTGTCCCATTCATCCATAGCATCACGTTCAGTAACCTTCTTTCGACCGCGTCCTTTCTTTGCTTTTGCCTTTGCTTTTGATTTCTTATCATACTGACCTGTTTTCACTTCCTCTCCTCTCCTTTCTTCTCCAGCCTGTATTTTACCACCATCTTCCTGATCTTTTTTATTTAAAGTTTCTGTTGGCTGTTGTTGTTGTTGATCATCAATGGACTTCTCTGCCATATCAGCTTCTTCAACTTTCTGATTGTCTTTATTACTAGAATCGTCATTACCTGGCTTTTTCTCACCAGAATCACTATTTTCAGCTGTCTCTATGTAATCACTTTGCTTACTAGACTCCAAAATTTCACTGGATTTAGAAACGTCCTCTTTCTGTTTTTCATCAACAACATGTGCAGATGAAAATTCAGCACCATCTACATCCTCAATATTTTGTACAGGGTCACTAGGAGGAACTTCATGACTGTTTTCTCCTTCCATCCCTTTTCCTGTATCTTTAATATCTTTTTCATTTAAGTCCCTCTCTTGATTAGCCTCTTCAATATCTGCTTTTGCAGCATGTTTTTCAGACTGCTCAACAATTTGTTTAACTTCTTCTACAAGCTCTTCTCTCCATGATTGCGGATTATCATCTGTCTCTTTGTTCAATTTTTGTTCAGTTGTTTGTTCATTGTATTGCACTGCCTCCTTACTGTCCACCTCCTAAAAGTCAAGATTAAGTATCAGATTCAATCTTTGTGAGACCAGCTAGTATTTCTTATAGATCGGCACCGGTAACTGTGACTGATATAGCTAAAGTTGCAACTAAAGATTTAACTTTTATGACTTAAATTTATGAAGAGGCCCTGTTCACACTACGAAAATATTTTAAAACTGTGAAAGGTTTGAAGCCAGGAGTCATTTCAAAAGTAGGTTGAGTTTGATCGTCCAGGTGAACGTAGACCTGAATAGGACTATTGTTGTTGACAGTGACTGACGTTTCGACAACCTGTGCGGTAGTCATCTGCAGAGTGATCATGAACCACACAGGTTGTTGAAACATCAGTCACTGTCAACAACAACAGTCCTATTCAGGACTACATTCACCCGGATGATCAAACTCAACCTACTTTTGAAAACATTTTAGCTACCAATTTTTCGTTTTTGTAACCTTGTTTGCAACTGAGGCACCTAAAAGCTTTCGTGTAACCAAAAACGTCAAACCCAACAAAGGATGGCTGTCAAGGAAGAAAGGATTTTGTCACCTGACAAAAGATTCTAGGCCTCCAAACTTTCTTGACAGCATCATTGGAGTTTGAAGAAACTTGAGAAAATTTTGGTAGGTGAAAAAATTGTTTGCACTAGAAATGGCTTTCTGTTGACAAATTTTTTGCAAAGCAGTTATTGGTATTAGTTAAGTTCTTATCCCTACGTTTTGCATTAGGCAGTGCAATTGAGACTGCGAGCTGCAAAGGGGCCTATCCAAAATTAAAATTGGGTCCAGAGATGCCTTATTCCGCAAATAAAATGCTTCCCTCAAAGATCAGTTATTCCACTCAAAAAGTCTGCCAACAGAATTTATCTTATCCTGCTGGGAGGTGGGGGGGGAAGGGGATTTGCACCTTTCTCCTGGAAAAATGACAAATGCCTGGTGGCAGGGGGGGGGAGGGTATGTTTGGAAGGGACTAGGCCATTACCTGCATGTATAATAACTAAGTCTTTGTTTTATGCAACGAAAAACAAGCAAATGTTTGGAAGTAAATCGTGTGTGATCAGATAAGGCTGAAGGATTATTACCTCTTGTGGAGCAGTGGGGACACTTTCACTTGGAGAATTTTCAACCTTTGGTGAATCCTCGCCTAAGGAAACAATCAAACTCTGAGTTACTTGCGATAAATAAGTACCATAAAGTGTAGCCCTTGAAGTTTTCAGGATGCTATAACCATAAACATGCATGTCAACAAACGCATACTTACCGAAGGCCGTCTCTGTACAAATTGTTATAAACAAACCACAGACTGTCAGACTACTCCATAAAAATCTTTGTGATAGTTTGCGATTCATGATACTTCTTTCTACCGGTTGGTGTGAATAAATATAATTTTAAACGACATAAAACAATTTTAAAAGCGTATCAGAATGTAACGTTAGCTAACTACAAGGCAAATACGTGTTTTGACCTCATTTCGTTCCTTCATACACAAACAGTGAACCAAGCGATGCCACGTAAGGTCGCTAACACGCATGTGCAAACTCGGGCTTTTTGGTTAGTTTTCGTGAAAGAAGCCGAGTGATCTCCGAACATAGTTATCCAATCAGAGATAATACGAAGACAATACGAGGATTCGCTGCTAACTATAGTGGAGTCATCGTCACGTGCTGTTCAGTGGTCATTCCCCTGGTAATCATATGACAATGGCGGAGCTTTCGGCGCTAGCCGGTGCAAGGTGAAATGAGGTAACGAAGCAAGAGTTCTCCAGCAAAGTCAGAAAATGAAAAGAGGATTATGTCAAACTATGTGGAAACTTGTTCAGAGGCAAACGTACACATGTTTGTCCTCGCGTCATGGAATATGGCTGTGCATCGGTGGTCTTTTATTGACTTTGATTTCTGCTTTCCAGTTTGGAGAAATTGTTCTCGAATGGAGCATGCAGAAATATGCGGTCACTTTTAACACGTATCACGACAATATCCTTGGGAATTCCTACCAGAACAGATTGTGTCTTCCGATACCGATTGACGTTGTTTACACGTGGGTAAACGGAAGCGATCCCAAGCTGCTAGCAGACTTAGAGAAACTCAAATTGGAAATAGAGCTAGAACAAAATAGAACAACTTTGAAAGAAATAGAGCGACTCAAAACCGAAACTAATGCCACCGAGAGTGAAATTGCAGATATGCTTTTAAAGAAGTCTCTGGAGAAAGAGAAAAAAGCGAAAGGAGACACGAAGAAGGACGGTGGAGCCATAGGGAATTCTCGCTGTCCTTTTGAAAATTGTGTGTCAGCTCTTTGCGTCGTTGTCGAGGAAGGGCTCCCTAGTGATTTACAGCTATCTAAAATACGCGAACTAGACGCATCATTTTCAAAATTAACTAATTTCTACAACGTGACCTCCTCTGGTTCATCAAAAGAGCTTATCAGTGTAATCCAATTCCCTGGAAAAAGCGAGACTAACGAAGCGTTAAAAGTTAAAATCAAATGGCAGAATAGAAGTTTGCGAAGCAAAGAAGGTTACTTCACCAGTGACACAACCAGACCAACTGCGGTTAACAGAGGAACAGAAATCATGATTTTAGATCTGAAGGGTAACAGTGAAGTGGAAAAAGTGAAGAAAGAATTTAAAGAGCGTTTTGGAGATAAACTCCTTAACGTTGTTTTTCATGCTGAGAAGCTCATAGGTGTGGCATATTTCTCAGATACGACATCAGCTTCTTCTGCCCTAAAATTGAAATTGACAATTAATGGAAAAGCTGCAAAGTTAGCTCCTGCCTTGTTAATATGGGCACCATTTAATTCTGTTCTTGTTGCTAGTGATGATTCAAAAGAAGACGCTGACATTTCAGCAAGTCGTTTTGCAGACAACGAAGAACTGAAATATTCTCTCCGTTCTGTTGAAAAGCATGCACCATGGGTCAGGAATATTTTTATCGTTACAAATGGTCAAATACCCTCTTGGCTTGATATGGACAATCCAAGACTCAAGATAGTCACTCATGAAGAGCTATTTTTGAACAAGAGTCACCTACCAACCTTCAGCTCTCCAGCTATAGAATCTCACCTGCATAAAATCCCTGGCCTTTCTCAGAAGTTTATTTATCTTAATGATGATGTCATGTTTGCTGATGATGTTTGGCCAGATGACTTCTACACCCATGCAAATGGCCAAAAGCTCTACCTCACATGGCCTGTCCCAAACTGTAACGAGGGGTGTCCCTCCTCCTGGGTAAACGACAAATATTGCGACAAAGCTTGCAATGTGTCAGAATGCGACTGGGATGGTGGAGACTGTATCGGTGTTAAACGCAAGACACAGTGGAACTATCAAGGTTGGCAGAGTCAGCACTCTAGTTATCGCATCCAGTTTTGCTCTCCAGGTTGTGCGGACACCTGGGTAGGTGATCGCTATTGTGATGTTGCTTGTAATGTTGCAAATTGTGGTTATGATGCTGGTGACTGTGGAATTTCCCAGTTCCACGAGTTGTATCATATTGACATTGATCAAAACACTCAGACAGTTGAACTGCCTCAAGGTGTATCCGTGCTGTATTTTAATATTTCAAAACCTTTTGGCACAGGAAAGGTCACTTCTGGGGACTATACAGAGACACAGTGTGTGCGATCTGCAACTGTGGCACAGAAGTTTAAAGTTTTTACCTTGACATTGCGAGAAAACTGTACCTCACCAAATGTCAGGTTCAATATTGAAGGATTTAGTGACCAGAATGAAACAAACAAGGTGGCTACTATATTCAATGTGTCTTTTGACACAACAGCAATTGAGGGTAGTAAGTCAGTTCCTACTGCAACACCAGCACCCACCAAAGTTTCGACAACTGAAGTCCCAGCAACAATGCCATCTGGAAACAAAGTACAACAAAACATACCTATAACTGTCTATCCAATAAGGATTCAGAATGCTAATCAGTCACTCAATTATTGGGTCATTGCCAATGTGTCTACCCACCATAAGCCAACATGGCAACCATTACCAGAGAAAGTGTACAGCATACCATTGCTTTCAAATGATACAGTTCTACCAGAGTATGTTCAAAACCACTTAGCACATATAGAGAGGGAGTATAAAGATGGTGACTTGACTCAGAAGGGCTATGCAAGAAAGAAAGCAAAGATTTTGCATGACTTCTTGAATGTGCCAGCAACTGAACGAGCTCCTGTGGTTGTTGCTATGTTGCCTACACCTTTATCTGAAGCTGAGAAAAACCCCACTGTTCCTGCAAAGTTGCATGTCACCCACAAAGTGAGTAGATTACCATAAATTCTCTATTAAGTCTCCCCTCTCAAATAAGCCCCCTCCCTTTAATAACCCCCCCCCCCCTTTCAGGAGAAGAAAGTTAATAAGCCCCCCTCCCCTCCCCTCTCCTCCCCTAATTATTTGTCACAAATAAATGATAGACTGTATTAATCACTCACAGCTGTAAAACTTTGTGTGGACTGATCCAGGATGGTTTATTTACGAACTGGAAGTTCGGATTTGATTCTGATCCTCGGCTGCATAACCTAAAACTTCTTGTACTTGAGCTTTTCCATTTTGTATTCTAGTTCTTTATGGAGAACTGATACCATCATCATTTCTTAATTAAATAAGCCCCCCCTCTCTATGAAGCCCCCCCCTCAAATGGCCTTGAAATAAATAAGCCCCCCGAGGGGCTTAATATAGGATTTAAGGTATTGTTTTTTTGATTTCAATGTATTATAATTACAAGTATTTTTTACAATTTTCTGTAGCTGGTCTGCACCATGAAGGAATTAGACAGACAGCTATTTATCAGTTGATTTAGCAACCCTGACCTGTAATATGTTGCGTGTCACAAGATTGAAGGGCAAAACAACAACTTGAAACAAAAAACATCTTATGACTGTCATGTGTTCATATTTTGCCCCTGGACTTATAATCGTCCTTTCTTCAGAGCCAAAACTGACTCAGTCTATAATCAAAAGGAGACATGAATATTAGTAGTTACTGATGCATTTGTCTGAAACGTTGTTAATAGAATCAAAAAATATTTTATATCAGGACTTTCTTGCCCGGGTTTGTTTTTGAGCAAATATTATTTTAGGTGAGACAATAAAGAAAAGAGAAGGTGCAGAAGATAAAAAGATGACTAAAATGGGATGTTAGATTGATTTGAGGGCTGAATTACATGTGTAGCCCCTGTGTTCTTTGGACTTGTCACAGGGCCTGGGTAGGGTAAATTCTGACAACTTAACGATGTATAGCCTTGGAACGGTAACGTTAGGCAAATGAAAATAATAGCAACAAACAACACAAGCCTGGATTAAAAAGCAGGTAGAAAAGAAAAAAGCTTTAGATAGAATACTAACCAGGAAAACATCTTTCTTAAATACATGGCAAAGAGTATTGAAATCCACGCTAGCTAACTTATGTTTTCCTGTCTACATTGGCCTCTGTCATGCATCTCTCTCCTGGTGAAAAAGATGATCAACTGAGAGAGGAGCAGAGAAGAGATGAGGGAGCATATTAAACAGAAGTGGCACCAATACTTGATACCATGCACGTCATTAGCTGAGTTCCTAGGGTGAATTTCACTAACAGAGCATTTTCACCTGACGTCACAGCAGCCATGCTGGTGTTCCAAAGTAATTCTGTGAGCAGGGTTGTCATTAAGAGCCGGGGGCCAGGGATTTTCCCCGGCTACTAAGAGAGTGACCCCCGGCTACTTTTATTGGAAAATAGAAGAAAAATAGAACCAAAAGAAATCCCTAGCCGTTTGATTCCCCGCCTACTTGTTGTATTTACCCGGCAACTTGAAATCTTAGTGACAACCCTGTGTGGGAGTTAAACTCTTTTCTTATGTAAAAGCTTTCTTTTGTTCCAATAAATTTGAATAGATGCTGGCCACGTGAGTGAAAATGCTCTGTAGTAAGAACACTGTATATTGTCTTGTGAATTTTTATGAATTCCTTACCCTTTCAGGATGAGAAAACTGTTACAGATGCAGAGAGAAATTCTACCTCTTCCGAGTCTGTTAATACCAAATCACATCAAAGGAAGCTGCTGTCCTTAGAAGTCCCAGAAACGGAAGCTATCATTAGTGATTTAAACAACCAAGGAGAGTTGACTGTAAATCTTAACGAAGCTGGAGCATTTCAAGATGGTTTTGACAATAATTTAGACAGAACTGCCATTTCAATGGACGATCTTATTTTGGCAGACTGGATTGCCAATACTAAACAGAAACAGTTGTCATTGAAGAGCGACCAGTCAGAAAGTCTTGAGCAATGGAACAGTCGTTATGGTAACTGGCAGCCTCTAAAGCAGCCTAGTGCAACAAGTTTTCTTCCTTGGGAGCGGCTTGGAACCTTTCAACAGCTTCAAAAATCACTGGAAAGATGGAAGCGTTCACAAGAATTTGCCAACTATCAGCTCCACAGCAGAAAATTAATGGACACTTTTGCAGACTCATTGCTTCATGTGCATCGAATTTATAATCGCAAGTTTGGTTACATGGGACGTAAGGTTCCTGCTCATATGCCCCACATGATTGACAGAAAAGTCATGGAAGAGTTACAGGATATGCTGCCAGAGGAATTTGACAAAACGTCCTCGCACAAACTTCGCAGCGCAGACGACATGCAGTTTGCCTTTTCTTATTATTACTTTGTGGTCGGTCAGAAGAAAACACCCAATGTTAGCGAGTTCTTTGCTGAAGTGGATGCAGATCATTCAGGTTTGAATTTTTGTTTTTCATTTTTAGGGGGACAATATTATTATTATTATTATCATTATTATTATTACTATTATTTTGTTGTTGCTGTTGTTTTTTTTTGTTTGATTGATTGTTTATTAATTTTCATAAACACATGAAAATTCAATGTTTGCATACATTGTAGGCAATTTTACTGTTCTGCAGATGTACAAAGCATTCTTGTACCTTCCTTAGAATGATTTGTTTGGACCCTCTTCCTTTTAACCTGCATTGCAGATATAATCTAACGCAGGCTAGTAACATCTGCAAAGCAGCGCCAAGATCCTTGTTGTGGTCCCCGAATGGACTTAAAGAGTTACTGAAAGAAGGTTTTGAATTGCTCTTCAACCTGTTTGCCAAATCGACAATGGCTTTTTTAACAGGCCAACCCTAGTATGTACTCAGATCCTGCTTGGAGCATGGGAGCAAGGGTTTGGCACTGGCTCACAGACTGACTTTACCAGATGTTCAATTTCATCTGTGGTGCAAGCTACCTCGACCCTACCTTCACTTTCCAACCATGGATGGATCCTAAGGCCCTGTTCTCTCTACAAATACTTCAGTCTGCGCTACAAACACCCAATCATAATATTACAAACAATTCACTTCTAAATTGGTGTCCATTTATTAGTTTTAACTGTAGCTATCTCCCTTGGAGATTTTGTAGTGTGAGTATTTTCTTGGACTGCAAATTCATCCTCCCTTTCCCTTCCCCCACCTTACCTCAGACGCTATACAAATGTTTGTCTGAAATATTTCTTGGAGATTCTCACAAAGTATGAGCTAACACAGGGAATATTTTTACTAAGAATTTGATTTGAAGTATAAGATCTGCAGGATCTACAGCGTCTTCATGATTTACAGGATGTTCCATACAAGATCTATCTGACACATAAGTTCTACAGAATCTACAAGATCTATAGGATCTACAGGATTTGATACCACAGGTCTCATGTACCTAGCCAGGCATCGATTGAATGGCCCTTCATTTTCTTATCGGGGTGCAATGGCTTGGAACCAACTGTCAAATGAAACACGTGAGATGGGGGATCTTACTAGCTTTAAACTCGCCATATCTTAGGATATAACTTTTATCATGTTTTTATCTTATTTCTAATACTTACTTCTTGCTGTTATATTGTATTGTTAGTTAATCACTAGTCTCTTAATTTTTATAAATTGTAATTGTCACACGGCATGTCTGAAAACCAGCTTGCTGAGCCATTTACCGTGTTTAAATAAAGTTGATTGATTGATTGATTGATTGATTGATTGACAATGTAGCTTAGTATAAAAATGTTACATGTACTTTATCCTTTATTTGTGTATTTTCAGGAGTACTATCCGAAAGAGAGCTGCGCACGTTGGCAACCCGGCTCTACACACTTCCATTGGATCTCAGTGACCTAAACTCCTTAGAACAAACACTGATGAATTGTAGTAACAGTTCGGCACCCCAGTTCAACACCTCAGATCCAACCCATTATTTGGTCTTGCCATCTGTGTCAGAAGAATTCTTACAAAGCTGTGATCCCTTGATGAAAATGCTAAATGATTCTTTCAAGGGTGTCACAAAGTACAAGTATGAAACTCTTGGAGATGATAATGTTGCATTCCACATGATCCGTGACAATGCGTCAGCTGTTTTACAAAAGTTAGATGCTGTCAGAGGTAAAAGAAAGAAGTTTGTGTGCTTGAATGATAATATAGACCATTCAAAGAAAGACGCTGAGCTGATCAAGGCTCTGCTGGTGGACTTCTATCAATCTCTTTTTCCAATTCCGTCTCAGTTTGAACTGCCAGTGGAGTATAGAAACAGATTTCTTCACATCAGTGATTTGAATGAATGGAAGAAGGAAAGAGAGGAAGTCAGATTTTGGACAAACGTTTTAGTAGCAATTTTAATTTTAGCTGCAATTTTAACACTTTTCCCAGGACCTTTAATCTATCTGATCCAACTGTTATGCCCTCTTAGAAGACTTTTTTCATTTTTTCAACGAAACAGTTCATCGACAAACTCTCGTCTTATGACGGTCTAGGAATTTTGGAGCCATAACAGATGAATTATAAACTAGTTTTAATATTCGATAATTTTAAGGTCAAAATTTGTTACCTAATTAACTGCATTGTTGTTGGATATTTATTGATCAACTTAGTAACAAATGAAAAACAGCCTCAGAGGGGTGGGGAGGGGAAGGGTTCAAGGTCGGAAATAGTCCAATATAAACTTTAAATAATTATATTATTCTTATACCATGCTTCCAATACTGCTGTAGAAATTCGCTGCTGGGCTTTAGTTAGCCTGCTTAGCATGGCAGTTTTGGTTGGGCACACTAAGTAATGAAGGCGAGGGCAGAGAAACGTGAGGAGATTGGGGCGGGAGCAACTTTTTCTTTTTCTTGCTCGTTCTCGCACGCTTCGCGCACGAATTTTGCAGCTTCACCGCTCGTGCACCTGGCTCGACAAAACTGCCATGCTAGGCAGGCTGGGCTTCAGTGAAATATAATAGGGAGCTTAAGCAACAACGACGGCGACAGCTACGAAAACGACACTTAAAAAGTGAAGTCAAGCCTCTTCAAACTTTATCGCGTTTATTCCATCTCATTCAATTCATCAAACGTTGACAATTTTCTGGAGTTGAATTCTAACAGGCTGTATTGAAGTTCAGGAAAAGAAAAAGGAAGTCACTGCCTTGTTCACGTCCTCCACAAAACATGAAACATGTACTCGTGCAGTGACGGCAAAGAAATAGTTCAAAAAAGCATGATGCATCTGCACTGAGTTGTTGTTTTGTCAATCTAAACATAGTTTTTTTTTGTTGTTCTCATTGAACTCGCCATTGTTGTTGCTTAAGCTCCCCAATATGAAGTGTGGAAACTGCATCCTACTGATAAATGGTTAGGACAGGAGCAATAACATTGACTGCGGTCCCCTTTCAGTTATCTCAGGGGAAATTAAGAGCCATCTTATATTTTAGTGGCAAGTTATCAGAGTCTCAGTGGTCAAAACTGTCTGTAAATCTTTATGAAAAGAACCTCTATATTACTTAATGGTGACCATTCTAATACATTACCCTGTGAGCAGTCATTTCTCTTAGACAGACATTGCACAACCAAGGTATCTCTTCCTTCGTCTTGTCGCATCCAGTCTGGAGAAACCACTGCTTGCAGGGTACACATACATGTGCCTTTCCCAGGGTCTGCAGCTTAATGAGATTCGACTGTTTTTATTATTTACATACCAATGCAGACAGAAACTACAAAACCATATTACATATAGAGAAAAAAACATGAAATAATTCAGTATGTATAATCAAGATTTCCAAATAATTTAGCTAGAAAATTGAAGGAGCCATATGCTCACATAGTACTGTAGCTAAATCAGATTTAGTCCCGATGACAAATGATTTTTTGGGTAAAATTAAGCATGTTTCAAGTGGCTTGTGTTATCCACTTGGATTTAGAAAACCCAAGTTAATACAGACACCTTAATAGTACAGACAACTCACCTTCATGCAGTCACCCATGTCACATGCCTCTGTAGATACCTGGTTAGCCTGCGAGCAAGCTCTCTGGGGTGCTCTTGTGGTGGGGCAGGAAAAGGAAGGAGAACTTGCAGCTACATCTCTGGAATTTGAATATCTACATTGAAAAAGTCTATGTGAAATGCTGATTGGCGGAGATGACTCTAGTAATGATGTCATTACACTTGGCACTTGAGTTTCAATGTCTGTTTACATTCGTGTTTGTTCCCACTTTGCGCTGATTGGCGGAAATCTGACAGCTCAGTTGTTGGGGAGCGACAGGGAAATTGGAGGTGGAATTCAGATTCCAGAGACGTAGTTGTAAGCTCTCCTTCCTTTTCCCGCCCCGCCACAAGAGCGCCCCAGAGAGCTAATGCTCGCAGGCCAATACCTGGTATGCCTTATAGCAGGAGGTCAACATGGCTAGATGTTGAAAACTTTACATCATAAAGCCAACATGGTCCTAGCTTCACTGACAAACCTGCTTAATCAAAAAAAGGTTCTAGAATTTTTGTTGCAAGAACAAAGCGGGCAAGATGTAAGCATTATCTTGCCTGCTCGTAGTGTAGTCAGTCAGAACCCAGGGTTCACTTTATCTTGCCTGCTTGTGGAGATGCTCATGTGATGATGTACAAATCATATATCTGTATTATGAAGGCATTTGTCTGGACCATATCCTTTTTGACTAGCCATTTCAGCATAGATAAATTATTACAAGTTTACCTCTGTTAAGATGACAAAATGCTTCACTTTATTTATATTGAGGACAGATTGTAATTCAAGAAGGTTGCAAACAAGACTTGCTGTATTATTTAAGAAAAATGTAACATTATGAGGAAATCAATGAAATCAATCAAGGTGTTATAAAAAAAATACTGCTTTTTTTGCTATCTCTAATCAAAACAAAAAAATTTCAATACCATAGTCGACTTACATTAAAATATCTATGAGTGATTAACTGTGATCATCAGTAGCTAGTCAAGGTAATGTACAACTAAACAGATTGATTTTAGTTAAAAAGTGAAAAAGTAAGTTAGTAAAAAAAGGGCCTTTTGTATTGGTAATAATATTATTGCAAAGAAGATTAAATCGTTTTCGATTGACAACTTCAAGTCATTATTGTCAAGGTTGAATTTCAGTCATTCAATGTAGTTGTTTTTAATTAGATTTTAATTTCCTTCAGTTTTTGAGTAATCTTTAGCTTATTCATCAGAATACCAGGAAGGTAGTGATCCCTAACAAGTCTGAGTCTTCAATTATGTGTTTTTAGACTTAAAGCTGTTTTAATAAATATTGTTTCTAGCCCCCTATGAGGAAGTTCTTTGACATAATAATAATAATTATTATTTTAAAAAACTTGTCATTTCGTTGTTTTTTTATAATTAGGGCGTATAAGAAAGGTTCTTATAACCTACATCTGGACAGAGATTTGACATGGCAGATGTCTGCACATTAGCTAGAAATGCAATTTGAAGGGGTGTGTGTGGTTGGGTGTGTGTGTGTGGGGGGGGGTAATAGATTTAAAAACAAATTTATGGCAAATAGCAAGTTAATTTTGTACCATGTAACAAAGTTTTCTCTTAACTTGTCATTTACTGTTCATTGTATCTTCTGTGCAGAAAGAAGAAGTTTCATACCAGTTTCATCCATAATAGTAATAGACTTGACACAAGTCGATCTCGCAAGTTAAAGCAAGCTTTTTTGGCCAACCCATATTAACTTGGACGAAGGCCTTTTTTATAATAGTTGTTATTTGGACAGGTTTTTATCTGCTCATTTCATACTTTGAGAAATGTAACTGTTTGCCGTAAATGTACCTCTAAATCTCTCCAAAGTAAAGGAATGTAGCTATCAGTCATGAATTACCCTATCCACCTCCCCTTCAGGAAAAGAAAAAAAATTCTTGATTTATCCATCTCAGACTGTGCCCTTGGTGAATAAATCACTTTTATTATATAAACACCGATGAAATACCAGGTGAGCTTTTGGGCGAAAACATGATATTTTCATACGTGAAAATAACATGTTATCTTCACATGTGAAAATGTCACCGTTGCTAAGGCTACATAATAAATCACGCGTTTCACACCAAAAACTAGTAAAGGGAAATGGTTTGGTATTTCATTGGTGTTCATAAAATAAATAGAACATTACATGGGCACTTGGAGATACGAAATTCCCCTTCTCGTGTTGAAAAAATATTTCACTTGTTTGCTTCGCTCACTCGTGAAATATTTTTCAACACTTGAAGAGAAATCTTGTATCTCCACGCGGCCATGTAATATCCTCTATATCCCCTCCTAATGGCCTATAATAATCCTTGTACAAAACCAACCAAAAAACAGTTAAGATTTTTTTGTGACTTTTATTTATCAATTGTAAACATGGATCTAAAAAAGCCCTCTAAAACTACCAATACATTTTATTAAATGTGATTATATGAGAAGGATAACAGAAGTGAAAGGTAGTCATGTGATTGGGACATCCACCTCCGAACACAGTTACCTCTAATTATTGCTTACCATAAAAAAAAATGTCCTGTGTGGTGAGGATTGAGAGAAGGCCGTATTTAAAGGCTAAAATGACCTGCAATGCATAGCATCAGCAAAATGTTAAATACTACTGACTGACTGCAGGCACATTTTAAGAGACTCAGTATGTGATTCATAAAGTACATAGTCATTTAATTACCTGCCATAAAATAATATTATATACACCAGGGTTACTATGACTAAGGTATGTAACTGCGTAGCCACCATGCCTTTGCATTGTTCAAAAAAATAACTGGCCCAAAGTGACTCTGATGTCATGCTTAATCTTCCCTTTGTTTTTTAAGCAAACACAGGGCAACTTGTAGGGAGAATCAAGATCAAAGTCTATCAAAGAGGTTACTTGGGGTTAGTTTATTTCAAATACCATACAATAAATAATGTATAGGAGACTTGATTATGCAATTTTTGTGAAATCTGACACAATTGTTACAGTTTATTGAAAATTATTGTTTGAGGAAGTAGCACAACTACATTTTTTAGCTATTTACACAAATTACTAAATGAACTGACTTTCAGCTTTCCTAGTCTCACCAAGACAACCAAATTGATGATGATAATATAAATTCAAGAGTTGTTGAAGGAATTATGAAATAATTATTATCATTAGTTTACCAGAAGATAGTACAGAGTGATGCATATTACAACCTAAACTTGAACCCCGAATGCTCCCTTCAAAACAACACTCCACACCAAGAAAAAAAAAAAAAAAAAAAAAACCAAGAAAATAAATACCAGCTAAACTTGTTCTTAAATATGTACTGTGCACTAAATATTTTTCTATAGCAAGAAATGCTGACCAAAAAATATAATTATTTACAACTAATATCAAACTATACCTTTCTACACCTAGAAAAGAAAATTTAATTACCTTAATACATACCAGTTATAAGCCTACTTAGAGAATTACTCTGCAAATCACAAAGCAATCACGGATTGTATGCGGATTGAGTCTATGAGAAGAAGATTATTACGCAATGACTATTTTAAAGAGGCTTTGTTTATCTTTTTGAAAAGCTAAAACAAGTCTTTGTACAGCCAAATTTGTTATATAATACTATATTTGAGCATTGAAACTTTTTCCTGTTGTCTGTTGCTACAGATGACAAGGGTGGACATGGACTGAAAAGTGAAAAAACATGGGCCAACTTATTCAAGGTTCAATGCTATGGCTTCACAAACTAACCAAAAATATTAGGGACCTTACTGCGCTTTTCACAAACATGCGAACTCTAAAGTTCAAAAGCCGTCTTCACAATTGTGTTTTTCGCTGCCATCAATCATAATTACGATCACAAGCAACGTACCTTGAAACAGAGAAACACACAAAACGGATCGAAATCCACCAATCACAAACCATGACCTTTTGAACCCGTAAAGTAAAGTTTTGTTTCCTAAGAGGTCCGTTAAAATGATTGACAGCAGCGAAAAACGCAATCGTCGGTTGGCTTTTGAACTTCAGAATTCGCATGTTTGTGAAAAGTGCAGCAAGCAATGACGACGACAACAACAACGTCACAAAACAATTATTGGTTTTATGAGCAAAATAACTGCTCTGCTCGTGCATAACATTCTATAGTACATTTCACTGATGTCCACTGCACGACTACGACATGAAACCTCCCAATGCGATGTTTTATGGACGAAATGGACATACTACGACAAATTTTCCCTTCCCTACTTGAACATGGATAAAGCCCTTAAGAATTCAA